CCTTTCTATTACGACAGTAATTGCAATATAACAGACGTGAGCAATTGCGCATATCCGATAATCTAATATTAGCAGCTCCAGGTTTAGCATAGGTCATTGATACGTACGCCAGGTTTGTTCTGGAAGACTGAGTAGATACCCATGATTGTGGCTCTAGATCCTGGAACAACTCGATTTGTCAGTTCTCTATCGGCACTCAAGAGGACATGACGAGGCAACTCTCCGACCGGGACATCATCAGGCGACTCCTGAAGTTTCAAAATCTGCTGGTCCACACACTTGGACTTGTCGTGATCAACTACATATGGATCCAGGCCGCATCCTGACGGATTCGCCTCAGCGTCCACATTCCTATGAAATAGTCGGATTCATAGTAACCATTAGCATGGTGCTTCCACAACAAACGATAGATCCTGAAAGTTTATGGCGGATGCTGACAATCATGGCCACTTACAAATCACAGGTGCGTGGCATGCTGATTCCCGAGAACCCAGCCTGGATGGGCATTCTCTTGGTCTTTGAACAGGACTTACACCTGATTTGAAGTACTGTCGCCTTGGAGGTCAAAGGGGAAGCAGCAATGATGATACCAGAGATTCGAATCAACTTTGAAATGCTGTTGGCCTAGAATCGTCGACATTCAGATCAAATGTACGCCATCGTTAATTCGTGTTGGATCCTGTATCGCTCGTTTGTCACTGATGCGCTGACATGGACGTACATTGAGGTGGCGAATCTTGATCATGTTGGCACTCGAGTGCAGCACAACCTGATAGTCTTCAATCTCCACGTCCATGTTCGAGTTGGCATACAAAATCCTCTTGGCGTGCAGCTTGACTGCATTCTCGAACTAACGTTTATGGAAAACCGAAGAAACAGTAAGAGTGTAAGGGTCAACATGCTATTTCGTTCGCCTAACATTCCACGCGTCGCTTCAGAGACTCGCATACCAGCGGCAACAAGTCTGCAGGTCTCTGTGTCAAGTTGTGAGCGAGCTCTTGACTGAAAGAGATCAAATGTCCCATATCAACGTCCAGCAGGTAGCGCTTCAGCATAGTGTTTTGACGCAGCTGATCACTGTGGGACGGGTTGAAAGACAAGAAAAAAGAAATGAGTATTTAAATCTCCTCCAAATCCAAGAGCGTGAATAAGCTGGATGCGCTGAAGCGAAGGGGCAAGCTGTACCGGTAGATGTAGACGCCATTGATGTGAAACTGTTGAATGAAAGCGTAAAACAGCTCCTGGACCTTGTCCATGGTCTCCTGTTCGTGGTCGTCCTGTTGAGGCGGCAACACCTGCGCGGTGTGAATGCGTCCTGCGTCCCAGCCGATGTTAGCCATCTCTGTAAAATCGTTAGCCGAGAGGAGAAGGAGTGTGGTGATTGAGGACGGGGTGAAGTAAAGCGGGCAAGGAGATGAAAAAGGGAAGCTCTGCCGTTGTGTGAAGTCCTCCTGCCCTGACAGGCGTTTCGTTTGTTTTGAAAATAGAACGCGTCTCCTAAATACAGTAAATGAATTCACGTGATGCCGCAGTCATGCTGTTTTCGTTTCTTTTCTTTTTTTTTTTCTCCCTTCTGCTCAAAGCGCTTACTCAGAGGCTGATTAAGCAAAGGGCAGAAAGACTAAGGGTACTTCATCATTGTCATTCGTTCCCTTCTCTTCATTCCTTTGCTCCTTGTTCCCTTTTCCACTTCTCTCCCAAAACCATCACAAATATGGCCATCCCCAAGAGCAAAAAGAACGTTGGCCTCGGGCAGGCTATCATTAAGGCCCGCTTTAAGGGCCGCAGCAGACCAAAGGACGGAGACGAGCGTCTTGTATGTTTACCAGCAACAGTGGCAGCACTCGCAGGATCATGAGTTACATGATAGGAAAATTTATCGCTAGAGAAAATTGTACTCAATTCCTATCATCCTTCTCTCTATTCGTAGCACTCTGCAGAGGTTGACGATGGCGCCAGTTGGACCCGACTTCAGTCTGTCACACAGGAGGGCGACCTTGAATCCTTCTTGAGCACCGCCGAGTTGGCAGGCACAGAGTTCACCGCGGGTAAGTTCCGTCATATACCATATGCGCAACGACCAACCTATGTCTTCAGGACGCATGTTAACTTCATTTGCTTACATATTTCACGGTACACAGAAAAGTTGAATATCAAGGTCATCTCAAATCAGTACGAGAACCCATTCATGCTCTCAGCTGACAAGGAAAAGGAGACACTAGAGAAGCACCATGAATTCAAATCGCATCTCACAGTCCCGCGTCGTCCCCACTGGGACGAAACCACGACCGGTCAGGAGTTGCAGCGCGCGGAGAGACAGTCGTTTTTGGACTGGCGTCGTGGCCTTGCCACCTTGGCAGAACGTGAATCGCTGTTGCTGACACCCTTTGAGCGTAACTTGGAAGTCTGGCGACAGCTGTGGAGAGTCATTGAACGATCTCACTTGGTTGTTCAGATCGTCGATGCCCGAAACCCCTTGTTTTTTAGATCAACGGATTTGGAGACGTATGTCAAAGAGGTGGACACGAGAAAGAGGAACTTGCTGTTGATTAACAAAGCCGATTACCTGACGGTCAAGCAGAGAAAGAGATGGGCGGACTACTTTGATTCCGAGGGCATCCGATACACTTTCTTCTCAGCTGCGTTGGCAAAGGAGAGACAAGAGAAGGAGCAGGCTGAGAGAGAAAGGATGGAGGCATTGGCTCAGGAACTCGCTGAGATGAAGGCCGCCAATTCGGACTATACAGAGGAGGAGGAGGAGGAAGAAGAAGAAGAAGAAGAAGAAGAAGAGAAAGAAGAGTCTAGTGCCGAGATCACCAAGGAAGCATCCGCTGCAGAGGAGAAACAGAGAGAAGTTGTGAAGCAGTCGTCATTCTCTGTTCAGAAGGAGTCTGAGGAAGAGTCAGAAGAATCTGAGGAAGATGAGGATGAGGATGAAGATGAGGAGTCCAAGAAGCCAAATAAGACCCATTCGCACTGGAAGGCCATCAAGGAGACCGAGAAGGATGATGAGCGCACTCGTATCCGTGATACCAAGGAACTGTACGAGCTTCTGCTCAAGGAAACCCCTATTATTGATGGTAATATCCTTTGACAATTGCTGCTATCGTTTCCTGACAAAGACCATTTGCCAACGCCCTTCGCATATCCTTGATTTCGTTTCTATAGATCCAAGAGATCCTTTGAATGGCATCATGTCCATTGGTCTTGTCGGATACCCTAACGTCGGAAAGTCTTCGACTATTAACGCCTTGTTGGGTGAACACGCCGTTTCGGTATCAGCTACACCAGGAAAGACCAAGCATTTCCAGACCATCCACCTGACCCCCAAAATGATCCTCTGCGATTGCCCAGGTCTGGTCTTCCCTTCATTTGCCACAACCCAAGGAGATATGGTGTGTAACGGTGTCTTGCCCATCGATCAATTGCGCGAATTCACTGGCTCGGTCGGTTTGATCGGCAAGAGGATTCCTAAGGAAGTTTTGGAGGCAATTTACGGTATGAAGATTGCAGTTTTAAGCGAGGAGGAAGGTGGCGCAGGTGTCCCTACCGCGGAAGAGTTTTTGATTGCCTATGCTGTCGCGCGTGGATTCACCAAGGCCGGTCAGGGTAACCCTGATGAGTCGCGTGCAGCCCGTTTCATCTTGAAGGATTATGTCAACGTAAGTATCTGAACTTTGAACTGCGTTTTGCTTGCTCCTACTGCAGTAGTATCTGACTAATGCCTGCCTTTATTATTTTTCATATAGGGAAAACTGCTGTACTGCGCTCCTCCACCAGGTTTCGACCCCATCGAGTTCAACCATGAGCACAACCAACTGGACCGCTTTAAGAAGCGCAAGCAACTTCCTACGCGACGTCTTCCAGCAAGCGCATCGACCTATATTAACATGGAGGCCATTACCCCTCTGTCGCACACTGGTTCCGGTACAGGAAAGACTGCCGCTGTTGACTCTTCATTTTTCCAGCCTGCCCGTAAGACCATGTATCTGCCCAAAGTGACAGGCAAGACAGCGGTTGACGTCTCAGGGGGTATCTCCCGCGTGCAGATGTATCCTCATCAGCAGGGGACGGATAACCAGGGTTATGTCAGCCGAAAGATGAGGATGCAGAACGTTAGGGATGGGCTGCTTGAGATGGGCGTCGATAGCGTCGCAGGTGCACTTGGCAACAAGAAACACAAGAAAGGCAGGAAGAACATCAAGCAGCGCTCCGGAGCAGGGCTGTAATGTTGCGATAGAATAGCAGCATCATATTTTTGCGACAAACATTTCAGATCCACAGGCATTTTCAGTCATCCTACTGCGTGTACCATAAGTATCTCTCTGCATCTAGTTTATTATTTTCCATTTTCTCAATGAAAACTATCATCAATGCTCAATGCCCATATCAAACGCGCTTATGGGTGTGTGTGATCGCGCGACTTTGTACTGTCGATGCGGGCACGATGAACGTGCTGTCTAGCATATGCATATTAGATTCCCATAGTGGTATTTGCGTAACATTGCGACCATGCAAGGTAATATTGCTGCTCTCCCTTGAGCCAGTTGAGACTTGCCCTGCACCATTGATAAACGACATGGATTATTATTGTGTCTTACTATCGCATTATTCGAATTGATCTGTGGATCCAAGTGAGGTGCAGGGATTGTACGTAAATTACCGGACTGCTAAATTGCGCGGTAAAGAGCAATGACATCAAGAATCGTAGCCCTTGGTCTGGGAGGGCATTCATTGTGGTGAAGGTGGAGGAAACTACAAAGAACAGGCGGGAAAAAAGGATCATCGTCATAGTCTCCGAGTAATGCTTGTCAGGATGCGTTCTCCAAACTCACTCTTAACCTTGGGCCCTTCAAAGACCCTGTGGATTACATACGCAGCAGGCTAGAAGAAAAAAGAACCACCGCGATGACGATACTGACGTACACTGCTCTTAGAATGAACAATAATCGTAGCCGACTTACCCCATATACCATTGCTCGCGTCATATTATACTGATCACCTATTATACGATGAGCAACATCTATGTCTACCCATATTGCAATCCATCGCAATAGGGATACCGGTGGTCATTTAAGTTGCATACAAGGTTGGTTGCATTTATCGCTCGCTATTTTTCTTAGACGCACTAGCGGGTAGCTGCTATCATGCTGCTACATGGGCTCGCGTTCGGCTAGTCTGCTATATTTGAGAGCAAGGGATGTCTGGATCTATGCTCTCTTGCAGCTCTGCCGATGGGCCCTGTCACTGTTGTACTTCACAACCTGTCAAATAATAGACAGCAATTGGTTCTTAATCATTTTCAGCTGTTCGCGATGGATTTATTATATGTACAATGTGCAAGAAAACTACAAAAAGGAGGAAAGCAGCAAACGAAGCAATCAAGCGACCAGAGCGGAAAAAAATTGTGGGGAATGACTGAGGTATATCTATGTGAACCAATGGAGTGTCCAACTAAGAGCAACCACCACTCCTTCACTCCTACAGAAAGAGCAAAGGAATGATAGGACATGCGCATGCGGTCATAGAGCGGCAGGTAGATGTGAAATACGATGATATACAGGAAGCGGCAGGGCACAAATAACAGACGGACGCATGAATAAACAAGGGGAAAGCTGTTGTTACAAGGAAGGAGCCATGGTAAAGTGTTACATCTTAGGCCTGCTCATCGTACTCGTCCTGGACCTCGTCTTGTCGGTCCTCGAACTCGCTCAGGTTGATGATGGGCCATTGGAGCATCTCCTCCTCGGTCGGGGCCAGCTGTCGCTCCAGACGCTGCTTCTTGGGGCGGATACGGTCAGGGGTCGTGACCTCCTTAAAGTCCTCCGCGTACAAGTCGAAGCGACTGCCCTTGTTGAGCAGAATGCTCTCCTCATTGCCGTCATGGACATCGTTGTTGTTATCGGCATTGGCTTCTTGGCTCAGAGCCTCGAACTCTGCGTCGGTCATCCAAAGACCCAGAGACTCTTCTTGTCGCCTTCTGACGGTCTCTGGATCCTGATCCAACTGCTCCTCCTCTTGGTTATCGAGGAGTTGATCACGGTCCTGCTCGACCTTCTCGAGCTCGTCCTGCTCCTGTTGCAGGCGGACGAGCTCCTCCTGATCCTGCTGCTCTCGCTGACGCAGGAACTGTTCGTGTCGTTCTGTGCGTTCGATGAGGAGGGTGAGGGACGGTGAGGATTCAGAGACGGCGTTGAGATCGACTTGGATGGTGATGGGGCGGGAGACGGTGCGGAAGGGCGTGCAGTGTGATGGTGAATCTGTTGATGACAAAGAGGAGGGCGTGCCCTTTGTGTCTATTGAGAGGATGGATTCCCTTTGTGGTTGATCTGCGGAGGGTTTTGAGGAGATGGGGAGGGCGTGCGTTGAGGTCGGGGTGCTGCAGAGGGAGAGGGCCAGCAGACAGACGAAGGTCGTGGGTGTGAAGAGGGTCTTTATCTTTGGAGGGAGTGCAGTCTTTGCCATTGTGATATAGAATTCGAGTGGATAAGTGGATTGGAGTGAACAGTGTCAAAGAAGACTGGGCGATCGGATGAACAACGAAGCGAACAAAAAAGTGAGTGGGAAACGAAAAGTGAGAGAGGATGGAGGGGGGGAGGAGGGTGGTTTAAATAGTCTGCTGCTCGTCCAAGATTACAGCATACAATTGAATGGCTTCATAAGCACTCGTTCTCCTTTAGTCTATTATCTCTTTAATCGATTCAGTAGAATGCGAAGAAGGAGTGATATGTGCGATACATCTAAATTGCATTCAGTCGCAATTCAGTCGTTTGGTCTACGGGGAAATAGTTCACAATGGAGGCTTTTTTTTTTTTGACAAAATTGGCTAATTTCATTTGTTCATTCCAGACAAAATGCTCGACCTTCTCTTCCCAAAGGCTCTCATAATACCCGTCTGGTAACAACTACATGGACTTAGCAGATTAATCAACCCTGCATGTTCCTTCGTTAGTCCGCTATCCTTCTTCTCGTCTGTTTTGGCGGAGCAATTACTCCCCCTAAAAGTGTCTCCTTTGTTCGGGCACGTATCCAACCAGCGCGCCTCCATGAAGCGACTCCCACTCTCTGTCTCTCTAATCGTTAATTTTTTTTTTTTTTTTTTTTTTCGTCGTCGACCTGGATGCGATAATGCGATAATGAGCAATAAGGTACCAGCTGCCAGTCGTGGCCAAGGAGCCGCTCTGTCCAGGAGACAAATGTAATAGCGCAACCTGAAATTACGATTATCTATCGGAGAAGTATGCTTGACAGGCTTGCACAGGGAAAGTGTACTGCAGATAGACGTAAATGTGCTTTCTGTCGCCTTTTACTTCCGTCTGGTGGTGAGCTGTCCATAGTCCGTGATTTATGTTATTTTTACTCGCTCTTTTCTGCCTCTTCTATTTTCTCTCTTTTTTTTTTTCTTATGCACGAAGATACCGAGCATCTCCCCTTCTAAACCACCTTTTCCATATCTATACTATCACTTCTCACCTCACACTTGAGCTTGTCTGAGAGGAGCAGAAATAGCTAGTGTCCAATATACTTTATTGGTTGCGGCTGCCGCACACAGGTGGCGAGACCGCAAAAGCAGGAAGATACCATGGTAGCTATGGTTGCAGAGTTGGTCTGATCTGCAGGACTGAGAAGGTACCCTGCTTAAGACTTATCATTCGAGTTGGTCTCTTGATCTATGATGAATACGACACGTCCTTCTACCACAAATCCTAGGAAAATGACAGCTATCGCATCGTCATGACTTTGTGTGTCTAAAACATAGAATGTGTGAGCAATTGCTTACAGTGTATGCCAACGGACCAGCTTACGACTGACAGTGAGGTGCGTCTCTACCTCCAACGGTCCATAGGCGAAGATAGGCGATCCAGGGTTGAAATATCCCAATGGCCCTTTGTACCCCGCTGCACAAATCCGACACTGCCGCTACACATGAGTGCTGAATCTATTTTTTTATGCCCAAGGGTCCAAAGAGATGGAGCAAGCAGCGCAATGGCATACAAATCAAAACAAATACACAATCGCAGACAAACAAACAAAAAAGAATGATGTGATCTATGCCGAGTTGTTTAGCTCCATAAGCATTTTTTTTTTTGCCGCGATAGTCTTTCCAAACCTTCTGTTGCTGTCATCCGTCCCATTTTGGACTAACCCCCCGGTCAGGGTCCGCGACGACAATGAGACAACCTAACAAAAAGACCACAGCATTTACACGCCCTGAGCGTATTTGATTGCATCACCATTGTCTGCGTATGCGTTGTGTCTTCGTGTCTGGTGTTTGTTCAAGTATATCTACCGTAGCCGAGTGAAATAGAGGGCAGAACATAAGGGGGATCCAGACTGTGCATTGAGACCCAAAGAATCGTTCCAGAGCACAAGCACTGTGCATGTGCATCTGTCTGACCTTTACCGAGGAACGCTGAATAGGATCTCGACAAACAAACAACGACATTGGTAAGCATGTCCACTAACGACTGTTTCGCCAAGTTCCAGACAGCTACCACAGACCGCAGTGGTTTCCGCACGTCTTTCCCCTGGTATATACGGCGAGATACGCACTACAGCCTTCAGTGCCAAGATCCTTGTCCAATCCAAGGCAGTATTTCAATAAATAATCCAGAGACCTATGTCTAGACTTTTCCATATTTACATATTCCGCACTCTCTGTGTACAGAAGGCCGGGGTAAGTGTACGTATACGAAGAGCCGGCGAATCCCCCTCAGATTTTACCGTGGGTCTGTTTGCTGCGTCGTTCAGGTGTCACCGTCGCTTCTCCTGCTTCCATTGTGTTTATGAAACGAGGGGCAATCTGTTTCAGGACGAATCTCTCAAACCGCGTTGTTTATTGCAAATTGACGGCGTTCTGTCTCCATTGCGCATTGCGCCCCAGCATGCAGATACACTCGAGCCAACACCAGACGCGATGGCGCTTATTCGTTTACGCCCAGTCCGGCCCGTAAGCACGAGACGCCGAGGGGGAAAAGAGGGTCCGCTCCAAACGACATGAATTAACTTGTGATAGTTAAGTTATCTTGTCGTATCGATGCTCGCAGGAGATAAAAGGGCCGTTGACCCACGCTGGAGTAAGGGGGACACACCACTTTTTATAACCTCGCCTGTTACGCTCTGAGCTGGCGTGAAAAATGGTGCAGGACAAAATTACTTCCGAAGGTGTCCACGGGCAATAATTTATGGTTCATGTTGGGTTGTGTGGGAAGCGCCAGCGGAACGGGCAAAGGCGGAAAACGACCAATAGTTTCTACAACGGACTTGTCCTGCCTTGACCAGTTCAGCAGATCAGGCCATTTGCGAGAACCATGGGGTTTCTAAGAGTCGCCTGTCGCGCCGCATTGGTCAACATGGGCTGATGTTCCTCATACAGCAGCAGCATGTTCATACACAGCCAGAACGAGTCCGCCTGCGAGCTGACACTACTATTATCAAAATTAACCTCGCCCCAGACTGAAAAACATAGACATGGATCGTGCACATCGCTGAATGCTTTTCTTCCGGTTCACTTGACTCGGTCCCTATTCCGCCCATTTTTGCAAGCATGCTCCTACTTTCTCCATAGCGGATCTACAGCCTCCACTACTGCCAGGTGGGGTTGATTCCACCTAAATAACTCGCTTCCGGCTGATGCATGCACTATCATTCCATCGCGCTACTCTCCGGTGTGTCAGTGCTGTCGTTTCCGTTAAAATGGCTGTTACCTATCTCTCACGCTGCGATGGCCAAGCACTCGACTATACATATTGTTGTAGGGGCTAGGTATGGTCGCATGAGCCGCTCATTGGCTCCACTTTGTTGTTCGCCAGATCCGCCAATTCGCTCACCCGCCTTTCCTGGCGACACTCTTTGGCTGTTCGGAGTCTATTAACCCACATCAGTAGTGAAGGGCGCCATTGGAGATAATCAGGCCAGTGCCCCACCGTACCCTATCTCTTGCAAGGCGCCATGTAAATGCGCTGGTATGCACACACCCTTAGTCTACAAAAAAGCTGTCGAGCATGGATACGACGTCTATAAAAGCTCGCCTGGACCGGCCATTTTTTTTTCTTCGCCCATCCCTCAGCTCACTTTGACCTCTGTTTGATCCGAGCTACTACCGTACTCTCTCCACATACAAGAATCTTGCACGGTCTGCACCCACCCCCCGAAAAGAAATTTGAACACTGCCCCAATGCCTCCAGCTTCCACCATCACTGCCGCCACCATTGTCTCGATCGCCAATGCGACAAAGACTGCTGCTATTGTCTACGACACTGTTCCTGTCGACAAACTTGATGCGGCCTTTGCTGACTATATCGGTACGTGATATGAATATCCTTGCTAGAGCTGAAATAGTAAATAGCTCTTGTCTACGCGTCTTTCGCTCACCTTGCGCTTATCTCATATTCTAAATCATCATTCTATACCCACGTATGTACTGAACATAGATCTTGCGGTTTCGACGCGCGGTGGTAAAGTGTTGTACACTTCTGACGAGTGGTTCGCAGAGTCTCACAACCTACTTACGGCCGCGGCCCCGATCTCGCGCAAGGGTCACTTCACGCCCAAGGGAGCCTGGTTTGATGGCTGGGAGACTCGTCGCCATGGGCCCGACTATGACTGGTAAGAATGATGGTTCTGTACATGTGGTTGCATTGGGTGAGAGCACCGTCTGACAGTAGGATCTTATTGTTGTTTCTATACCATATGATAAACCCTAGGTGCGTGATCCAGTTGGGTTACCCAGGCACGATCGCAGGATTCGAGGTCGACACGGCCTTCTTTACGGGAAACCACTCCCCCTTTGTTTCTGTGGAGGGTTACATAGCTGATTCGCCTTCTCTTGCGACCGCTGCTGGTTCTGTTGGAGTGAACGGTCTTGGCTCTCATCTTCAAGGCCTTGGTGACAATGTTACTGTCCCGGACTCGGCCGAGGGATGGGCTAACAGCGACCATTGGGTTCCTATTCTGCCCAAGGTGGCCCTGAACCCGGACGCGCGTCATGGGTTCAAGCTCGGACAGTCCACCGAATCAGCATTTACCTATATTCGATTTAGAATGTATCCTGATGGTGGAGTGGCTCGTCTTAGAGTCTATGGAAAGGTACAACAGGTCCTACCGGAGGATAAAGGCGAAGTCTTTGACCTGGCAGCGGTTGGCGCTGGTGCGACAGTTGAGTCGTTCTCGGACGCACACTTTGGACATCCGTCTAATTTGCTGTTGCCTGGACGCGGGCATGATATGTCCGACGGATGGGAAACCAAGCGATCGCGTGCTCCCGGACATGTTGACTGGTGCCTCATCAGGTAACCAGATAAATCCTTCGTGTTCTAATTGGGGGTTAATGTATTGATCGATGCCATTCACTAACCTACTCTTTTTTCCTTTATTTTTCTACTTAGGTTGGGTATTGCTGGTCATCCCACGTCGGTTGAGGTTGACACTGCTCACTATATGGGCAATCCTCCCAAGTCAGTGACCCTTCATGGCTTCATGGCCTCTGATACCTTGCAAGAGAATCCTATTGTGCTTCTCGATGAAGCGCCCGTAAAGCCGCACAAGCAGCACTTTTTTGAGATTCCTGGCTCTGTCAGCTCGCAGGCCATTTCCACTATCAAGGTGGTCATGATTCCTGACGGAGGCATCAAGCGCGTCCGGGTCTTTGGATCTCAGTCCTGGCCAGCCAATCCCATCCCTGCGGACTCGCTCATCGGAAAGCACCAGCCCTTGCCAGATGAACACACGTGGAACCTCCTAACGATCAATGCAGAACCTATTACGAAGGAAGCGTTTGCGCCCTGGGGCCAAGTCGTGGAGGTCCCTCTGTATGATCCGAACGCAATCAAGGTTAATCAAGGAACCGCGCAAAAGTTCTCGCACATCGGCCGCTTTGCCAATTGGCGGTCCTATGCGCTGGATGATGAGGCGATCACTCTGAATGGTAACAAGTCCCTAGACAAGGTTCGTCCTGAGGGTATTGCACCTGCGACTGCCAACGTTGCGATCTTCCAGTGCTACAAGCCGGTCGAGACTCGAGAGATCGGGGTCAAGTTACTGGAGCGACATCCGTATTCGTCTCAGATGTTTGTTCCGATGGGCGGGGATGGCAATGGCGGGTTCGTGGTCGTGGTGGCCAAGGACCGGGCATCGGATGGTATGCCTGACCTGACTACACTGAAAGCGTTTACGGTCAAGAACAGCCAGGGGATCAATTACAAACCCAACGTGTGGCACCATCCAATGATTGTAACAGACAGGCCGGTTACGTTCCTGACGATCACGCATGAGTCTGGTGTGGGCAAGGATGATTGCGAGGAGTACTGGTTCAAGAAGGAGGCGGAGTCTGCTGGATCCGAAGGAGGTATCGCAGCTGTTGTTCGTATCTAAAATTCTTTGGGCAAAGCACTTTAGAGAGAGGACGATCGCACTTGCTGCAATTGTATTGACTATGGCGTGAGCAAGGATAGTTGGTTGCTGGTGCTAGCACCTTGAAGTGCCCACAAATAAATAGCACCTTCGGTCGGACTCAGCTCTACTTTTTTTCTCATTGATACCTCTCTTTTGCCCGCTTCGCTCCTCCTCCTGCTCCTCCTCTCTCTCTTTGTTTCTCTTGTCTCTCATTCCTTTTTTTTTTTTTTTTTTTTTTTTTCTTCGTTAACTTGAAATCACACAAGAACTGTTCTGGTGCATTTCAGATCTTTTTTGTAGAATAAAAAAAAAGAAAGAAAGATTGCACACATACAGAGATGACTGCCGAGCTGTGCGAGGACGCTAAGGAGCTGGACTTTCTCATCACGAGAATGAAGGATCTCCTTGTCGAATGTAGGTTGTCCTGCCGTTGAATGCACAGCCTCGCTTCGAGCAACAGCTGATCTTTTTTCGGGCTGACTCACTTTAATTTCTTTCCATTCACACAAAAAAAAAAAAAAAAATCCGCTGCGCATGGTCTTCTGTCGGTCATATTTGGACAACCCGAACGTCTCGGCCCGCTCGATCATGATTCCCCCTACATTATGCCAGATATGGAGCAGAGTCGACAGAGCGACGGTTTGTTGGTCGACTACAAAGAGCCCGAGGAGCTGGAGCGCATTATGGACTTTTCGTTGCCAGATCGAGGTGTGGGCCCTGAAGGTAGAGTAAACGGCACATTTTCTGGGGGGGAAAGAAAAAGCGTTACTGTGACAAGCGGCAGACATGAGCAGGTGTAACATGGCATCGACCTGTTTCAAAAATGTGGTCCTTGCATGTCGATCATCGTTCACGATAATAATCCGATTCCTAAACGGCCCCTCCAATTGCACCTGCCGCAGGGATCTTCCCGACGATCACACAGACATTGCAGTACAGCGTCAACACATTCTCGCCACGGTTCATGGACAAGCTTTACGCTGGGTCATCTCCGATCGGCGTCCTAGCTGAACTGCTCCTCGCGGGACTGAACGGCAACTCGCATGTCTACCATGTCTCTCCCGTATTCACACTTATGGAGATTCATGTCACCAGGGCTCTCGCACGGCTGTTTGGACTCAAAGGCGAATTCGCAGGGGGGTTGTCGTGTCCTGGAGGAAGTGCCAGCAACCAATTGGCGATGGTCACAGCCAGAAACGCCTTGTTTCCGGAAATCAAGAAGAAGGGCTACTTTCCTCGGCCCTCAATTCAGGAGCAGGAGGAATTTCGGCAACAAGGTTACCATTGTGTTGGATCTGCTGCGTTGTCGACGTACGGCAAATTGATCGCATTCACGAGCAGCGCAGGACATTATTCACTCGAAAAGTCGGCGGTGATTATGGGGTTTGGCACAGAGAACATTGTCGGCGTGCCCTGCGATTCCTATGGCGCTATGATCCCTTCAGAGCTAGGTAGGTGATGTCCGTCGAAGTCATATACTGAATGGCATCATGACCCATAATTCATGGCGTGCTCCAAGACGATCTAACAGCCTTAGCGTGGATATTAACCTCTCATCTTTTCAACTTGACGCAATCTTTGATCATCAATCCATAGAACGTTTGATCCAGGAGCACATCGCACTCGGCCACACACCATTCTTTATCAATGCCACTGCAGGAACAACAGTTCTTGGAGCCTTTGACCCCATTCGACCATGCGCAGCGATTGCAAAAAAATACAAGTGCTGGCTCCACGTCGACGGCTCATGGGGCGGATGCACGGTGTTTGTACCAGAGTTGGCCAAGACCCTACTCGATGGTACAGAACTGGTAAATGCGCATCACGGCATTTTAATCAGCAGCATTTGCCAATTGTCCAATTGAGCTGAAAGCAACATTTTTTTTTTTTAGTGAAATAGCGGCCTAACAGCTTCCTTTGACTCTTTCCCTATCTACATGTAGGCTGATTCGATTACGATTAATCCTCACAAGATGTTGCAAACATCTCTGCAGTGCTCGCTGCTGCTTGTACAAGACTCTTCTATCTTTGCACGCGCCAACGCGCTCAAGGCAAACTACTTGTTTCATGGCCAAAGCCACGATCTCGGCGACGGAACACTGGGTTGCGGGCGTCGCTCAGACGCGATCAAATTGTTCTTGGGATGGAGGTATTATGGCAAACTGGGATATCAGGCCAGGATCGAGAAGTCGCTATCGAACGTGAAGCGGTTTGTGGAGCTGTTGGCGCAGGATGAAATGAACGGGCAGAGGATTCAGATGTTACGACTTGAAAGTGATCATGAGAAAACATACAATCAGGATGGAAAACAGCAGCGGTATGCGTTGGAGACTGGAGGACGAGACAGATCGCAGCCTAGCCTTCTGCAGGTCTGCTTCTGGTACAGGCCCCAAGGCAGTCGCATGGTTGACTGGCGTGGAACAGAACGACACTGGAGGGACAGTGTAGAATTCACGCCGAGCACGACAGCGCCATCCCGAATTTCATCCGCTGCTGTGACGCCACTGCTGAGGGGTGCTACGAATCAGCCGTACTTTGCGCAGACCACGACGGGCGCGACTACTGATGAGCTCGACACCAATAATGGCGCCAACTCGGCATCGTCTGCTGCAACGCTCTCTCCAAACTCGTCTGCGATCTCGCTGGCGTCGACTGCATCAGTCTCCTCTACCGCGTCGTCCATTTCAAGCGCTGCCACAGCAACGACTTTGTCAAGGACAACAACCGATCATGGTGTGATTTTGACAGACCCGCAAGAACGACAGGAGGCCAAGCAGTGGATGGAGAGGGTCACCAAGGCGATCCACGCACGGATTCGTGCCCGGGGACAGTTCATGATCGACTATGCGCCTTTGGGGGAATATTTGCCAGTTTTCTTCAGAGTCGTGTTGAACCCGCCGACGATCCGGGAACTTGATTTGACGAAACTGGTGGGTGAGATCTTGGAGTGCGGAGAGGCCGTGGGCAATGCGATACCAATCCCTGAATGCTGTCGCGAGAGGAGCGCGTGATGATGATGGATACCACAACAATATCATATATAACCTATAGACTGTTTCGCATAGACCACAGGGGTATTTCAATAATATATTCATTGCTCAGCTTACACGCGTTCACGCGTTTCTGCGAGATAATGCGGCACACAAAGCGCGTCATTGTCTCTCCGGTTCAAGGCAGGGGCTGTACAGGTGTTGCTGTGAAAAACAATGCAGATGAATACAGGTGAGATATGAAAACCCCCAGACGGATAGCAGGACGTGTACGAACGCAGAAAAATAGGACCATGTCGACCTATCTTGTCCAGGGACGAGGTCGATGGTAAAGATATAATTTCGTTGGTGGCACCAGCGATTTGTCGTAAGAGCATCATGGGCTTTGTTGTTGTTGGTTATGCTCAACAACGGGCGAAAAGACCAATTAGTTTTCAAAGACATTTAGGGATCTCTATAGTCTAGGACAGTTAATGGTGGTAACGTCTTTATGGGCATCAGGGGCGATCAGATACTGGGGTTCTTGATCCAGATTTCGACTCATTGTATTCCTGCGAGTTCTTTCACCCTCAGACCTAGGTGGAGGTGGAGCACACCAGGGTTGGTTTTCCAGATACGGGTCGGGCGCTGCGCGTGTAGGCAGACAAGAGAATGGAAAAGAGAACGCCGGCTCACAACGAGGGCGCGAAAAGGACATGCTACTGCAGACACACAAAAGAAAGAAAAGAAAAAGAGCGGGTACAAAAAGAACCCTTCGATTTTAGTGGCCTTGGTGACCTCATTTTGAGTCTCGAATAGCCTCGCCGCTCCACTGTTCTTTGTTCTTTCCCGCTTTTCTTTACTCTCTCCCTCCCTCTCTCCCTCCGCCCCTCCGTCCGCACGGCTGAACGACAAAGCACCAACAACACACAGAAACGGCGATCTTTCTCTCTCTCTCTCTCTCTCTCTCTTTTCTTTAATCTCTTTCCCTCCTCTCTCTTCTCTCCCGCACCAACAGCCAAGCAGGAGCACATTAGTGCCCTTCCCAACCGTCGACTGCTTTTTTTACACTCCTCCTCCTCCAACGGACACTCTCTTGCACTTTCTCACTCCCACCACACCCACGCTATCCCACGCACTGAACTCTTATTAGCACCATGGCTGCCACTCCAAAATATGCCGCCAAGAGCACTCTGCGTTCCATGTATGTTGACCCTCTTCATCGTCCCCTACCGCCGCCAGTTGCCGCCAAGACTGAACGTGGAAAAAAAAAAAAAAAAAAAAACTCCCCCTCCTGAACAATTGAACCTGACTTCATTCTTCATTGCCCTGCAGCAAAAACTTCTCCAAGGGCTACAGCGAAATTCAGGCCAAGGTTCGAGAGGCGACCTCCAATGACCCTTGGGGACCCAGTGGGACACAAATGAACGAGCTGGCCAGAGCGACTTTTCACCAGTGAGTGCCGGAAGGAATCGCAGCTAGAGTGACCTCATTTCTGTCTGTCTCAGGTGAAGGAAGGGACAACGACTAATAGCAATATGGCTATTTCTTTGCTTTCTGCCCTGTTCCGCTTCCTCATTACGCAGGCAAGAATTCCTCGAGATCATGGAGATTCTGGACAAGCGCATGAATGACAAGGGAAAGAATTGGCGACATGTCTTCAAGGTAAGACCTTATCGGACACTTTCTTTTTTTTTTTTTTTTTTCTTGTGCCATGCTGCAAGTGACTCGGGACTTGGACAGAGAACTCTTTTTGAGCACGGCTTTGCGCACAGAGAGCGACACCGAGAGTAAGACTACCCAAGAGACCGCGAGAAATCCAGCACGGGCTTGGGAGACGACGAAAATGCTTATGTTGCTTGTGTGTAGATGATAAGGCGAAGGAGGGAGGGACATGCATAAAAACGCCATCGGGCCATTGCCGCCTCTTTTTCGTATTTAATTTACAGCTGCCACTGCAGCTCATATCAAGGAGGCGAAGAAACCCTCTGCATTCGGTTCCTTGTCTGTTGATTGCCTAATCGTCTACTCTATTTCTCTTTACTTAGGCGCTGACTGTTCTGGATTACTTGCTCCATGTTGGTGTGTAACGGCACACGCCTTGTTTTCGAATCCTGAACGAGCTCAATCCGACTTTTTTTTTTTTCAGCATGATTCGGTTACTGATGAACACCTGTTTCTCTTCTAACAGGATCTGAAAATGTGGTCAAGTATGCACGCGAAAATTTATACATCGTCAAGACTTTGAAGGAGTTCCAGTATATTGATGAAGAGGGCAAGGATCAAGGCTCTAATGGTTAGCGAGAACGTCCAGTCGGATTTGGTCTCTACTTGTCTGGCAATATCGGAATCGATCTATGAGCTGACTGATTGTTCTCTATGTTGGTAATCACAGTCCGCCAGAAGGCCAAAGATATCACAGCATTACTTTCTGATGAGGCTCGCTTGAAGGAGGAGCGACGGTCTCGAAATGCCATGCGCGATCGTATGAGCGGAAGAGCTCCAGGAGATTACGATGGGGACACGCCTGTATACGACCGTCCAGGATTGGGTGATGATGATCGCGACCTACAGCGGGCTCTTGAAGAAAGCAGACGGATGGCGCAGAGCACGAACAACAAAAACCGAACTAGGTGCGTGAACTTTCGACTGGGCTGTATCCCCATGCCATGCTGCGATGAATGTTTTGGTTACACTACGACCCTGATGACTTATGCTTCGTTTCGACTGTGGATAACACCATAGCGAGGAGGATGATCTTCAGAAGGCACTGGAATTGAGCAAGAAGGAGGAGCAGGACAGAATCAAGACTGTCGAAAAGTATAACGAGCTCTCCCTCACTGAGGACTGGGAGGCAGACTCGAAGTAAGTGTCATATTAAGATCAAGGCGAGACATTTGGATCAACTATCGAGCTCATTTGGCGGATACTGATCTCAAGCGTCGGTTGCACTTTCTAGGCCCGTCAACAAATACGACCAACAAAACAACTTTGACTTTTTCGGCAATGACTTTGGTGGACAGAACAGTGGTAACAGCAACAGCAACAATTTCGGCACCTTCTCTCCCATGAACGACCCCAATAACGACCCCAATTTCCTTCAGCAACAGCCGACTGGATTCAACAACCCTTACATGCAGTTCCAGCAACAGCAGCTTCAACAGCAGCAACAACAGCAACAACAGTTAATGCAGCAACAGATGATGCAGCAGCAGCTGCAGCAACAGCAGCAGATGGCGTTCTTAAACACAATGAACAACCCATACCAGCAACAGCTCACTCCACAGATGACAGGCGCCCCTGCGATGGGATCCAATAATCCATTCAGCGCCTTTGCACAGAAGCCGGCCATGACCGGACAGCCCTTCAATGCTAATGGCACTAACGGGTTTAACCCCAATGGCGGCCTCAACAGCGGTTTCGGCAATGGTATCAATAACAACAATACCGGCTTTAATAACAACAATAGCAACAGCAGCAGTAACAACAACCCGCTTGGCGAACTCGCTTTCCTCCAGAATTCCATGGCCACTGGCTCTCCTGCTATGAGTCAGCCCGTAAGTCTTGCCATCATCTTTCTATCATCTCTACTTCGCTGTGTAAAGAGGTCAATAACTGGAGCTATCTTTATCAAATTAGGCGACGACAAAGGGCCCCAGTCTCAATGACGAGAAATACGCCGCGTTGGCAATGGCCCTTTCGAACCGAGAGGATGGCATGGACACGTTCGGAAACATTGGCCAGCTTCGTGTTCCTGCGTAAGTGCATAACCAAGGACGTTACTCATCATATTCTATTGCGGACCCTATTGTCCATGACCGGCTAACCCTGAACATGCTTTTTACATTGCGACATTCCATAGTCATCACAGCTTTGGAATGAGCGATCGTAGCACCAGCAGCACTGGTGGAGGCGTTGCCAACCCTTTCCAGGGTCTCGGCGGCAACAACAATAGCAACATCAGCAACTCGTTGATCGACATTGGAGACGCCGGCAGCTCTCTGAGCCGAAGTGCCACCAACAATCCGTTCCAGATGTCAGCGCAGAACGGACGGGCTAACAATGGGTTCCTGTCATCACAGACGACTGGATTCGGAGCCATGAACGGAGGTTCATTTGGCCAGTTTTCATCGGGACAGAACAACACGAGCAACGGAGCGTTCAGCAGCAATACCTTGTTCTGAAAATATGCAGAGACGATGCACAATGCCTTCCTTGCTGTAGGCTAGTGGTTTTTACCCTTTTTTGTTGTAACATAATCATATGAGAAAAAATAAAAAATGAAATCGGATAAAGCTTTATTACAAGTTCCATTGCCTTTTGGCAAGGAATGATACGGGCAGGCATAATCATCTCCAAAGCACAACTTCCTTCATAGGGGTCCCATAATAATTGACTCTTGCTTTGTTGAGCACGTAAAAATGGGCGAAGCAATTTTGTCCTCCGCTATTACTGAGACTGCAAGATGCGGAGCAAATTTTAGAGTGTGGAATTGGATTATGCGAGTGAGTCCGACTCATTCCAGTTCTAGAGGAAACGAAGTTTTTTATTACAAACTTGATTGAGGCAGCTTCTAATACTCAATATCGAAATGTATAACCTATCCAACCATAGTTCACCTTCAGTGCTTATCCACACGAAACTGAATGATACAGTTCATTATCCGAGTGTATGGGACTGAAAGGTTCCCCGGGAACATCTGCATCCACCATTTCGGGATCGATCACCTCAGGCATCTGGGCGCTGAGCTCGGCTTTCCCGATTTTACTGGGTCGAAATACAAGCGTCCAGTGTGATTGATGTGGAGTCAGTATGCTGCATCGACAACAGATCCACTGTCACACCAACAAGCAATGTGAAGAGTTTACTTACTTGAATGTCCAATACGTCTGCATTGTATCTCCAGCCATAAGCTAGTCCAGCTCAGATGCAATGGTTAGTATTACGACTTTCTCGGGCATCATGTCGCAAATATGCACGCTTCGTATTGCTTCATTTTACAATACGGTTGTGCTTTAGCCTATCAAGAGTCGTGGTTAGTTCATGGGGTTAGTTGAATCGAATATACGGATTTTACTCGAATGGTTATAAATGTCAAGGAAGACAAAGATCCGAAATAGATGTTTGCTCGCATTATGGCGCATGCTCAACAATCGACGCCACCTAGATGAAAAATAAACCATCCTTTATGTGAACCTTTCCCAGCCGCCCAGTCCTTGCCGGTAGTGAGGCTCGATTTTTCCACTAGCCAGTGTGGACGTGGAAAAGAAAAAAAAAAAAAACTTTCGAAATAGCTCCAACTCAGTACACTTACCAAAACCTTAGAAATCTAAAAGACATAATTCTTTGATCATTATGCAGACATACTGTCCATACCGCCGTCATGACGCATACACCCGCAGGAAGGAAACAGACAGTTTAATATCCATAGAGCAAGATAATATTAGTCTCAAGGGCTGTATATTAGGAAACCGACACTGATATGTTCCCTCTAGGAGGCCATGTCGAATAAAAAAAAAAAGGGCAGGATGGTGTTGAACTCAAGGTGCCTTCGTTTAACGAACTTTTTATATCTGGTACATGAGACTAGGGTTTAGAATACGACTGAAATGAGCCCGTAGACTGGTTCAATAAGCCATTGTAAAACCTCTTGGTCATTATCTTTCTTCCACTCCATTATTCCAGCATCCCACCACCATGCCCAAACACCATTCTGTCGAACTCAAGGGTCGTATCATTGGAGCCTACGAGGCTGGTGTGACCCCATCCAACATTGCCAAAAAACACAATCTCAGCATCAAGACAGTCCTTTCGATAGTAAAAAAGTGGGATAAAGACGGCACCGTTGTTCCCAAGAAGCAACCTGGAAGACCACCAATTCTTAGAGAACCAGATGTCGAGCAGCTTGTCAACAGGGTCAAGAGCGACAACCGTATGACTCTTCAAGAGATAGTTGCAGAGTCGCCCAAGCCTGTTTCCAAGAACACAATACGCAGAGCTCTCCATAACAGCGGGATCTTTTGTCGCGTTGCCGTCAAGAAACCTCGTTTAGAGCCAAGGCATGTTGAGGCCCGATTAGCATTTGCGCGAGATAAAGAAAAGTAGACCTGGATTGACTGGGAAAGAGTCATTTGGTCTGATGAGTCTTGCTTCGAAATAGGCAAAGGCTTCAGGACGATCCGCATATGGCGTACTAAAGAAGAGAAGTATCCTCCAGAAAACATCCAACCTCGTCTTCGGAGTGGAAGAACGAAAATTATGGTATGGGGAGCAATCGCGAGAGGGGAAAAAATCAGATCTTCATTATCAACGGCGACAACAATAAAGGACCGGGATTCATCAACACGGTGTATGAGAAGGAATTGAAGAAGTTCATGCCGCAAGTGAAGAACACCCTTTTCATGGAAGATAACGCGCCAGTTCATACAAGTAAGCACGCGAACAGTTGGCGGTTGAGGAACAGCGTTCAGAAGATGATGTGGCCAGCTAATTCTCCTGATCCTAACACCATCGAGCACATCTGATCAATTCTCAAGAATCGTCTCAACCGTCGTTCTAGAAGACTAACTAGCAAAGAAGAGATGATAGCCACCCTTCATGAGGAATAATAAAAGATACCCTCAGAAACCATCGCAAATCTCGTAGCCTCCATGGACAAAAGAGTAGGTGCGGTACTGAAAGCCGAAGGAGGCTCAACCCGCTACTAGTCCGAATGAATTGTCATCCCATTCTAAAATCCTTAGTCTCATAATTTTTGGGAAGGCACTGTACCCTGATCCCTATCAGCTCAACTCCACGCGCCAGTTGTCATTCTGTACAGTTTCCCACATTATCTGTGCGCGCTCGCCCACGCATTGACCCTTTGCCAAAAAAAAAACAACCTTAAACACACATCACGGCTGCAGACGTTCTGCAACAGGGGGAAGACTCGTGCTTCCCCGGAGTTCTGTAATGTATTTGCCCGAATAGAAAAAGCATGGTAACAGCCTAGTATGTGAACCAAAGGATATGTGCTTTGGGTTGCGAAAGAGGGTAGGCGGTGTAAAGGGAGATCAACGAAAGGGACCAGTGTCTAACTCCAAAAAAAAAAAAAAATCAAGGCTACCACGGACCTAGACCTGCTACAGCGAGCGACATATAGGCTCTTGGCATATTATGAGTGGGTTTTTTGTCGTTGTCATTCCTGATTTCGTTTACCACCGATGCATGTGCATTTATCAGACAAGAGTATATGGGCCATTCGGGCCGACTTCCAGGAACGGTATATGTCTAGACAGGGGGGCATCTCGCACGCCAGGAGAGTGGAACACAACGAAGGCACCGTATGAAACATTTGACACATATTGGAGAGTCCTCACTTAGACAGTCTTGGGAGCCGTGGCGATTATTAACTTCACTTTGAAGCTGATGTTTGTCCGATAATCTGCAACCATAACAGTATCCACAGATTGGAGCTTGTTGTTCAACGGTATTCGCGCCCTTGTCCGAGATGTTGAACCACATATACACCAGGTATCAAGTCTTCGATATGATTAAGCAGATCCGTATTATCAGCGGAATGGACAACGACTTTACCAAGCGAATCAAAGGAGAAGCATTCGAAAGCAGTATAAGCCAACTACGACAACTGTCTGCCTAGGTATCAGAGATGAAGGTAATTGGATATTTTTACAGCTCCATATCGCTTGCGGTCCAACAACTCATCGAGGCGAAGGAGATTACATTAAATACTCGCTTCCAACATACCCGTATACCTTGGCCAGTCTTTATATTTGGAGCCTTGATCTCATCCTCGAATTCACTGCTTCAATAACGGGCCTATCCACATCTTTTCAAGACGTGCTACTGATATTTTACTGAAGGAATAAAATCTTCTATTTATCATAATCTTGGGCAATGCTGATAACTCCGTTCCTGAAAATCGAAACTGTCTGCTCAACCTTTTTTAAATTGGTGGCAACAAATGTTTATGTGGCTTGTTTCTCTCTCTCTTTTTTTTTTTTTTTTTTTTTTTTTGTGCTCCCCCTTCCCCAGCAAAGCAGCAGAGTCTTGTCGTCAGTCCTTGCTCTGCTCCTCGCTCGATTCCTAATTCCATCCTCCATAGCAATCTCAACATGAGCAACCGCATTCTCCAGGCAGGAGGTAGCAGCACCAGTGCTGGCGACGCCGCCCTCAACGCCAGGCGCCAGTCAATGGTATCTCAGGCCTATACTCAGTCCGAGTATTCAGAGTCAGAGCTTGGTGAGCAAGGTACGTTTATCACCTTCCATGACCTCTCCTACCCAGCAAAATACCCTTCTCTTGCATCTGCCGATGTTATTGAATGTCAACTTGATGTTCCTTGTTCGCTTTCTGGCCTTCAATTGCTCATGGCTTGTTTATAATTGTGATCTGTAGATAACCGCTGGGATGACTGGGAGGACGAAGATGGTATGGAGGGCGAAACCCCAAAGTGTCTATTCTGCGCCGAGACGTTCCCCTCGGCCCGCGAGGCTTTCTCCCATTGTGCTGTGTCCCACGGATTCGATTTTCTTCGCGCACGCCAGCAGCTGGACCTCGATTTTTATCAATCGATCCGCCTGATCAATTATCTACGCAAACAGGCCCAGGAAGTCGAAAACTTTGATCAGACCAAGACCTGGACCCTGAATGGGCAGGAAACTTTCCTAACGGACGACGAATTTCTCCGTCCGGTGATGGAGGATGACTCGTTGCTCTATGCGTTCGAGGATCTGGATCTGGAGGACTACTCGGCTGGAGAGACGGATCAAGCCCAGGATACGACTACTATTCTTATGCCACAGGGAGAGACCAAGTATATGACACGGTCAGCGTATGAGGATATTGAGACGACGACAGAGCTCGAGGCTAAGCTCTTGAAGCAATTGCGTCTGGCAGAGGAGCAGCTCTTCGCGGTTGAGGTCCAGCTTCAGAATACAGAGATGCAGTTCCAGGAATATAGGGCGAGGGTGAAGGAATCGTTCTTTGATACGCTAGAGGATGCGACGGCCAGGAGTCAGGTCTCGCAGGCAGCGCAGGAGACACAGGAGGGTGATCCGATGGCTCAGGTGGTTCCTCAGGACGAGGGCAACTACTACTTCAATTCGTATGCAAATTCGGATATCCATCAGCAGATGTTGAACGTAAGGGGAATACTATCCATTGCAGTCTGCTTTTTGTGTTTATTGTTCGTGGCAATGGCTAATACTGCTTCATTTCTTCGCTTATAAACAGGATCGTGTCAGGACAGAGGGCTACAGGGACTTTATCTACGAAAACAAGGATATCTTTAGCGGAAAGACGGTCCTCGATGTCGGTTGTGGTACAGGTATTCTATCGATGTTTGCAGCACGCGCTGGAGCTGCCAAGGTCTTGTCGGTCGACAACTCGGACATCATTGAGAAGGCACGAAGGAACATTGAGGAGAACGGACTGCAGGATGTCATTACGCTTTACCGAGGCAAGATTGAGGAGATCAAGTTGCCCTGCAAGGTCGACATTATCATCTCTGAGTGGATGGGATATTTCTTGTTGTATGAGGCCATGTTGGACTCGGTCCTGGTCGCAAGGGATCGGTTCTTGGCACCCGGGGGCATCTGTAAGTTGCAATTGCCTTTATCCATAACTCGTATCACAAAATGACGACAGTCTACTCATATGTTATTCATGCTCCGAATTATATAGTGGCACCATCCCAGACCAGGATCATGTTCACAGCATCGTCGGACGAGTCCTTTTTGAACGACTCTTTCCATTACTGGAACGACGTTTACGGGTTCAAGATGTCAACCATGAAGGAGGGTGTGCTGCAGGAGGCCGTCGTCGATTTCGTCTCACCCGAGACCATTGTCACCAACACGGTAGCGATCAAGGATCTCCCTCATCAGACCATTAAACTCGCAGGCTTGGATTTCATCTCTGAATTCGAGCTCGAGATGCAGCGGGACGATCAGGTGTGCGCATTTGTCGGATACTTTGACACCTGGTTCACCCGAGATGGTCGCGATGTGCCCCTGGATGTGGGTATCTCAAAGGAGGAGCTCAAGCAGCACGGCATGAACGGATTTACGACCGGACCGGTGTCCACACAGTCAGAGGAGACGCATTGGAAGCAGACCATGTTTGTGCTGGAGAAGCCTATTGATCTGAAGAAGGGCGATAAGATTGAAGGAACGTTCTATTGCACCAAAAGCAGCAGGAATCCAAGAGCGTTGGATTTGAGGATCGTGTACGAGGTCAAGAGGATGGAAAAGAGCAGTAGGGACAGTGAGAAGGCGGATCTGACGTTCTACCTCCGCTAAAAAGGACAATTCAACATAGAATCTCATAATAAAACATATTGTGTTTGCTATACGAGCCAAGCTCATGCAAAAAAGGCTATCGAGATTGGCAGCGATGTCATAACAAGTACTTGGTGACGCCCTTCCTCTGTAAGGGCAGCCAACCACACGTTCACAAAGACATGGATGCCAGTTGATCAGTTCTGTTAGACAGAAGTGCTGAACACCTGAACAAAGGTTAAAAAAGAGCGCATACCAAATTTTACATGCAGTTTTCTACTATTCAGCCAGGGTTGAATAGCTTGATTATGTTGTTCCCTGCAGTAATAGCGACGGATTCTGTGTTGTCGACACAGCAAAGGTGTTCTACATCGTACCTTTAGATCTATGTCTATTTGAACCGGAAAACAGGGTAACATCAGCACCTATTTATCAAAACAGTGCATCTTAAACCACGGCCTGATCTATATATGAAAAAAAGATACGGGTGTGTATTTGAAGTGCCGATAGCTCAGCAGCTGAGCACGACGCCGTTAAAGACAGGCGTAAGTGAGTTGTTGGGTGAATTAGCTGATTTCCTCCGCTTTTCAAGGGTCGCAAGTTACACATGGCTATATATTATTTTGAAACCAGTGCAATGGATGAGCAATTGGACAGTTCCATGTGGTCTGTCCCCTCATCTCCTCATCAAAGTCAAAAAAAATAGCGCGCACCTCCACGATCCTTGATCACCTTGTTTTCACAAGGAAGCAGAGCAAACAATACTTCTGATCGCATGGAGTACGAGGTTCTTGAACAACGCGCTTTATTATTCTTCACGACCGACAGAGACGCGTTCCTCCTTTCTATTCCTTACTTCAGTCCTTGCTCCAGACAAAGAGAGACTTGTCCCGGAGAGCCTTGCGTCCCATCAGCTCCCACTCTAATGGTTTGATCCACAGCTCCTTGGCCGTCTCCAGCTTGCCCAACACAGACGCTCCTTTCCATACCAGCAACCGTGGGTCCATATCACGCGGCGAGGGCAGTACCTCCACCTTCTCAACCGTGGTCAGAGTTGCTGGCAAGGCTTGAAATAATCTACAAAGGTTTATCCAGAAGCTCATCGTCAGATGGAAAGCGTTTTTGATAGAAACAGTATCGAAAAACACGAAAAACAACAAGGGATCTCCGCTTACCGGTCCTCAAGCACACGGTCAAATCCTTGGACCATACCGCCTCCACCAACCAAAATGATGCTACCATATAGCTTCTTGGACCGCTCCTCGCTGCCACAGTTCGAGATCGACTGAGCAACCACAACATCGAGTGCCACAAGATTCGAGAAATTATCCTTGCCGAGCGTCCCTGCAATCTCCCATGATTTATCCGTCGTCGTCACTGATGGCTCCATTGCAAAAGGCCTCACAACGGGTGTGATCTCTCCAGCAGATACTCCTGGAGGCACCGCGGACGGTACGGGTGTCGGTGCAGGTGTTGCGTTGGGCGTTCCAACATTGCTGCCGTTATTTTCTTCGCCTGGAGCTATCAACGACGGCGTTCCCGCTCTAGCTGCTGCAACTGCCGCCGCAGCTGCCGCAGTGTTCTTTTTGGTGTTTTGATTCATTAATGCAATCTAGTTGAAAATTAAATACAACAAACGATTAATACACGCCCTAATGCAATAGTAATCGTTGCCGACTACCGAGGACGCAAATCATTCACATGGACGTACTGGTGGAGCATCTTCATTAATATCTTCGTAGTTGGTAATCTTTGCAAAACTGGGATTGATCTCGCGCTCCTCTATCCACCGACGAATGACTCCAGGGAAGAATAAGCACTATGCAAAAACAAATGAATTATAGCATTAGCGCTGATTTGCCTCGTAATTAGCACTTAAACAAAAGCAAAGCTATGCCACATATTCCTTCTTACCATTGGCGACAGCGCAACCTCGTCATAGACCTTAACCTGATATTTCTCCGTATGCTTCTCAGGCCGCCGAACGAAAAAGCTGTATACTTGTACTGTAAGATCCGCCTCATTCATCGTGCACCACTTTTCCTTCAGCTCTTCCATCAGCCTCCAGTCATATGTCTGTGCCAGATCCAGCTCCTCATAGGGGAATCCTGTCCGTTTGACCAGAGCTGTGAAGCACCGTGTAATGTCATCTCCGCCATACTTCAAGACCGCTCTGGAGTTGGGAATGCAGATACCGTCCTCAACGCAGGCTACCTTAGTGACCTCTGCTCCGATATCAACAACACAGGCGGTGGAAACCCCTGCACCATATGCAGCACACACCGATTCCTGCTGGACCATGACGCCGCGGAACTGCATCGACTTGAGTAGCATGTTGATGAGCTCAGTGACATACAGTTTGTTGTATAGGTCTGGGATGACTAGAAGCGCATAATGTTTCTGATACAAACAAGATTTAACATACATAATGTTAGTGCTGTGTCGTAGGACCGCATTCTCTCCGGGTCCTGTACGAGTATGACGAAATAAACATACCCTGAACTTCTTTGGTTCGATCCCAAGATCGTCCTGGATGACCTTTGTCCATATTGTCTCCAGATCTGAGACTACAACTCGTGGCGTGGTGTAATCTTGGTCATTCAGCTTTCCGCCCACGATCGGCCAGAACAACTTGAAGGTGTGGTTCTTTCCAGGCGGCAAGTTTAATGCCTAACCAGACGAATTAAGAACGTAAGACGGAATGAGTGTTCCATATCAATGTATTAGACAGAGAAGCCTGACAGGTATACTCGAGAAAGCATGAAGGTACAAGCGATCCTCACCTTCTGTCCAATAATGTATTCACCCTCTGCGGCTGGATCCGTCCACTCAACCTTGTAAGGATCATTATGATCCAAAATCCTCTCGGGTCTCGTGGAAGTGTTGAAAGACCTGACCTGCATCTTTGCATTGGGTACTGGTCGTCGCTTAGCGGCTTTCATGCGCAGCTTAAGGTCGTACTCAATCTCCTGCAAGTATTTGTCATTCAAGACCTATCAGCGTAAATAGGGATCGTGATTCAGTCTGCTGAAAATAATGAAGCCAATCAAAGCCGCATTGCTAAATGCTGAAGAGTTCAGTGTTTCTATCTCTTACATCAAGTACCTCAGAAATATCGTGAGCTTCCTCTTCGTCATCGTCGCCATCCACATCCATGGTGTTATTATCTTCCCCTGCATCCGTCTTATCGTTTTGCTGTTCCTGCTCTTTTACCTCTCCATCCTTGAGGTCGATGGACGTGTCATCTCCTTGTCCGGCTCCTGTTGAGGCTACTGATACTGGAGCCAATGTTGCAGCTGGCTTTCCATTAATAATTACTCCTGTGGTAGCAGTTCCGTGCATCCGCCGTGCAATGCAATGTGGGGTTGCGACCGGGTATGCATCCGAAGCTCTTCCGATCCTCAATATCCGTGATCCTGGGTGAATGACAATAATCTTTTTGCCAGCATTCGAAGACTACCATTTGAAGGGCGAAAACATTAGTTTTAACCATCCCGAGCATGATCCATGACCAGTAATATAACACTAACTGCACCACACAGCGTCGGAATGCTTACCGACTTCGTCTCGCCGTTCTCATCTTCTTCATTCACGACACTCGCTTCTGAGTCGCTGTCGCTACTGTCCTCGTAATCATCTTCATCCTTGTCCTTATGCTGGGCTTCGTCATCCTGCTCATCGCCATCCTTGTCTTCCTCATCCTCATCATCCGCAAAGATCCCTCTCCGGATAGCCGAAAATTCATCGCTCTTTTTTTTCTTCGCAGCACCGTTCTCGCTACCCTTGTCCTCGATAGCATCCTCGCCTACGTCCTCAGCCCTCGTCTCTCCTTCCTGTGTCGGATCCTCTACAACCTTGCGCTTACGCCGTCTTTGCTTGGCTGCCATGTCCTTGAGAACGAAATTCTTGTCCGTCTTAAGGAAATTGCTGCTGCTGTTTCGATTAGGTAAAGGTGCCATAGCCACAAACGTCGTGAACTTGAACTGCGGTATGTATGTCCGTATTGGTTGTGGCGGAGGTGCTGTTGCTGCTTCTGTGGATGGTGCGGCTTCGTCTGTTGCAGGTCCTGACGCTAGCGCTGCTGATGTTGCGTCCGTCGCAGGTGATGCATCTGTGGAAAGCGCAGTTTCTGCAACAAACTTTTCCTGCTTTTGTCCATGCTCGTTTGAGTCCATGTTGGCAGAGTCCGATGCCTTGAGCTGATCAACGTCAGACATACTGGTGTCGATGTGCTGCTGGTTAACCTGTGTTTCTGCCTTGACCTCCTGCGGGGCTTGCTTGGCGGTGTCGGCGCTGACATCCTCCATCTGGACATCTTCCATGACTAGCAAAGGATGATGAGCTTTGGATCGATGAGTTCAGCCTGTCTCTGCTACCTGTGCCGCGCTCTGAAGGAGACTGCTCGATGCTGAGCAGCCAGTGGCTTTTGATTTCGATCTGCATCCTTCGGTGGCAGAGTCTGTGCGTTGTTGCACGCTGCTATAGTGCGCATATTTTTATTTGATGCTTAATGAATGAAGAACTATACAATGATACGGGCAATTATTGAACGATCAAGCCGTAGAAACAATGGTCTAAAATATCTAGGTTGCGTTGTAGAATATGTAAAGCGATGCTTTGTGTGTGATGATACTTTACAGCTTAACCGAGGCCTCAAGGGCAGCCAAGACATCCTTGACCAGATCCTCAGTATCCTCAATACCGACCGACAAGCGGATCAAGTTCTCAGTGATGCCCAAGGCTGCACGGTCCTCAGCCGAGACGGATCCGTGGGTCATGGTGGCGGGCAATTCGCAGAGGGACTCAACACCTCCCAAACTTTCGGCCAAGGTGAAGAGCTTGACGTGGCGCAAGAAGGCATTAGCAGTGGCCAAATCGCCCTTAATTCTGAACGAAATCATGCCTCCGAATCCCTTTTGCTGACGCTTGGCCAACTCGTGCTGAGGGTGCGAGGGCAAGCCGGGGTAAATGACATTCTCGACGCGAGGAGAGGCCTCCAACGCCTCAGCAATGGCCTGGGCTGAGGCAGCGTGCTGGCGCATGCGGAGATGAAGGGTCTTCAGACCACGGTTGGCGAGAAAGCAGTCGAAAGCAGACGGGACAGCGCCGATAGAGTTCTGCAAGAAGGCCAACTTGGTAAAGATCTCCTCATCCGAAGTAACAGCAACACCCATGACAACACTAAATCGGGATGCATGAGTAGAGTACGATGGTCAGCATCAGCAATGTTCCGTTTAAAACACTAGAGATACAATGGTATAACCTATTCAGCGATTCAACTTACTCAGAGTGTCCGTTGATGTACTTAGTAACGGAGTGAACGACGATGTCGGCACCCAGCTGAAGTGGGTTCTGGAAGAAGGGGCTCATAAAGGTGTTATCAACAACCAGCTTGGCGTTGTGCTTGTGGGCAATCTCGGCAACGGCCTTGATGTCGACCAAGCGCAGGGTAGGGTTGGTGGGGGTCTCAATCCAGACGAGCTTGGTGTTGGGGCGAATGACAGTGGAGATGTTGGCAGCATCCTTGAGGTCGACAAAGGTGACCTCGACTCCCAAAACCGAGGCAACCTTGGTAAAGTAGCGGTAGGTACCTCCGTAGACATCGTTCACAGAGACGATGTGCGATCCAGCAGGCAACGAAGAGACGATGGTGGCAGTAGTAGCCGATCCAGAGGAGAAGGCCAATCCGTGCTTACCACCCTCAAGGGCAGCAACCGCAGTCTCGAAGGCCTTACGGTTAGGGTTTCCAGAGCGGGAGTAGTCAAATCCCTATTAGCGAGCACAGGAATAGTGGAAATGTTAAATCGAGAGTCCAGACCAAGAATAAAAAAAAAAAGGGATGGGGACCCAACCACCACACAAACAAAAGGCACTCTAGCCTCGTCTTTTGAATGCCCACGGGCTCCCTTTGCCTCTTTGTTTTCTCTCATGCGCTTCTAAGAGCGTATTAGGATATGTGTGTGAAATGTGCTGTATCGTGGCTAAGGTTCTTCTCCCACGTTCATCGTGTGCGACCATGAAAATAAATAAAAAAAAAAGACCATTGGCCGAGCTTGTCTGGGGTGTCTATGGTGTCCATGGTCCTCAAAAATGCCGGCGTCGAACTAATGTTGTATCCTAGGGTCGTTTCCCACGGTGGTGTATAGAACTGAAGCCGAGTAGTCGTCTCGGCGTCTGCGCCGCAGAAGGATCCACAATGCGCTAATTGTCTTTCTTGGGAGCAGACCAACCGACGACAGATCCATGTACTTGTCTCTCTTTCTTATCCCTCCGTGATGGAAGCGAAGATGATGACTTCCTTGTCGCGTTTTGAAATTCAAATTCCCACCCAGCGAAGCACACAATTTCGATACTAAAATATATGAATGAATTGGGGTCCACGTAAAATAAAACAAAATTGGAAGCCGTACACATGAACAGAGTCCCCAGGGTTTCTTTTTTCTGCACTTGATCTATGAACCCCTTGGTGCTATTTCAAGACAGGATTGCATCGATCCTCGAGAAATGGGGTGATCGATACATTTATTCAGCAAGCAATGTAGCAGCAGATCCAAGAACATTATTGCTGCGCTTTTGCCCCTGACAAATCGAACAGCCTTTTTGTCTTTCTCCTTTCATCAAGGCCCCTCTCTCCCTCACTTCAAAGCATCTGACAAATTGTTTTTCGTGCAGTACATGTTGCACCAAGTACCTCCACAAGAATACAAAAAAAAAAAAAGGGCCGATTTGTGATGCAGTCTTCCCTTTCGCACTTGAGGAACAAGGAGAAATATAAACGAGCACTTACATTGTGTTCACCGGCTCCGTGCTGCTTGAAGGTAGTCGAGAGCGACAGAGGAGGGATGACAGCACCTATTGTGGAGCAAGTAATCGAAGCAAGAGATCGAATGATACAACTGATCAGAAGCACATCTTTTATTCGTCTTTGCCGCTACTGCTCTGCTCTGCAGATTCATGCCGATTGCTTGCAATTGTTGGACCATGACCGTAAAAGATCACTCGTACAATGATACAGATGGTTCCAGCAAACAGATGACCATAACAAATATAGGGAGCGACTTCATACCAGTGACAGGATCAGGGTGTTGGCCGGCGTGCACGGCACGGGTGCCGAAGTTTGCCTCGAGGATGTGCTCAGTGTGATCGTCGTTGAAGTACTTGGCAGACATGTTGGTGTTAGAGGTAGTAACTAGTGAAGATGCTGTTGAGGCCTTGTTTTTGTTATTGAAAAAGAGGAAGTGTTTTGGTGGCGGTGGATGTGAAGGGAAAAAGAAAAAAAGAAAAAAAAACAAGGACCTGATATTTAAGGTCGAGCAAGATTCACACGGCTCCAAATCCGGATTCCATGTGCAGTTACAGAGATATCAATTAAAGAGGTCTCCATTAGTAATCGAAGGACTCAACTCAGCATGCCTTTCATCCATTGTATGGTGTCACTGAAGCCCAGCCTCTGTGTAGAATAAACAGTTGCCCTCTAGTCCTGCTGAGCTAACACAATTAAGGGCACCATTATTGTGCGCACTTGACCCGGCCATTGTGAAAGAGAGAGCGAGCCTTTCAATTTTTTGCGTTCAACAATTTTTTTAAAAATGGTGGCAACTCACTATCTTCTCGCGATCAAGGGTTGCCGAGGCCGCAAGTGGAACAAAGTACGATAACGACAAAGCATCCACAAGCAGCACTCTCGTCTACACGCTTAAAGTCTCCCATTGATCTTTAGCTGAACTGTACTCGACTAATACTGGCAATTAGAATCACCCAGGGCTCGTAGACTAACAGCATAGCCTAGCCGTAAATAAGGATGACCAATTCGGATAAACAAACGAATATACACCATATCCTCCAAGATGTTGCAAATTAGCTGTTTTATTATTAGGGATAATATTTTTTTTTCTTTTTGCAATGGGGGCAAAAAGCACGTTCTTGCCTTGTTCCTTTAAAGAGCCGCAGCCGTGGCCAGCACCATCGCAACCAAAGAGACTACCACGCGTCCCAGGCCGAATGCCTTTGCTGCCTCTGCGCCGCTTTGAGTAGCAGTAGGACTGCTAACAGCGCCAGTGGTCGTGGCAGTTGGCAAGGACTTTGAGATCGAGGTGACCGTGGCCAGCGCCGGGGACAGTTCAGGCTGTTCCTTTTGATTGGCTGCAGTGGCATATCCGCTTACATCCTTGCACAGCTCGTCGAGAGACTCAGGCGTGATCCGATTTCCCTGGCTGGTTCCGTCCAGGGCGCAGTTTTCGCTGGCTGAGGCAAGTGGGTAGAAGCCTATTGATATCGTAAAGAAAATGGCGCGAGGTGAGTGGAAGAAACAAAAATATGCGAATTCCCAGGTACGGGTGGCAGTGTTCTGGGTGTTTAATTTTAAATCCCGGGCAAAATTGAATTGCTCAACGCCCTCACCCTCGCCCTCACCCTCATTGCTCTGTTCTCGTCCATGTCCTTGATAATTTTTTATTGCTGTGGGTGAGTGTTGGAGACAAAAGACGTACCTGTCTTGCAAATACACGGCTTCCATGCTGGGTCAGAATCAGCATTGGGGATGACAGTGTTGTTCTGGGTGCAGGGAGCAACCCATGCCTTGTAAAGCTCGTGCAGGGGAGAGCACTCGGGCTTTGTCTGAGCATGGACCTGAGAGAACAGGGCGAGGGCAGCGATGAAGAGGAGAGGGAGGAGGGCGGTGCGAGTCATGGCTGGCTGTATTTTTTTCAGAGGAAAGAACAGTGAAAAGACGGAAGGAGGGAAGGACGGATGGTGATGATGAACGCGTGAAAGAGCTAAGGAGCAACGAAGGAATAACGAAGGAAAGAAAGGGAGGGTAAAGAGAAGAGAGGAGGAGGAGAGAGGCTGATGTCAAATATAATCTGACAAGTGGGGGAAGAGGGCGGGGTGGAAGGTGAGGGAGAGGGGAGGTGGTAGTGGTGAGGCGGCAGCAATGGTGGCAACGAAGAAAAAAAAAGAAAAGAGGTCCGGCAGGGAGTCCTCCTTTATTTCTCCGGGCACTAAACGCAGTCTACGGAAAAAAGAAGCGTGTCTGTGTGGTGTAATGTGTGGTGTAATGTCCCCCGAGCCCACACAGCGGCATGAGGTGTGTTGTCTCTCGGGCCTTTAAGCGGTGAGTGTGTTTACGCACACCATTCGGTCAGTGGGAGATGTTAGATCATGTCGGTGGAAAATGTTAGGCTACGTCGGTGCTCATATTCCTGACATTCCATAAGCACTCTCCCACTTTTTCACCCGGCTAGATGTGTGCACACAGTTTTATTAAGAGAGCCTATTCTGGCTTTAACCACCCTAAGAACCCACCCATCAATAAAAACAATACATGTAAATATCCTGTCACTAGTGAGCCCATCTCCCTCCTCCGTAATGCGGTGTATGGGAACTATGGGACCCATGCACCCCTCCAGGACCTCCATGTGTACCAACAGGTGTTCCCTCCATGATCGCCTGTTCCACACGACCCAATCCCTCCTTGCCTACAACGCCCTCGAGCCATGCCTTACGTGCACCGACCATCAGTTGTCTCCGCTCGAGGAAACACTCCGGCGGTGTCAGAATGTTGTCGCAGCTCAGGTAATCGCTGCTACCAATCACAGGAAACGATGCCGACGTCGACAGGAGTGACAGCGGACGACTCGGCGACTTGACTACAGGCGACGTTGAAAAGATACTATCCGCCAATACTGGGGCAGATGCAGATGACGACATTGTCACTGCTGCTGTCAAGGGTGTGGAACTGGTGTTTGCCGAGGAAGACAATTTCTTGTTCAAAGTAGACGATGATTGTTCGTAATTCCGTCCCTCATACTGGACCCAGTCCCGAACCAGCTCTTTGCTCTTCGTTCCTGAAACAATCGTCTTAACAATCGTACGTCGCTCCTCCAATGCAGCCGCATCCTCTGCAGATAATCCTTCTCCCTCGTCCTGCTTGTCGGACGCATCCCCTGGAGGCGCTGCTCTAGAACGTAGACCACCGCGAGGTGGAGATGGCATCTGAATAGGGCCAAATGCGACCCGGGCCAGATGATGAACTGCGATCCAGTAAAGCGCAGGGTTGCGTTGCTTGATCACTCGTCCGCTGACGACCGCTTTAAGATAGTGCTTTAGGACTTCCGATGTTACGCACTCTTGGTCGTCTGTAATCAGACTTCTGAGTGTGCCCGCGTCAAGTTCCTCCCACTTGGTCGTTATCCCTCCCAGAAAGTTGAAGGACTCTTGCCAAATGAGAAGCTGCAGCTCAGAAGAAAGCGCCATGGCTGGAAACAAGAATCGAGCCGCCGTTGACTGGAACTGCAAGAGCGTGCCTGTCGTGAAGGAGTTCTCTATAAAGTTTTTCATGAACTGTGTGAAAGGCAAGGGAGCCGTGAGGACTGAGAGTGTCTTTTCGGACAGTGCCGTCAGGCCTTGAGGACCATCGGAAACCAAAGAGCAATCGCCGCGAGTACTGAAGTGATCCAGCAGTTTGTTGATATTGGCATCGACTTCCTCATCAATAAAACCATCTTCTTCTTCCTCCCCTTCCTCTTCCTCCTCGTCCTCCCCCGGTCTGTCATGGGGTTCCTTTTCGCCTTCCAATGATAGCAACTTGAGTGACGCCATATAGATGAGCTCGAACGATATGCCGTCCAGGGTTTGCAACAGCGAATAGACGAAATCAAGCGTGCAGTGCGCTACCGAGGTCGCTGCGATTAACGCCCCAGACTCCTCCACAAACGTCATCTTACTCTTGAAAAGCAGGTCGATCGGATAAAACAGCCAGTTGAACAATGGCTGGCCCGTGATCTTTCCATAATCCATCACCAGGCTGTTGATACCACGACCATCATGCATCCAAAGACTTTGCGACTGCTTCAGGTCTTTGTCACTCTTGACAAAGCATTGTAGGTACAATGGTTCCAGAATTCGCCTCACGACTGTGACCTGCTTGGCGTTCTGGTTAAGCAGCTTGGCAAGAACGCGTGGGTTGAAGAGAATCTTGAGCAGCACATCATGACTCAGACTCTCGTCTCCAGGGAGGACAATCTGGAGCAAGGATAGCGCTGTAACTTGGAAGAGCGGGAAGAAGGTCAGCTTGATGTGCGAGCTATTATCGGGATCCTGCTGGTACACGAGAGCATCCATGGCCGTGAGCCAATGAGCGACAAAGTAGACACCATGTCGAGAGACAAATGCTGTCCAAGGCGGCAAGGTCGTCGGGATCTGGTCCTGGATCGTCAACTCGTACTTGGTCACCTGCTCCACCAGTCCAAAGACGGACTCGGACACCAAGGTCTGGATGGTCTCATGTAAGATAAAAGGCTGCGCAGAAGTGAGGCGAGCGAGGTAAAACATAGCAGTCAAATGGCTGCTCAGGTATTCGCAACACAGAGACACCTCGAAAAGATTAGACGCGATGGCTGACAAAGCTGAAGGGTTGTTCATCGTTATACCGACATGAGGTAGCGCAGGCTCGTCCAGCCCTGGAACGTCCTTTAAGAGCGATGTCAGCCGCCCATGCACGGTTTTGTATGCGTTCGAGTTGGTCCAGGTCGTGAAATGCACAGCTTTCCAAACGCGTTCCAAGATCTGCTCGTTGTCCGGCGGGTTAGTCGAAAGATAGCGTGCCCAGGTACTGATATAGCGAACCGTGGAAGCGGCCAACATCGCATCTTCAATATTGAAGGTAGATAGATGATCCGAGTGCTTCCAGTGCGTGATTCCATCCAGAGCAGGGTCAAGGAAAGCCGCAGCCTGCGCCCAACAAAGCGAGTGCTCTGGGATCGTGCGATGCACATCTGCGGCAGCATGGGTCCAAGCAGTGGCGAGCTGGAAAAACATGGACAGCTTTCTGGAAAGGAACGTTTTGACTACTGGATCGAGGTCGCCCTTGTTTCGCTCCGCGATTGTCTGGGCAAGATCCTGAAGCAGCAGCGACTGCAAACTGTCACCCAGCACATTACAGTAGAGTCCATATGCTGCCAATGACCGAAACAGCTTCAACACCTGGGTTTGGATTGCAAAACCGCGTCTATTCTCCGCCTTTGCCTCGGGCGTAACCACCAAGAAACGAAGCAGGGGCTCCAAATGTCCTTCGTCAATCACTGCTGATGCAACTTCCTTGGACGATCTGACGATGATATCCAGGATCGATATTGCCTTGACTGTGCAGTTCAGCTCCAGATCACCTCTCTCAGAGGGCCACGAGATTGCGCCGTAGTGTCGGATAAGCGCCGCAATCAAACCCTCGCATTGGAAAGCCTTCTTGGCTGCACCCGCGTTGCTCCGCACGATAGTTAATAAGATATCCAACACTTGCGCATTCGAGAAGGCTGGTAGTTGGCAAACGTCCAGAATATATCGAAGTCGGGGGATGATGTTCATAGCAAGCAGACCCTCTACAGGATCCTTTGAAGCCAAAATCGCGTGCGCTGCAATCGTCTCTTCTGTCTCTGTTCCCTGCTCCTGACTCGCCTGCAGCGTATCGGACCTGAGTTCCATGTTGGCGAACTTTGTAATATTCTGGTACTTGAATCCAATACTGATCCGCTCATAGCCGCGGTTCAGATGGTCGAGCGAATCCCAAATGTCTTCTGGCAGCCCAAGGTTGGGCGGGGGCATCGTCCATGTGTAGATTGCATTGATTGCTGCAACAATTCCGCTATTCGTCTTATCATCCAGCGCCGCACGGATATAGACTGGAGCGCGGAGTGTGTCGATTAGCCAGCGCAAGATTCCAGCGCGGACTTCAAAGGAAGCGAATGCCGGATCTCTGCAGTTTTGAAGAACCTTAGCGACGATATTCAGAGGAAGGATTCTTTGACTGGGCACTGTTGATCGAATAAGATGCAGCAATTCCGAAAGTGTGTATCCGGCTTTCGTGGGATCCACGCCATGATGATGTAGCCCAAGGTGAACTGGTATGTTCTCGTCGTTGATAATCTTCCCTGTAAAATCAAACCGATAATGAGCTGCTGGCGGATCTGCTTCACTCACGGTGTATGGCTGTGGTCCCGGTGCGACAGATTTGCCAAGAATAGACTTAGTACTGTCGGAGTTCTCACTCGTGCTTTCAATTCCCATCCACTCCAACTTTTCCGGCTCTGCAGGAACATCAGCAAAATATCTCTTTAGTGCCAACGGATGATCGCCCTCTTCCTCATTGTGCCTTTTTGCCTGGAAGGCAGAGTCACCGTGCCCGTCTCTGATATTATGCATACTGACGACCTTGTCCTCAACTTTGACTCCTTCCGAAAAGCTGACTCGTCTTTGTACAGTGTTGCGCCTCATCAGTTTCTTCACGAGCTCTGGATCTAGGTTCCGTAAAAGCTCCGCCTGTTCCTGCTCAATTTCCTCCTGCGACAGACTAGCGAGCTTTCTTTTGTTTTCCTCGTCGATCTGTTCCATTAGCGTACTGTGAGGCGAATCTGGCCTCTTTTTCAAGACCGAATGAAGCGCGGAGGAGGGCTTCGGTGGAAAGGATCGATCTATATATCCGAGTCAAGAGATGTCAGTATAGAATTTAGTCTACCCTTATTTTGCTCAATTGTCCTTTCATATTTCATGCTGATAAAGCAGATGATCAACTTACTGCCTCCTTGGCCACTAAAACTGGCTGGTCTCGCTGCTGGTCTGGTCGCAGGTCGAATCGGCACTGTATCAACTAAGTTATTAATGGAATAAAGCACACTGTCAGAGCGAACGTAACATTTATGCGGAACAAATTATCAGTAGAGAATTGTATTATGAGCTCCATACCTGGGCTGGGGGAAGCAACAGTGTCTCTCATGGCGTCGGGCGTCGTATTGATTTTCGACATGAACGTGGTGTATGCGGCTGAGTTGGGGGTGTCACTGCTCTGAGCGTTGATCGAACCCTTCGCAGCGATGGGCTCTGGGGTTCCAGATAGTGAAGACCCCTTGCTCTGTGCCTCAGCGAGCCGTCTCGCGAACAAGCTCTTGCCCTTGAATCCCCCCTTGACTGGTTGCGTGTTCGGCACTAGAGAACCAGGAGTCGTCGTCGCAGTAGTTGGGGCTACAGCTTCTTTAACGGGTTTCTCCAAGACCTCGTGCAAGACCTGACCCATCGATGGACCTGCGCTGCGCAGCCTCCTCCGTGTATCCTCCTCAGTCTCGAATTCGTCCTGTATACCATCATGGTGAGCGGTCCTTGCGGCTGTAGGGACGCTTGTACCGTCATCCTCATCGTCAAAGTCAATCTGAAATCGCTCGCCTTTGGGGGGTGTCTGGAAATGTGTCCTAGGCCCTTTGCTGGCTCTATCCTGCAGAAATCTTGACCCTCCTCGAAGTTTGAAAGATGATGCCTGGATACTGGGCGGTTGCAGAGGTAGCTGGTCGCCGTCAAGAGAGACCATATCCTTTTCCAAAGGCGGAGGCATGTCGTCATCGTCATTATCTTCAACAGTAACGTGCCTTGTTGTGTCCCCAGAGTTCCCGGTGCTACTGCCGCTCACTACGGGTTTCTTGACTCTGACAACAGCTGCGGCGGGTCTGTCGTTGGCCTTGTAGAACTCATCCTGCATGGCCAAGAGCTCTTCCTCGGTTTCAACCGGTTGTCGTCGTTGACGGATAACGCTCGCATGCTCGCGGCGTCTCTTCTCCTCGTCGACTGGACTTGAGCTCATAGTAGACTACGTTGCTTGGAGGTTCCTTTGTGGCTGATGCGGAGAAAAGTAGCAAGTCGAATCGAGCGATGCAGTCGGATGAGAGCAGTGGCCGATGCGATCAATGGACGAGAGGGACGAAGGCAGAAAGGGGTGTGTGGAATAAGGGATGTTTCTTCTGCGTACCAAACACAGCAAGCGGTGACTGTGTTTATCGCGTAGATTACGACGCGTGTTTCAGAGGGCACCAGGGTAGCGGTTCAACGGGTCCCGTGGAAAATTATTAGGGTCGGTCATTGGCCCCTGCACAATACATGTACAAACACGCGCTGTGTTATCACTGTATGCATGAGTCCAACTCAAGTGTTCGCAAATGTCGCAGCCATGGATTGAAGGGGAAGCCAACCTTGGTTACGCCGCTGTGGGCATCTAGGCACGTCCTCCCCTCTACTCTATGCCCTGATACCATGGGGATCATAGATGACGCGTTGATAATTTGTCATAAATCCCTTCCTGATATCAAGCTAGACTCTATGGACGACCAATATGTATATGCGAGCTGTCTGTGTCTCTATTTATTGTGGGAGGTGATTCTGGCTCCATAGCACACGCACAGCATAGGGCACATGGGTCGAACTCACTCTCCCATTGACTGAGAGGTAGTTTCTTTAGTCAGCATAGCCCATTCGCTTGGAAACAAAAGGCACTTTGATGTCCCACACTTGTGCCACGTTAGAAAATCAAGGTTACGAGTGTCCGCTGGTCCCCTTTACTCCTTGGCACGAATTTGTTGAGCATTTTCATTTTATGGACTCTGTTACGTTCTACCGAGTCGACAAATGAACAAGAGAAAAGATTTCAGGCGATCATGCGGGGGGAACAGGGAGAAGGATGAACTGCCTATAGACTATAGCCAACTTCAACTGGAGTCTCTCAGGAACAACAGCAAACTCGCCACCCTACTCAAAAAGTCTTATAATTCGGCCCCCCACACGGCATCAGTTTACTGGCGCTCGGCGCGACAGAAGCGGAGGGAAGTCCAAGGGAAAGAAACGAGCCAAAGGAGCAGAAGTAGTGAAAGCATGAACAGTTGCAACAGTAGTCTGCTGTAGCGCATCGGCTTCCTTGGTAGATACTCAGTAACGGTCATGTTGTGCCTGTACCTGTGGGTCTGGATCGACTTTGCCCTGCATCAGAGCCATCGTAGATAAGCAAACAGCGCAAGACAAATACTAAATGCATCGCGCCGTAACGGACGAGAATCAGGTTTAAAAAGAAAAGGAATCTCGACAAACAACTCTTGACTTCATGCCTCATTCATTCCTCATCCCCATCGCCATCGCCCACTTTATTTTCTTTTTCTTTTTTCTTTTTTTTGACCACACATTTCCACTGAAAATCCAGCAACACTGTGTCCTCTCACCTCCCTGTTTCTTTGAACTGTAAAACTTACTTTAACAAACATAATTTGAAGTCGGCCGAACCAAAGCCATGGACAAATACCAGACACTGGAGCAACATGGTGTCCGAGAGCTGGTTAAGGTGGCTGTGGACGAGGACGGCCTGCCCTGCATCTTCCTCAGAGACATCGAGCGCGTCTTTCCCAACACAACCTTCATCTCCTCTTGCGGCGTGCGCGTCCCCTTTGCCATGGACTCCGCCAACATCCCGTACGAACAAGCTGTCGATGTAGTCTACGGTACTCATGTCTATCCATGAGCAAATGGCTAATCCTTTCCCTTTGATTCCCACGCACATCGGTAATAGGAAACAGCCCCTCCGCATCTACTACTTTGAGAACCGGGTCCTGAAGGTCGAATCTGAAAACAGTGCACTGGAATGGTCGCGAGAAGCAACGGCTGCGCGCATTGCCGCTGCAGCTGCCTCCGTCGCAGCATCTATTACTACCGTCAATACCGTACACACTCTTCCAGTGCCTGGCTTCCTGGACCTAGGCATTGAAGGGATCGACTACAGAGGCAACGAATCCGATCACGTTGAGAGCGAGGACTTCGTTGACATGGCCGAGTCCTCAGACCACGAGGAAGAGGAGCAGCTCGTATCTAGGCGTCTGCATCCACAATTCAGCAGCGCAGCAATCGCGCCCATATCACGCACACTGCTCACAACAACAGCAGCAACGCCAGTAACATATCCGACCATCACGACACGGACATTGAGAACGGTGCAGAGCCTTAATAACCTGCCCCAAGAACCCTTTGAAGCGGCTCCTGAACACACTCCTTCATCCACCAGCACCATACCACCAATATTTGATGAGAACCTTGCTATACTGGAAGAAACAGAGCTAGAGCATGACACCACCCCGCTCCCTCTTTATGAGGTAACTGACCCTAGCTTGCACCAACATATCGCCTCGCGTTTAATCTCCCAAATGGCCCCAACTTCCTCCTCCCCTTTCCCCACCATGGACGATCTAGCGGAGCACTACCTTGTCCATGACCGCCTGGGCATCATAAAACGCGTCAGTCAGGCCATCCTCACGCACAAGTATGAAGCCGAATCGTGTCCCCATCCACCACTATTCATCCTGCTGCCCGAGAACCCACTTCAATGGTCCTTTGAGAACATCCTACACAACAAAATGCGGCTCCATTTCTTGTGCGACTGCTGTGAGCATGAAATTTACATCCACGACCCACATCATGGACAGCGAACCCTTGCCAACAAGCGGAATGTACACATGGACGAATCCAAAGGCTTCGAGATCCGGCTGGATCAATATCATGACCAGGTGCTACTTGTCAAGTTTGGAAACTATGTACTCAGCCTGCTTCGGATGATGAAATATGGCGTCTCGCTCGACAACATATTTGTTACTGCAGCGTTTGACCGACCCGTGCCGCCACTGATGAGTGTCACTGAGGCGAATCTTGGGGGCAAGTCTGGTATGGATCCACAAATTTTCTTCAAGCGGAAACAAAACATTGAACGGTCGATTGCATTTATGGAGGTATTGCTTGGCGTCAACTACGATGAGGAAGCCTCCGAGACTCTCAGCGGCCTGGACATGGACGATTTCAGGGTTCTGGACTATATTGTGAAGAGACCGCCTTATGCCCAATCTACCAAGACTGAATCCACTGTTTCTGGAACGTCGTCATTTTCGCTCACTAGCCCCACAGTCCCAAATATTGACCACGAGCAGACCATGGGCAACGTTCACATCGGCGGCAGCGGACTACATAAGGTGCAGAGCGCTGACGGCCGAGTGCGATGGGCTTGCTACAAGTTCTACAAAATGCATCACCAAAACCTCGACAAAATCTTTGCCAACAAACTCGAGTATCACCAGGCAACCCTGGATCCTCACACCCGGTCGTCCGTATTTGTCGCTTCAAGCGAGAGCCACCTTAATGCAAAGATCATCAGTGTCTCCAAGGTCAGGGCACTCTTTCAAGTGGACTTGACGATCGACTGGAACTTTGACAAGAGGCAGTTGATCACCCTGGCGGATGTGTTGGGGGGAGAGGCATTAGCTGTTTCCACATTGGCTGTGCGGCTCACCAAGCGAGTGCCTCCGTTGGCGTGGAAAAAAAATACTCTCGCGAGAAACGGGGACGACCAGCAGCCCATTAATGCCATCATCAACCTGATGAAGAACCAGAGGATCAGGCATTTGATTCTGGAAGGCGACATCGACTTGATGTCTGTTCCTAATATCGGGACTATGGACTTTACTAATCTGGATATCCTGAGCATCATGCGAACCAGCAACCGCGGCTATGTATACAGCAATGCCAACAGCAGCAGCGTTGGCAGCAACGACAATTTTGAGAGCGGCAACATCATTCCAGTCGCCAACGGAGGCAGCAATCAGGAAACAAACATTCCAGAATTGATTTCACTCGTGCCACCATGTAGTTTTCTTGCAGAACTCTCACTTGGATTCCCTAATTCAATTCCAGGACACATCAGAATCTTGCAGGCCTGCATTGCGGGCTTTTCAAGTCTGAAACGAGTCGATCTATTCAGGGTGCTTGGTGCAAGGACTCTTAGCGGCAGTAAAGGCGGCAACGGTGGCGGCATCAATTTTGGTAGCGGTACAAGGATCAACCGCAAACTGGAGCTCTCTGCCAGTATCTCGGGCTCAAGGATCACAAGACTGTATATGGCAGAGTGCAAGGCAACTGGCGAAGGCAAGGCTAGGTTGCTTGAATCCATGGAGGAGCTCTTGACCGACGACAGTTCTTACCTTGAAGATCTGGAGATGCGGTTTATGGGATTTAACGATAAGCACGCCCATGCACTCGAGCTTGGCACAAGACCAATTCCGGGAGACAGTTGTTGTCGCTTGAGACGCCTAGTCATCCATGGCAACGGACTCGAACACGGGGGCGTCTACGCTTTGAAGCGGGTTTTAAGGCGGGCAACAAAACCAGCTCGACTGAGCGAAGCGTTATCAATGGAGGGTCGAAGTAGCAACATCAACACCAGTTCCTCTGCTCAAGTAATAGTCTCCGCTCCCGCTGCTGTGCCCACGGCAGCCGAGCACCCAGAGCCATTCTGTTTCAGGGCTATGATGGAACAGCCGACCCTCATCCACCTTGAATTGTGCTCGCTTGACTCATTAACGGATTCGGACTGGGCTAGTCTTTTGAGTGACCTTAATATGCAGCGACTCACCACTCTCGACCTGCAGGGCGTTTGGTTTGGCGACCGTGCCATGGCTATGCTTGCCAAAACAGGCAACTCTGGCGATGCACTGGACTTGCCCTCACCGCCACATTCTCCAACCAGCGAGTCTTCCACGTTTGCATCTTCGTACATGTCCTCGCCACCTGCACCGCTTCCACCACCAGCCTTCTTTTCGCCCTCATCTCCCTTACACCTGCAGACGCTCCGACTCAGTTGTTCAGCATTGTCGCACAGAGGCGTATCCCATATGCAGGAATTCCTCTCTCGGCTCACGCACCTTTCGACTATCAGTCTGCACGGATTCCGCAAGGTTACGTCCGAGGACTGGATGGATATCACGGCTAGGATTGCTTTTCGTTGGGTCGAGGCTATTGAGATTGTGAGCTCGGGCTATGATGATGTCTGTGCGAGGTACTTGGGTGAACGGATTCGTGTAAGGGAGCAGATGCCTGAGGACCCAAGGACGACTGCTACTTCTGAAGGCGACGTGGCACCACCAGAGGCAGCATTGCCAAAGTACAGTGCTCAACCAACAGTCGCCGCTTCTTCCTCTTCCTCTATTGCATCAACGTCGAGCTCGATGTCGTCGTCACCGCCAAGGGCCAGCAGGAGAGAATCTATATCCTCAAGGCTATTTAATAGTCGCTCGCCAACGTCTGGACTCAAATCTATGGACAAGGATAGAAATAAGACTTCAACCTCGTCCACAACACCATCAGTAGTCATCCCACCTCCTGCGTCGTCAAGGCCTAATCCCTCGCAGAAATATCTTGAAATCGATCTTCGATACACCGATGTCTCTTCAATGGGACTAGCACTCTTACGAACCAACACCATTGGACAAGCTAAGAAGGTCGTTGTCCGGACAAGGGATGGCGAGAATGAAGAGTGCGGCGATGACGAGGATCGAGCTGAGATTACGCGACTGGCAGCCAAGTTTGGGGAGAAGGATGAGACTGAGGAAAAAACGAGACGTAATGGCAAAGGACGAACAGTAGCGGGAATATCGCGTTCTACACAGGGTCCGTCGACCTCGGTTCTTTTCAGTGGAGCGTACATCAACACTTTTGCGACAGCATCCTCCTTTCAATCGCCTTTGTCGGTGACGCAGCAAGGATCTGGCAGCAGAAGTAGTTCAAGCCAGCAGCCGCAGCCACCGACGAGGTCTTCAACATTCATGAAGCTGAAAGGTGCTTTTAAAAAATTCTGAGGTTGACAGTTTATACAGACGCGACTATTCATACAACCCTAATCGTATGATGATATCTATTTACGAGTAAAACGTAATGCCTACAGACTATGTGCTCTACATGATGAAGCAAAGAAATTCAATAGTGCTGTTTATATATATATATGCTGGCCTCTTGGACTACGGGTCCCAGACTCGAAGAAAGACACTCCAGCATTGGTTTAGTAGTGATCATCCGCACAGTAGGAGAGAAACCCCCTACTCAGAGACTGGATTTCAGGGTCGATGGTCTGTTTTATCCCAGGGACGAAGATAGGTGCCGGTATAGATATGATAACCATGATGCCAGTGCGGCTAGGGTAATATTGTTCGCCTGGTGGCGACTACACATGAAGAAAAAAAAATATAAGCAACATTAAAAAAGGTGTGAAAGTATCTTTGTTCTTGTCGGTCCTGACGATCTGTTTCGTTTCTGTCCCGATTTCCGTATGGAGGAAGAAAAAAAAAAGATTGTCTACACTGGTCAAAGTGCAGTGTCTGGGATGAAAGGGAATAAAGGATGGGCATAAGAAAGGGAAACGAGAGGAAGCGTGAAGATGAGCGAGAGAGACGAGATACTAAGTGAATATACCTGTACCCAGACTTAAAAAAAGAAAAAAAGAAAAAAATAAAGGACGTCAGCTGCAGTCCAGTTCCTGATTCTCTAGCTATCGTCTAGGTAGCTTCTTCCACAACGGACTCTGAGCAATGTTTTATTTTCTCTCTCTCTCTTTCTTCTTTTTTTTTCTTTCAATATTCGGAAAGTGCATGGGTGGATGGATGGACAATGAAAGTATAAGAGTGTAGTAGGATCATCATCATTCCTAGAATTCCTCTTTCTTTCTTTTCTAATTTCCATTCTATTTTACATTGCTGTGTGCAGCATCACCACCCAGGTAAGAAGTGAAGATCAACAACCGCTCCGCGCTTCTTGCACCATCCCTCGTCTATTCCATCCACTGCATTGCTCTTCCACTCCTCCTATGAACCACGCCCTGTACTTTTGCAACGCCACTGTAGGGGGTGGCTACCCGACATATAATGCTGCTGTATCCACTGTGCCGCGTACTCTGTCTGAACAGAAATGATAAGACCGTGCCCCTCCAGTACTCTGGTTTCAGGGGTAGGAAAGGACAGATGGATTGACGCGTCCGAATGATGCCCGGCCCTACTTCTGCGTAATATCCACAGTTTTTATTTTCTCTTTGACACAGCACATCCTCTCTCTCACCACAAGTCTATACTTTTTCATGATCCATGGTACATCATGTCTACATCTGCACATATCGCATTCCTCCCTCTATCTCTCCTATTTCTTCTTATTCGATGTTCTCTCTCTCCATCTACTCACCATATGGTCAAGTGCTACATCCTTATTTGAGTCCTCCAATTGCGGTGCCGAAAATCACTCACACTCATCCGCTCCTTCAACATCTCTTAGCCCTCTTAACCTTGCCTTACCCTACCTTCCGTACTATTATTCCTGACTTTGCGATTCTCGGCTCCCATGCCCATTGTTGACAGCGTTCAACTACCTTGTCATCGCATTAATGCATTTGACGACACCGTATATAAAGCACATTCGCATTCCACGCCGCATCACCGCCACTCAGTGCTGTATAAAATGCTCGCAGATTCTTCTTCTTCCCTAGAAATGGCCCCTGGATCTTGTCTTTGCATCACTTCTCCGTAAAAACACACATCTCTTTATCTTCCTTCTCAAACACAACGCATTGTCTATCACCTACATCCTCCTTTTTGGCCCCAAAAGCCCCCAGCAACGTTGTCGTTTCTCCCTTTGGTCCGATCTGTAATACCCACAACTACTTCCAGATCTGAAAAAAAAAGCCCTCCGTGGGACGTATGCAATCTAACGAAAAGTACATTTTGCCTATTGCTCTAGGCATCTCTTGTCAACCTACGTAACACACGCGCGTCCTACCTTACATTTTCCTACCTATCACCGCATACTGCCTCAGCATCATAGCATAACCCTTCTTCCCCGGAGCAGAGGCACATAAGGATCGACTATGGTAAAGCGTCGAGAACTATACTATCGTTTTAGTTCAGTAACGACCGGCGGGACATCTTTTCATCGTATAGCAAATACGACGAATGATTAACGATGCTCGCTATTGTTTTCACTCTAAATCGAATGTGTCCTTGCAGCCAGATACCCGCAAGAAGCTTGTTGTTGTTGGCGACGGCGCCTGTGGAAAAACATGCATGTTGATAGTACACTCCAAAAACGAGTTCCCAAAGGTAATTCCGAAGACTATCTGCACATTGCTTTTGCTCATGTGCCCATTGGAACAGAGTACCACTATTTAGATCTCATGGCATGGACTTTGTGATTATAACCCCATGTGGAACTGTGCCTATATTTTGGATGTACTTGCATCTTAACAAAACGATCCTCCCTCCTCCTGTATGGGCAACCGCGTGCGGCTCGCATTAGAAATACGTCCCTACTGTCTTTGAGAACTACACCATGGTGATTTCACACGGCAAGCAGCAGATCGAGCTCTCACTTTGGGATACAGCCGGACAGGAAGATTACGATCGCTTGCGACCACTGTCATACCCAGAATCAGACGTGGTTCTGATGTGTTACTCCGTCGATTCTGTATCAAGTCTTGATAATTTGATGGAGAAATGGCATCCGGAACTGGCGCATTTCTTGGAAAGCGTACCCAAGATCGTAGTCGGGCTTAAGACCGATCTGAGGGACGAGGCAGCAGAAGAAGATAAGGATCGGTTCGTGTCATATGAGCGGGTAAGCTTAAGCTTCTCTACAAAAGCGTAAGGACGAGTGAACGAATGTGGTTGCTGATTCGCACTCGAACTGTTTTTTTCCCGCGTGTTCCTGGATTTGCATGTCTGTAGGGCGCACAAGTTGCGGCGTCGTTGTATTGCAAATACTACGAGTGCTCCGCAAAGACCGGCAAAGGCCTTCAAGAGGTCTTCCAGGCCGCTGTCAAGGCAGCGATGCAGTCTCGAATCTCAAAGATGCGCAAACGTGCATGTTCCATCCTTTAACGCGATCGTATACGCAATAGACTATGCTCTTCAAAGAAAATGTCTGCAGCATCAATTGATACCATAAACACCCTCAAACATATCTCTCCTTACCACTCTCATCCGCTCTTTTATCATTCTTTGATATCCCTTCCCCAACATATTGCCTATTCCATAATCATGATAATAAAATGGCTCACGTTGTCGAGTCGAACAGGATGCACGCTGGCGAAGGAGCAGATCGTTTGAAGGAATAGTGCTGGTGGTAGCAGTGAACCATAAATTTTATGGGTTGCTGTTTGCTCGGTATGTGATGCACCGAGTGATTAAAAGCCATCGTCGCGCTAAGTTAGGGTGTGGAGAAAAGTGGCCAAAGGTGGAGAAAGAGGTCCAAGTTGGCATGGGCCAAGCGCACCCGGCATTGATTAGAGCATATGCTCTCAAAACGACCGCACTGACAGATCTTTGATTACATAGAATTGAGCCGTGGGCAAACTGTGGCACAAACAGCACTAAAGATATATTTTTTCTCTTGATTTCTCTCTGCTTTCAATATTGAAGAACACGAGGGAAAGAGGAATGGAGGGAGGAAAGGAAGAGCCGAAGAGGGCTGTACCCACGTTCCCACCGTCTTCACGGCGCCATTGCTAATAAAATATCCATGTCAACGCTAATTCGGTTTGTGGTCTGCCGATCCGAGCACATGCCCTATAAAACTCTACTCCATTCAATGAACTTTTTTGTTTGGACGAACTCTCTGTTTCCTCACCATCTTCACCCACTCCCTCTGCTTCACAGCTTTCCTGTTACTTCTTCGCTCTCGACAACTAACTTGGGCAACGATTTATGGCACCATCAACAGCATCATTTGACCGGATTGGATACTGGTCCCCGAACACGGCCTCGGTGGACTGGTGTGAGAACAATTATGTGGTCAGTTACTACGTCGCAGAGTAAGTCGTCTGGCGTAATTTTGTTCCGCCCATAAGCAGTGCATCAACATGCTGAATAAACGAGCTTGCTAACGTCTATTGGCCTCTGTACGATTTCCTTAGGTTCTGGAATACAGTCTCCAGCTTGTTCATTGTGCTTTTGGGGGAACTAGGGCTGTATCTGTGTCCGACCAAAGAGCGTCGCTTCAAAGTTGCGTTCAGGACCATCAGCATCGTAGGAATCGGATCGACACTCTTTCATGGAACACTTCGGCACAAAATGCAGCTCCTTGGTAAGACGAATTGTCCGACCTATTACCATTCATGGATGACTTGACAAAAAACAAAAGTATGCCATGATGGAGAACGATACGCGCTGACAGCTCTTCCTTTATCAATCTTTACACATGATCCATTCATATCAGATGAACTACCAATGATCTATGCAGCAACAGCACTCGTATTCATCTCTGTAGAGTCCAAGAATGGACCTCAAGGCCGCTGGTTCCCTGTGAGCCTTGCAGCTTGGCTTGGTAAGAAAGCGATCCCACATGCACCGCAAACCAAAACAGCTGTGAGCTCGCCCTTTTCGCACATTCCACATTCTTCATGCAGTGTATACTGAAACCATTCTCTTCTTCATATCAGCTTTGACAACCATCTTCGTCTCGGTCACTGGCGGCAAGATCCAATTCTACACATTCCAGGCATCTTTTGGCGTCCTTCAACTCATCATCGTCTACTATACTACCACCTTACACCTTCAACAAAGTGCCCAAGCCCTAGCCCGCGGCAGCAAGTCCGAGTCAACTTGGCTGATCCAGCGCGCCTTGGGTATCTATTTCTTCGCGGTCGCCATATGGTTGATTGACCTGCATCTCTGTGAATTTGTCAATGGCGTCGGGCCCCAATCAATCCTGAAGTGGAACCCGCAGTTTCATGCCTGGTGGCACGTCTTCTCCATTGTTGGCGTCTACTTCTCCACATTGTTGGTTGCTTATCAACACTATGTCGCCAGGGGTCTTCAGCCAGCCGTCTATCTTTGGAGGGGCTTTGCACCAGCCTTGACGCTTGATCCCGTCGGACAAAAGAAGGCTGCCAAGCTGCATTAATTAGCCGTATAATTTTTGTTAAAAAAAAAAAAAAAAAAAAGATAAAACACGTTTTATTATGTTATTATGTTCTGCACTCATTTTGTCCATACATTGTTCAGCCTTTCCAGTCGACTTGTTTACCGCCCTCCACCGCTCTACTCCTGCGTGTATCCCTGGTAATCCTGAGAGAGCGACGGGTAGAGTGAGTTTTCCGGGTTGAGGAACTCCGAGTCCTGACGTCTCAACCCAAAGAAACTGCCATGCGGCCCAGTGCGTGGAGGGACCTTGGGTACTCCTCTCCCACGTGTGCTTCCGCTCATCACTCCATGATTAAGGTTGTCGACTTGACTGATCGCCTCACCAGCGCCATGCTGGCTCAACACGCCCGATGGTCCAACCCACTCCCAAACCCTGTGCAGCTCCCCATGCACCTCTTGTGAACTCGTCCTTACATTCGAATTCCTCTCAACAATCGCCTGGACTTTGTCCCAGATTTCCTGTCGCCTGGCCGCAGAGTGGACATCCGCCAAAAGTGCATCACGCAGGTGTGTTTGGGGTAAAAACGGATCTAAAAAGAGCGCAGGATCAACATAATGATAGTGGGCTTGGTCCGAGAGTTTGGCGAGAACGTTCTGGACAAGACCGTTGACAATGCGCCCCTCCTTGCGCCTCTTCAAAACCTGAGAGCGAATGGCGAAACCTCCGGTAGCGCTTGCGACCATGGCTATATTATTACAAATGTTCAAGTTAGATGATGGTGTCCCAGATATGAAGGTGCCAAAAGAAAAAATTCCAGATTGACGATCATCGCATACCAAAGAGGAAAAATCTGAACTTGACAACCCAGCTCACAAGCGCCTGTCGAATTCGGCAGCCCAGCGACTTTTGTGGCCTCAGTGAGCGTACACGCTCCTCGCTACATGAAAGAAAATTAAGAGATTGCCGTGAGTACGAGTTCAAACAAACGTTTGCTCCAATAGACATAGCGAATGCAGGTGGCCGGTCTTACCCTGTTAGGCCGTGCTCAAAAATGACCCTGTCCGATCGTCGGCGAAGCTCTCTCAGAGCAAGATCCCAGTACTGACCAAAGTCCTCATCAGACACGTTGTCCTAAAGAAATAGAAAGAAGACAAAAATCAATGAGATACTGTTTGTCTTTGAGGCACATCTGCATACTCCACAACTCCACAAACGAGAAAATGAAGCACAGCGGCAATAGCATACATCCTTCAGCTGCACCAGTTGAGATCGCAGGTCGTTCACTGAAATGCCACGGCGAGCTCTGTATTCCACACTGTTCAGAGGCGCCTTATCCCTGGACAAGCTGCACTCGATGTTTCCGGCATGAAGATGCAGCATCTTTTCGACAGCATCCGCGACCTGAAGACTTTGGTACTCCTTTGCCCTATTAAGGACGCAAACAGGCGAAAGCGGGATCAAGTTGCCAAAACTCAAAAGTTGGGGCTTGAGAATGTATTCTGGCGGGCAGATCGGCTCGGTATCGGATCTTAGGCAAGTGGCATGGTCGGGACAAGGAATGCAGGAAGGGTAATACCAGGCTAGTGATCGATTGTGTTAAAATAAATATGATATTAAATCAACTTTGTATCTCGCATGCCTTCACAATAATAAACCTTGGCTTGAAAAATGACACCCACCTCTGGATGTCGGTGTCCCCAGTTCAGCTTCCGTGCAGAAGCCAATATCAATCCTCGTTTGTCGATACCAAATGCCGTATGCCAAGAGGACGGTTGAAAGAATCAGCCAAATAGGTCCCATGTTGCGGCGTAAATTATTTAGCAGATCCTGCATGTCAGACTGAGGCGCGTTAAGGTGGAGAGGTTTGGGCGTAGGGAATTCATCCGGCATGATCTTTCTTGGCTTGGGGTGCGCTGAGGACTTTGAGGGGTCGCCCTTTTCAGGTAGAGGCGTATGCATAAACTTGGAAAAGGCAGGTTGTGCGGGGACTTTGAAGACATGATCGCGCTTGTCGCTCTCCTTGGCCTTTCGTGTGCGGGACCTCGACCGAGATCGTTTACGCTCTGATTCGCTTCCACTTTGGAATGGGTTCTCATCCGAAAAGTTCGCGCTCCTAGCCTTCTTCTTCTCCTTGGCCTCCCGCTATTTTTTTGTATATAAAAAGCCGAAGGGATAAGCCAGCTGAATTTGAAAGACGAAGAAGTTGAATGGAAAGCTATGCCATGAATAGCTGGCGTACCTTTACACGGAGAGATTTGGAAATGGGTTCACTATCATCTTCGCTTTGTACAGGTGTCTTGCGAGGTTTCCTGCCCCTGCCGGTTACTGAAGTTTTTGATTCTACATCGCTCCTGTCTGCCGATACTTTGCCACGACTACTACCGCGCTCAATCTTGGGCTTGACCTAAAGGTGCGTTTGAGTGTTCACTGGTATAAGTGGGTAATAATGGCACCTAGGCATACTGAGAGTGTCGGAGTATTACCTCAGCAGGCTCCTCAGGATCCAATCTCTGTTTACTGCTCGCTCGCTTAACACGAGTCGATTTAGGTGGAGCGGTCTCAGCAGTGGTTTGTTCCTCCTCTTTTTTAGCAAGTTGGTGACGCGTCTTGGAACTGGACGCCTTGTTCTCGTGGTCGTTCAGCTCAGCGTCCTTTTCCACCTCGCTGATCTCGGGGACCTGGGGCCGGATATGCTGGTTGAAAAGATCCACGAGTTGCTGTTTTCGGACGATTCCAGTAGGGGTTTTGACGTGATGTTGAATCAGAATGTCGCGAATCTGATCCATCTTGAGTTTCCAGGGATCGAAGTCCGGATGGAGATAGTGGGGCGGTTCCGACAATGCCATGTCTTCTCCTGTAGGCGTGCTTCAAGGTAGTTGTTAACGAACGGGTATGAGAGTGTGTGTAGGAAAGGAGGGGACGACCTCGTTTGTCTCTAATGTCACATGCCTTATTTTTGCGGCGAAGTGACGACGCGTGAGGAAATGATGAGCACCCCGGATCAATGGGCCGAGACGCGTACTGTGTCTGTCTATCCCGCCGCGTAGGGGGAAAGTCGCCGCGCATGTGCAGGGCCTGTCCACGGATGTGTCAGTAAACCCTTTGGGCCATTGCAATCTGCCTCGGTTCCTGTTTGCTGATAGCTTACTCGAATTGCTCTTCGCTCTGGAATTTGATTGTCGTGCTGTAGGCCCATGGTTAAAATAAAATAGGCTGTGAGAGCTCACGGAAGACACATATTATGCATATAACATGGCTCTCATGCAGAAGAGTATGTCTAAACCTGCACCGTATTTGCAAGCAAAAGAAAGCGCGCGCGCTCTCTCCACCTGGACTCTCCACAGAATGGAAGGAACTCAAAAAAAAGCAGCATGACTTGCCTGCCATCCCAAGGAAACATACTTCAAGGGCACTAACACCATATAGCAAGAACCAGCTCTTCGTTCCCCGCAAGCAGCTCCCTCCCGATCCTTCACTCTCATCATCGCTTCTCATCTCTTTCTCCTCTCTCCACCACTCATCTCCACTCATCCGACCCTCATTCACTCCAACAGTGGGATCGTCGCTTGCTGCACACTGCTTGCATACCATTATCGCCCAACGTCGCACCCTGAACAAGAAGCCAAGCGCCCTTCAAACAACACACTGTCAACACCATTGTCATTCCCAACTCCCCGTACGATATAGACGAGGCCGATGCCATGGCCTCCTCCATCGCTTCCCAGACCCCTTCCTCCTCTCTCACACAGTCCGATACCACCCAATGCAAGTATTTGCTCCGTTGTGTATCGCCTTCGCACTGAACAAACAAAAAGAATGTTCGCACTTATATCAACACCCCTAACCTTCCAACCTTCCACGTTTCATCTTATTTTATTTATCCACTGCAGTTGACATCTCAAGCATCACCGTTCACAATGCCACAGCCTCGCCAGCACTGACTATCTCGGTGCTGCCAAACTCGAACTTTGCAGTCCAATGCCACTCACAGGACCGTGTCGAGTATGTGCTGGACACAGATGTCATTTCCACATCGTCCGACGCAGCAACTGAGGCACCAACGGCTGCCTTGCTGCTCAAGGTTCATGCAGGGGAGGGCCTCCGCCTCTCTTTTGGGTTGAAAGGGCATATCTTCGATTCGATGTCGTCCACGCCTCCGACAGCCAGCAGTAACGCCGTGGATTCCGGGGAAGCAACTTACAGTGCGAACAAGGAGAGCGCTGTGGAAGAGCAAGGTGCTGCATCTCATACTACTAGAGATCAAAACTCAATGTTGTCGGGAAAGTTGACCTCAGCAGTATCAACCAACAAAAATAGCGCCGAATCTAAAGACAACTGCCCAGAGAGACCTACATCTAGTCGCGGGAAATCTTTAGCAAATAACCACACAGAACCGCCAGAGTCAGGCCCAATAGTAGCCAGGGACGAGAACAGCAGCAACATTACCACTGCCAGTAACGTACGCATGCCGAGCATATACTTTGCAGAGGTCAACTCAGAGCAGGAATTACTGGACCTATGCCTTGAAACCAAGTTTGAGCAACAGGTAAGTGATTATTACATTTTGGGCAGGAGACGGTGACATGGTCTGTCAGGGATGATATTTTGACCAACAACACCTTCCTTTTAGATAAAGGGCGGTTCGGTTGTCAGTGTGGAACCAATTATGGAAGAACATGACTTAAAGGACCAGGGAGGCTCTCAGATATACAACTGGACATGGGACCATTCAAGAGACCGCGCACAGGACGATCCGCTGGGCCACAAAGCCGTGTTTGCTGTGAGTAAAGTCTGCTGCATGCTACATAGGCTAGGGGCTTAAATTAATTGACACACGGATGTTTATTGTATTACTAGTTCCTACATCGGAATCCTTCAACTGGCAATGCAGATATTCTCTCAAAATTCTCGCTCTGGATCATTGGTAAGGAAAGCATACTAACTTCCATAGCAAATATTATCATTGGAGCAGAAACGGATGTGAAGTCTGACCAACTCTACACACACACTTCGCAGACTCCCCTTCTGCTGGACAGGATGCGGGGCATAAGCAATCTGAACCACATCGGCCGTCTTCAACAAACAGCCGGCATTGGAGGCAGGCGTCAATCCCAGAAAGAATTGGGGGCATCACTCGACTTGGCTCCTTTCATTCCAAGGGTGTCTCCGTGCCCTCGAGCCACGCCTCATTACTTGACGCTAGTACCAACTCAGCCGCACCAGGGCTGGCTGCAGACGCCTTCGGGCCTACTGCAGGATTATCCTCAAATCCAAACCTGGTACCGCTCGCCCAAGACACTGAAGACGGACCGCTCTTCCGAGCGACTGTCGCAGAGTGTGAGAACCACATTCGTGACATGAAGGCATCGACAAAACGGATCATCAAGGCTGCGCAGACGGTTCTCGAGGCTCGGAAAGCACTGGTGGTCGCAGATGAAGCCTTTGTCAAGGAGATGGAGGGGTTCAAGCCGGCAGAGCCTCTAATCAACAACTATCTTCGACCTATGTCCCAGTGTCTTGCTGAGACGGCTGATGTTCTTGGACACCAGATGCGCAGTCTATTGATCGAGCCGCTCTCTCGGTTCTATAGTAATGATATCAAAGCGGCGGAAGTCCACCGAAAGTCGTTCGACGACGAGAGCAAGGAGTACTACCAGTTCCTGTCTCGATACATGGCCATGAAACAGGAGAGTAATCGGAAAAAGGGCGAGGCGGATGCAAAATACGAAAAGAAACGGCGGCAATTCGAGGTCAAGCGCTTCGAGTACTGGGGATTCCTTCTCGACATGCGAGTCGGCGGCAGCAAGAGCGACGAGATTTTGCACCATCTAACCAACTACTCGGAAAAGCACTGCAGAAACATGATGGATACGGCACTTCTAGCAGAAGATTTGAAGCCCGGCTTGGATCTGCTCGCAGCTGAACTTTTAGAATCTCACAAACGAGCGGCAATCGTCAGGAAGGAACGCCAGGAACGAAGGAAGGAACTACTGGATAGCCACGACGACGGTCCCTCGTCGGTTCCTTTCTCATTTACAAGAAGCAGCTCCCATCTTGCCTCCACTTCGACTCCTCCTCCCAACAGCTCCGATGCACCCTCTGACGGCAATCTTGATATTCCCAATGTTACCCAAGAATCCCCTGAGGACCATCAAGACAGTAATGCAGGAGCAGACCAGAAACTCGCCACTAGTGCGTCGCCCACTTCGTCTTCAGCGCTCGGTTCGGCTCAACTTGTCAACAACACCATACCAAAGTTTACTGGCATTCGTGATTTGGAGCATCAGGACATTGATGCCAGCTCGGCCCTGGGAAGGCGCAAGGAGGGCTTTTTATTCGCTACAAGTCGGCCCAGCATGCACAACAACTCGGCAGTCCTCGAGAAACCCAGCATCAACTGGCACAAATATTGGTGTGTTGTGTCTGAGGGACACCTTCACGAATATTCACACTGGAAAAAGGGTGCCACCATGCTGCACAACGAGCCTATCAACCTCAAGATCTCAACTGTACGGCCATGTCGGAATCAGGACCGTCGATTCTGTTTCGAGGTGATCACCCCAAAATACAGACGTGTTTACCAAGCGACAAGCGCGGAGGACATGAACTCTTGGGTCAGCGTCATTTCCAATGCAATTCAAAGTCTTTTGAATGGCTCGAGTAGCTGCCAAAGTCTCGACATGTACTCCTCCGGCAAGGACCCCAGGGCTAGCAGTAATTATGGTGTCGACGGTTTTAACTCGAGTCTGAGCGCCGCTGGTCGGTCAAGCATGGACCAGGCAATGCACGTAGCATTCGCAGACAGAAATCTAGCTGGAAGTATTGGCGATATTTGGGGTTCTCAAGAGCCGACTTATTATTTTGATCATCTTGGTACTCGACTCTTGAAGATCATGCGGGAAACACATCCAGCGAACAACTTCTGTGCTGAGTGTGGAGCCAAGAACCCAGACTGGTGTGCCATCAATCTGGGCATCCTGATTTGCATCGGTAAGTATTACCTTAGTTAAATTTCAAGCAATTTAATAGCCACCTCAAAAAAACACCCAACTGACGAAAATCTTAACATATTCAATACTATTTGATAGAATGCTCTGGGATTCACAGAAGTCTAGGAACACACATTTCAAAAGTTCGATCATTCACTCTGGACACTACCTCATACACACGGGATCTCTTTGATTTTATCCGCTCTGTAGGCAATGAAATCTCGAATCGGATATGGGAAGCAAACCTCGTTCAATCTGCTCATGAGATCCCAGAAGATCAATCTTCAATCAAAGTCGTCTTCCGGAGGCCTCTTGTGAACGATATGCGAGAGTACAAGGTTGCATTTATTCAAAAGAAGTATGCTGAGCGCGCCTTTGTTGACCGTCAGCGATACATGGAAGGTGCCGATCCATCAGAGAACATGGCCATACTTGCAACAAAGGGACTTTTCCAAGCTGCGATCACCAACAATATACCCGATGTCATTGCGGCATACGCAGCCGGCGCGGACCTCAACGCGGTACAGGAGTCCGACGAGCAGGAAAGCGAGACCATCCATTCAGGAACTGGACATGGAGCGTCAGAAGCGGATGGAACAACGGGGTCTTCGATCTTGGGCGATGGACAGATGCAGTCGAGCCTGGAAGGCCTCACATCGAGCACAGAAGGTTCTCCACGTTTGTCGAGATCAACAATCGGATCTATGATTTTGAATGCATCTGGAGTAGGTGCAGGTGCAGGACAGGGGCAACAGCAAGGACAGCAGACGTCAGTGGACGTCCAGGATTCGTCTTTGTCTTCAACGACCGACCCCTATGGCTCCTCTTCGTTCATGGTTATGCAGACGTCGCCACTGCTGCTCGCCCTCCAGCACGGTGTTCCATTCAGTCTTGATGAGCAATACGAAGTGTATCCTATGGCCGAGTTTATGATTCAGAATGGTGCTACTAGCAACCTAAGCGTAGAGGTGCGCCTTATTGACGATGATACTGACGGAACAGGGCAGCCAAGCTCATCAGATGGAACAAGCGCGCAAGTGGACGATTCATCTACTACTCAACAGAACGCACTTCTCTTATCGACAGACGCAACGACCCCTAGTAGCGAAATTGGATGGGATTCGACACAGGTCGACCTAGAAGACATCCGGAACCACCAACAGAGGAGCAACCGCCGAAGTCTTGGACAAGTTGTACACATGAGAGGCGAGGGAGGCGGAACAGCAATGGAATATCTTCGTGCCAAGAGTGCAGCGCGTGGGGAGCTGATGCTAGGATCGCCGCCCGCCATCAACTATAACGACCCTATGTTGTCGACCTCCCCCAATGCCCTTTCGCCTCGCCTTCGTCCACAGAACCCCATTGCTGGTCCTGGTTCTATCTCTGCTCCAACATCGGCCACATCGTCTCCTACCCCTGCAGGAACGTATTCCACAACACTCATCCGTCAACCCAGCTCAACGTACCAAGACATCTCAACCTTATTCCAGAAGCGTCGCGAGAGCGACAGCGCATCCGGCCCAGCGCTGCCTGCTGCAGGCAAGACAACCGAATCATCGTCAGACAAAAAGTCGGGATCGTACAAGCTGCAGAACGCAGCGACCGTCCCATCCTCTCCAGCCATGCAACAACATTCCTGGGCTGACAATCTGTCCTCTCATTCTGCGCTGCACTACTCCAGCAGCCGTGCCCACAAGATGAAGGCGACGCTCTCGAAAAGTCTTCGATTGTCGGCAGCGTACATCAAGAACAATATGTTGAAGGAGGACAGGGAAACCCTCATGTCGAACACCGCGCAGGCAGTGACACCGTCTGTTCCCTCGTCATCGAGCAGTTTGCCGAAGCAAGGGGACGCGGCTTCGGTCTCGAGTAATGCCTCGAATGAGGCAACACCAACTATATCAGCTCCGACAACGTCAACAAGTGCGGATCAAACCCATTCGGAGGCGCCTCTGTCTGGACCGTATGTAATTCTACACAGGAAGGGGTCAAACCCGCCAACGCCTGGCTCTGCCCCTAGTTCCAGCTCCAATGCTGGTGCGCCATAGGGATAATGTTAGATATCATTATGTCTTAAACATGAGAATACCATTGCAGTATTCTATTTATGAACAGAATATTATTGTATTACCACGCACTATTACTATGAATGGCGATTGGCGCTTGTTGCAACACAAGAACCCGTGCTCCTTGCAAATCATATACAAGACTATTAAGAACGATGTCGATGACACATATAGTCTATGAGGAAGCGATTAGGGGGACATCATGGAAAGATCCATCTAGTTTTCAATGGCTGTAATCATCGCGGACTATGCGCGTGGGAAATATGAGGCGCGTGAGCCATGCTGGGAGTGGAGAATGAATGCCATGTATGGAGTAGATTTTTTTTTCCTCGCCAAACTTCTTCCTACGGTTAGCGCAGTGCTCTGTGCAGAACGTGCATTTTGCTTGGCCATCTTGGAGTCTACCCATGATGCACTTCAAACTCCTCAATTAAAAACCATTACCCGTGCAGCTCAATTGTTGTTGGCTGATGAGACAATAAGGAACTCTTCCGAGGGAGGGGACGTACGAAAGAGAACGAAAGGCGAGCCTAATCCAGGTCGGGGAGGTATCCCGGTAATGAAATTGTGATCATCTGCATTTAGAGTGTTAGTGTCCCCGTGGGAATAAAGCAGCTTCATACGAGCGCCTGGTTTCGTATTTGTCTTCATGGAACGCGCAATGCTCGTATGAGGTCCGGAAATATGGGATCCTCAAAAGAAACAATCCAATGGCGGTACGGAGAACGATGGAGGAGAGCGTGAGTAAATGCCTCTTTTGGGCATCAATGACGAATCTGAAGAGTTAGAACGCAATTGTTCAGAAATGCTAGCCATAAAGGGCTGGTTCTCAAGCTCGGGTCATTGGCTCCACAAGGTCTAGGCCCCGCCAGTCCCTTGAATGGAAACTACGATAGAGGTAGCAGATGGCCGGGAACACGAAAGAATGAGAAAGAGAATAGCGTTGGTAGACTGTAGATTATTTCCCAGGTGAACAAACGAAAAAATAGTGTATAGATGCATGCTTCGAGCCCTACGTTCAAAGGCTGTTTCAGCGCCGGCCTTCGAATGTTGAGGTTTCTAAGAAAGTCATTGGATGGCACTTACATCCGATATTGTGATGGCGTGCTGGAACAGACCTCTTAATTTATTTTAAGCGGAGCCACAACACGAAAGAGAACCTGATGTGCCTGAGAAGTAGGGCGCAAACAAGTCATCGACCGGTGAGTAATAAATCGTCCCGGATGAGGGTGGAAGTGGTTCCGATTCGAAAAGCTGGTATGTCGGACTCGGCGTTAGTTACCAATGCAGCAGAGGAGGATTTTAGACACCAAAGCGACTGTTGTGATCATACGACTGTTTTACGGGCCTGAGTGGACGGCCGCTATCTTTGTCGCCTGCCAAGTGTCATTTGCCGGCGATCCTTTGGTTCTCATTTATTACTGGACGCGTTCATGGTTGTGGCCGTCTATAGATCTACAAGTACCAAGTACTCGCTTCACCATTCTTGCTTGGGTCACTGTGCGCAATTGTTTGTGACACCGAAGTGTTGGAGGTACGTACTGTGAACGAAGTACCGCGTGCTTTAAACCGCACGAGGTGTTATGGAATTGAACAGATGGAGCGATATTACCATAAGAGAGATGTTGTATTATATGGCTCTGATAGTGTATCTTTTGTTAACCCATGCACGATAGACTGCCTACTAGCAGTAAAAAGCAAGGAAAAAACTTACATAAATCCACATGAGCACCTTGGTCCTGCAATGCCGTCCAATAGGACCAGTTCCCCAATTACAGACAACTTATCTTGTTTTGCTCGCCATTGCAAGCAACCAGGGCCATCGTGTGAAACTGATCCGTCTCTGAGTTCCCATTTGCGGGCTTGACCTAATTTTAGGGTTTCCTTGATGGGAACATCCATTTCTGCTATATCGACTCACATTAGTCTATTCATAAAGTGCTCTGTCGCTATCAAGTTCATGCGCAGCCAGGAAAGAAAAGGCCAGAAAGCGAAAAGTACTTGCCACGCTGATGCAGAGAACTAGCAACTGAGTGAAAGGATTAGTCCCCTCGTAACTGGGGAACCATCGAACGACAGCCGGCGCAGGATTGCAGCTTTCGCCATCTGGGAATCCGCCATACAAATACAGCCCACCTTCGCACTTTTGAAGTGTTTTTTTGGTCTGTATTATCTCTTCACACCTCTGCCATATCATCAAAGGTCGCACAACCCTTGCGTCTCCTTTTGTAATCGGATACCCACATCCTAGTTCCTATTACCTTCTCCTTCCCCTCTCATCCCCGCCCGGACTCCTTCGTACCCAGATCTCCATCTTACTACACACCAACTCATCTACAATCGAGTCATTGATCAGCATAGATACAACACATGCAGAACACATTTGACGAAAAACCTCGTCCAATGGAGAGCCACCGTCCTCAGGAAAGCCTTGAGGGTCATCATCCTCTGGGTCACCCCGCCTCCTTTAAAGCAGATGACTATGTCCACCCCGATCATGCTATCAGCTTCACCGAGGATAAGCGCTCAGATGGCGGCGCCTTGGACATCAATGATGGCGATGAAGAGTTCCCTCCTGAGGAGCATCAGTTCACCTGGTAAATGTTCGAATTGGCTCTGTACACCCTTTTAAACCGTTGTTGTGTCGGTTTCGACTGAGCACAGCTCACAATGACCATGTCCCGCAAACAACCCACATCCACATATCCGTAGCCATACATGGCACCTGCCATCACAATCATGCTCACTCTGAACCCCTCGCGTGCTTTGTTCATTATGTTCATTCTCATAGGCGTGCGGCCATCGTCGGCTCTCTCTTGGGATGTGTGGTCGCAGCCAGTAACCTATATGTCGGTCTCAAAATCGGCTGGACATTCGGTGCCTCACTCTGGGGCGCCATTTTCGGATTCATCATCCTTAAGCCTCTCGCCCGCCTCATGGGCAGCACTTTTGGACCACGCGAGAATGCTACCTGCCAGGCTGCCGCCACGACCGCTGGTGGTCTCTCTACCGGATTTGTCACCGCCATCCCAGCCATGTACCGCATGGGCTTGATGGGTGAAGGTCGAATGCCCAAGGACGATGCCCTGACTCTTGTTCTCTGGACTACCTGCGCTGCCTTCTTTGGCATGTTCTTTGCCGTCCCGCTGCGCACGCACTTTGTCATCAACCAAGATCTCGTCTTCCCTACCCCCCGTGCCGCTGCAGAGACTATTCGCAACCTTCACAAGACCGGATCCAAGGCTGCGTCGGATGCCCAGAAGACAGCCCTGATCATGATTGGCGCGTTCTTTGTTGCCCTGGTCTTTGTGCTCCTCGGAAACTTCATACCCGGCATCTTTGATACCATCCATATTCTCTACTGGATCGGGCACGCTGCTGGATACATGAGGATGCAGCACGCTGATCAGATTTGGGGCTGGGCTTGGAGCTTTGATTTCTCGTTTTTTGGTGCTGGTATGATGACCCCTGGCTCAACCGTCTGGTCCTTCATGCTGGGAGAATTCATTGCTTATGGTTTAGCTGGTCCCCTGATGGTCGATTCTGGATACTTGGAGGGTCCTCGCGGATTCACCAAACCCCGCAATGGCACCGCGCAGTCGTGGTTCCTCTGGCCCGGTATTGCCCTAATGGTCTTCACTGCCTTTGGTGAGCTCGGTGTTAATGGAAAGTCGCTTTGGCACGGAATTACCAGTGGTGTAAGAGAATCCCGCAATCTCATCCGTCGCTTGACAAAGCGCGCCGAACTCGTGGATCAGAGCGGCTTTGTCAGCAAGGATCCCGTTCCCCCTCATCTCCAAGTCCCTACGCTCTGGTGGGTCACTGGTCTTGTGATTTCGGCTGTCTTCACCATCGTCCTCATGGCGGTCGATTTCAAGGTCCCGGTCTATTCGACCATAATTGCCATTATCCTTTCGTTCCTGCTGGCCTTTGTCGGTCTACAGGCTTCTGGTGAGACAGATATCAACCCAACGGGATCCATCGGCAAGGTCACCCAGCTTGTCTTCTCGCGTTTCCCTGGTGAGCTCCAGGTTGTCCAGAAGACCAACCTCATGTGCGCCAACATCTCGGCCTCCATCTGTGCCCAAGCTGTCGATATGGTCGGAGACTTGAAAACCGGTCATTTACTCGGTGCCTCGCCTCGCTCCCAATTCTTCGCCCAGTGCGTCGGGTCTGTTTTCGCCATCGCTGCTGCTGTCCCCTTGTTTATTCTTTACACTGAGGCATATCACTGCATTGTCGACGCTACGATTGAGAAGTGCGAGTTTGGGCTGGTCTCGGTCGTTACCTGGCAGTCAGTGTGCCAGATCTTGACGGTAAATAATCTCACTATATCAACTTTTTGAACTTGTTGCTCTCTTCACGAATTCTGGTAACTAATCCTACTATTCTTTATCGCTTTTAGACTGGCGGAACCGTCCCCCGAGGCTCAGTTATTACAGCCTGTGTCCTGGCTGTCCTTGCAATCGTCAACATTGTGATTCGCATCAAGTTGGTCCCTGAAAAGGTCCGTCCTTACTGGATCAACTTGAACGCTGTTGGTCTGGGTATGATTAACCCTTCGCCCGCCTTGGCCCTGGCCATGTTGACCGGCTGGGTCGGTGGTCAGATCTGGGTGCGCATCAACAGGGTTGCCCATGAGAAGTTGATGTACTCTGTCGCCGGAGGTTTCATCTCCGGTAAGTTCTTTCTCGCCAACTGTTCAATAATATCATGGTCACCGTATATGCTATCCTTGTGGTTCTAATTCCCCGCTTTTTATTGTACCTGATTAGGCGTTGGTGTTGCTGGTATCATCAAGGCTATCATGGTTCTTGGTGGTGTTCAGAGTGGAACAGTCAAGTGGGCCTGCAACTCAGATATCTGCTAAAAACTGTCGTTCCGCATCCATATCATAGAATGAGGGAGCCACTGTATCCCTCCAAAGTTCAGTCTGAGTGCCTTGCTGCTCCTGTGCTTTATCTTCTTCACAATCATCTTGTACAATAAATATCCACAGTATCATTATCAAATGCAATGACTTTACGATGTTAATTCATGAGATATGGAACGCAATCTATGGGCATCGTTGCCAGCGAATGCGTACACGTCCTGCATCCAAATCTGCTATTTTTGCGAATGCGCCAGGCGAGAGGTCAACGGACCCGGACTTGCACCCTGGACACATGTCAACGATCTGGACTTGCACCGTGCCATTGGGACCTGCCACTTGAAGACATTGTCCACAGGCTGGCGATTTGCTTGCAATAGGAAACTGTCCAAAATCAGGTTTGTTCAATGCAGCAATCATATCATGGACCGAATTAATGTACAGGAACTCGCATGCGCCTTCCTGAAACTTGCCCACGCTGTTTTTAACAGAAGGGTCTGCGGAATATAAATGATAAAACGGAATGCTGTCAGGGTGAGACGTTCAGAAACAAGAAGCGAGAGAGGAGTCGCGCCGCAAGATTTTTTGTATTATTACCATAGAATGTTGCGTCGCCTTGACCATTCCGCGTCCATCCAGGTGCATCGCTATAGTTGATTGGCGGCTTCGGAATGCCCTGGTTATGTTTCTGTAGCTCTATTTCTGTTGCAGTATCACCATAACCACCACCCCCTCCACCACCTCCTCCGCCGATACCGCCACTGCTCCCAGACCCATACCATCCGCCGTTGTTGCCATCCCCACGATTACTCTTGCGACTCAGTAGGACGGCGAGCAGGACGATGAGTAAGATTAATAGCGTCGCAGTTGTAAACAGGATCGCAGCGAACCTCCGCCGGTGCCGTGAGACACGCGGGTGTCGAGCCATGAAGGTCTCAAGAAATGTCGGGGACATATTTCGAGAGCGCGAAAACTTTGAAGGGTTGTAGAAGGACTTTGAGGGAGGGGGTGGTGGTGGGACCGGAAGAGGGCGTGATTTTCCTTCGGCTTTCTCGAAATCCTGTAGGCGAGGGACATCGTCGTGTGGAGGAGGAGGTGGCGGGATAGGAGGGAGGTCTGCTAGTCTGTTATGATGATGACCTCGCGACTGTGAGCGGGCGGGGACAGCTGGCTCTGCTGAAGAGTGAGATTCCACCTTCTCGGTTCTTGTGCCTGAATTTGAGACTCGAACCATTATTGGTGGCGCTTTTGAGGGGGTTATGTGGAGAAGTAGGAGGCGATATATGATGAGGATGAAGAAGCAGAGTCAGATGAAGATGGGGATGAAGATGCTGATGCTGATGCGGATGCTGAGTGGAACGTGAGCGGGACGAAAAAAAGTAATGGCCTTTATTGCCTGTTTGCTTATTCAAGATACAAACATGCATGGCTCTCGTTTTACGTTTTATGGCCGTGCCACAGCAATCCAACCCGCCCCTTTGTCATTTCGGTTGCCATTAACTCAGTTCAGGGTCATCGATAGTATAGTCAAAGATCAGACGCTGAGCGAAGCCCTTTCTCAAAGGCTGGCCGTCATCCAAACGGACCTAAGCAAATGACGAAGTTTACGAGCTTATAAGGCGTCAAAGCTCCAACATCATTGTTAGCCAAACAAGTTACTCTAACCAATAATAGTCTCGATAGTCATTGACCACAGTCTACATCAACAATAAATAATATGTTTAAGGCAATCCTACTTCAATGGGTTCTTGACAACATAGTCAACGAAGAACTCCATTGCCTTGGTAATCTCCTCGCCCAAGGGGATGATCTCTTCGGGTGGCAAGATGAAACCGCTCCTTCCACCAGGGTTCGTGTCTGAGGGCCTCAGCTCAATCGTGTAAGAGTACACCTTCTGGCCATTGTTTGCCGCCGTGGCCTTTTCGCCATAGAACCAGTCGCTGCCTGCACCCGTAGTCTTGTACAAAGCAACAGAGGGTTCACTAATGTATTTCTTGCCGTGGACGGTCTTGATCAGGCTGACAATCTTGTCTCCGACAAACTTGTGTTCCTTCTCGTGCGGCGAAGGATCGGTCGTCCAACCCTCAGGACGAAGAACCAACTGAGAGTAGCAGTGGAAATCGATGGCGCCGACGATGCGCTTCTGCTGGCCGAAAAAGTCTTGCATGGCCTGAACCTCGGGCTCAGAGGCGGCATAAGGACCATGGTAGGTCTCACTCCATGGGAAACCGCTAGAACCGCCCTCAGCAAAGTGATCATCCCAATTTCTGCAGGCGAAGTACACATCGTGTTAGAATAGTTTAGTTTTCAAAAAAAAAAAAAAAAAAAAAAAAAAAAAAAAAAAAAAGAGAAAAAAAAAAAGCAACCTACCGGTTAAGATCTACTCCCCAAGCACCCAGACCGTTGCTACGACGGTTCTTGCGCCAGAGGCGGTTCCTAGTCCAAGTGTAGTCGTAGCCATCGACGTTCATGATGGGCACAATGATGAACTCGGTATCACGCAAGATGGCAGTGATGTTGTCGTTTTTGCCATAATTACTCGAGAAGTGATGCGAAAGATACTGCACTATTAAAGAATGGGACAAAGCGTTGTTAACTTTTGCACGGCATGCACAAATGCAAATTGAGGATGTCGTATAGCTTACCAGTGGATCCACCAGCCCATTCACGGGCATGCTGGCTATTGGCCACAAAAGTATGAGGGATATTGATAGTTAGTCAATGCTACCACCTCTTTCAAGGCGCTCGAAAAAAGTTATTGACCGCGATACTTACAGTCCTTGCCACCAGATTTGCGGCTTCTCGCGAACACTGCCGTCCTTCTCCTTTTCGGTCAGCTTAATGGCAAAGATGTCCCGGCCTTCAACGGTTTTACCAATGGAGGGGATATAGGTGATCAAGTCTGGGTAATCGTCCGCGAGTTGCAGGAAAAAGTCCTTGATCTCAGTATGCTCGTGGTAATTGCTGAACCAGGTGTCAAAGTCTACCCTCTTCTTATGCTTTTTCTTCAAGTCGGAGCTGCTCTGGAGATGCAAATCCATTGCAGTCATATAGACCTTGTCTGCATCTTCATCCGCGACCTGCTGGAGGTTTCTCTCGACAACCTGCCAGTCCTCCTCTCCTTCAGGGACGTCCTTACGACGCATAGCCAGCTGGAACTGCTCGAATTGCTTGTCCGTAAAGTGAGCCAGGACCATCTCCGACTCACGAGAGCGCGACCACACATCAAGGTATTCGAGCATGGTCTCAATTGGATCCTCAGGAGTCAAGGAGGCGAATTCATCGGGGACTGGGAATTGAATGTGATGCTTGCGGGCATTGAACCGAACGAGGGCGTGGTTCTCAAGCTCGCGTGGGTAGGTCACTATTGACAAGATGGAGCACGCACACAAATATCAACATGCATTCTAAGAAAACGTTTAAAGGACATAGAAAGGGTCTCAATGGGTGTACCTCTCCTGATGCCAAATGGCTCGTCGAAGTGCTCGATGCGTAAAGGCCCTCCATGACGACGACCGCCAAAGACAACTTGGACTCTGTCGTTGGGGTTGCCATTAGGGCCGATACTTAAGTCGTCAATGACAGAGACCTGATTATCGCCCATATGGCAGCGCTGTGCAGTCGACTTGGAAGCCAACAAGGCCAGTGTGAGCACCGCAGAGATGCTGAGAAACTTTTTCATGGTGAGGTGTTGGAATGAAGCGATGTAGAGAGGGATGAGATGAGGAATAGCGTGAGAGAAAGAGGAGAGGAGGGGGAAGGATCCTTCCCTGGCCAATTAGCCACCTATCATCTCACCCCCATGGAAATTGCGCAACGACCTTTGAATGCAGCTCAGTCTTTCGCGCGGCGGGTAGTACGCGCAGGGGAGTAAACACCCCATAAATGGAACGCATTCTTGCTCTCCACTTTTACTAGGATATGGTGAAAAAGGCGTAATTCCCTATTCCTAGTCCGTACATGTTTGACGGAGAAGGGCGAGGGTGGAATACGGGGCAAGTGGTGTGCTGCGAGCACTCTGCAGAACACCCGGCAGCCGATATGCGTTATTTAGATGCGACACCCTTGTTGTCCCTGGTATTTGGTCGTGTGCTAGGCAAGGGCGAAGTGCATGACAAACCTATAACTGTCTCGGAAAGGAAATCCATTCATCTTTGAAGTGGATCTAGGCGGTGGCTTGATGTAAACAATCGCCGTGGTTAGGTTCCTTGAACCCTTCCCAAGGACAATCGACCCAGCTCCACTTCGTTCATTCGTCTTTGCACAGCTCATCCCACACTATGTCGCTTCTCAGAGCCGCCTCAAGGGTAGCACAGCCCGCTCGCAACCTCAACACCCTTCGTGCTTTCAGCTCGTATTCGCTCGCTCACCTTTCGCCTAACTCAACAAACAACAGCAGCAACACAGCCCTCGCTGCTCAAGGCGTCTCTACGACGGTTCTCGGCCGCCTCGGCTCATATATCTCTGACCTGCTGCCATCAATCGTCTGGGCCGCTGTCCCCAAGAGCAAGACCTCTCATTCCAAGAAGCGCATGCGTCAGGCGACCAAGGGTCTCAAGGAACAGCGGAATATTGTCCAGTGCCCTGGATGCGGTCAAGCAAAGCTCATGCACCATCTCTGCACACACTGCTATCGGGACATGAAGGGCCGCGGCCCCTCAGCTACAACCGAGGCATAAGTCGGATTGGTTTAGGAAGGAGTAGGGCCAGCACACAGCCATCAATTGCCCCAACTTTCAGTATTCAGCAGCACGCACTCTTTTGAAACATTTTCTGGATACGCCATTCAAACACTCGGACTATAGATAAGCTGCCGCCATGGATCCTTCATCTTCCCATTCCTGCTTAATAAACTAAATCATCATGGACAATAACAATCGCAGGAACAGTTGGGCAGCGAACAATGCTGGATCATGGATAATGCGCCAGGGCGCCGAAAGATGTTTATTCAGCCAGAATTGCATTGGCCGACCGCACAAGGGTCAAGGGTCACGAGGTAGCCATCTTGGACAGTATATGGGTTGCTGGATGTCCTCCCGCAATACTGGTGTCGAATGGGCTCATTACCCCAGGATAGAACGCCCTCTTCTAAATTTCTGGCAAACAGCTCTAGCTGATTCAACGGTATCCTTGTGCTCGGTTGATTATCGCCCACGATTGAGTCGGGACAAGAGACCAGATCGGAAGGTGGTGTATCAGTTCTGGGGAAGAACTCTTCCTCCAAAAGTTTCATAAGGGAGGGCTTCCTCGAATGCTGGCCTGGAACGCTTACCAGCAATCTCTTATTGGAGCCTGAATCAAATGCTTGTCCTTTACCGGAAGACATTTGCTCCTTCTGCTGTTTTTGCCTGCCGATCAGTATGCCTTCATATGGTTTGCGGTGCCTATTATTTAGGCTCAAAACAGGTTCACCGCCCGTTGTCACCTACCAGCAAAAAAAAAAAAAAAAAGAAAAAAAAAGTGCAGGTTAGAAAGTGAAGAGTGTTTCGCATTTGCGGTCTGCTTGAAAGTACGTCGTGGGTGTCTTACCTTCAGCCAGGTCCAATGTGCCGCCAACTCAAGTCCCCATGCTGGAAACAGCTTTTCGATGACCACTCTCTTAATTTTGGCTCGATTTGTGATCCACACAGCCACTATACCGGGTTGACCACGCACCTCTGCTGTCCTAAGCAGATCTAGAATGGGTATCCTGAATAGATCGTAGAGATCTAGCGTCCTGTAGTGCTCCATTCGATCAACAGAAGCATTCTGCCAGGGCGGATCCATCACAACCACGTCAAACCCTCCTCTCTGCCGTGCTAAGATACATAAAAACGTATTAAAAGCTTGTTTTGAACACCTAATTGACGTCCCACTGAACTAGGAAGGAGATGCATACCTACGCTCTTTAAACCATCTATCCTATCGAGATCGGACACCACGAACCCAGATCGTGGAGGGATGAGATATAACGGTTCTCCTTTTATTGGAAACGATACAAGAGCTGGCTCAGAATGGTTGTTCGCTACCACTGCCTCGTAAATGTCGCTCAGATCGAGATGCTGCAATCCAGCTTCCAATTGAACGTTGTCAAATACAGGTACATCGTCCTTGATCGTGCTTTCGTCGTTGCCATGCCTTCTCGCCTTAACAGGCGTAGTAACAGTTGCAGAGGCGAATCCAGATCTGAGCATTCGTAATGTAGGCTGCAATTGAACCAGATCCAGTGTAAATGTGTCGTTCACTGGTGCGTCAACGCATGTCCCGTAAAAGTAATCATGTCGCATGCTGCTGACGAAAGAACGATAGTGATCCTGTTCTGCGAGAGAGCGAAACTCTGACTGAATCCATAGCTCAAGGTCCTGCTTAGGGACATGCGTTTCATTGACATCGTCCTTCGAGATCCTCAGCTTTTTGTGTGGCCGGGACGTAATTGACGTCGAGAAAGGTCCTGATGGCTCTGGTGTATCAGTAGAAGAGACGATAGGATCTGTGTCCACTGAGTTCGGATTGTGCTCTGTCGAAGGAGCGGGCCTGTCATAGGGCTGAGCGACACGAAAGGTTCCAGGGCGGACACGCCATCCTATAACTAGCTCCTGTATGGGCTCTAAAAGATATGTGTCTCCACGTTGTAGGACGATTCTCATCTGCATGGCATCTCTCTAGTCCTGATGGCAGGGGTCATGTCTCAGAAGGGCGAAGTTGCTCTGTGGATGGGGGTGCCGAATATCACGTGCAAGGTCTCCAAGTCACTAATTTTGAAAACAAAAAAAAATGACGAACCCACTGATCTGCAGTTGTTCTACGCCAAAGGACGACCATTTCGAATTTCCAACCACCACCCTCCCCTTCCAACCGAAAGAATTCGTTTTTTTTTTTATTTGTTACTGCATCTCTTATTTTTCATGGGTTCAACACGTTCCCCATCCACGAGCACTCTGGATCAGCACCATTCTCTTTATACCCACGCACACAGCAAGCGCAAATCAACATCTGTCAGTCCAGAGGACCTATACGACAACAGCACAGACACCGCAGCAGCGCCAAGGAAAAAGAAAAAGAAGAGCAAGAAGGAGCGCCATGACGACCGAAACGACGACCACTACGACCATCGCCATAACCAGGACAATGGCCACGCCAGACACGACGAAGCCCTCTCACCGCAACAGCCGCTTCAGAAACTTCCAAGAATCAAGATCTCCTTAAGGCTGCCTGCCAGCCCGGCCATTATTCCTCCTTCGCCTCCGACCCACAGCGGTAGCGGTAGCTCGACAAAGAAAAAGCGGAGGTTATCTGAACAGATCAGCATTGTCTCTGACGACGATGAGGACGAAGATCAGGAGGAAACGGAGAGCTATCATCACCATCAGCAATCCTTGGGCAACAATTCTGAGGACGACCAGGAACTGCACTCACCCTCCTTGCATAAGAAGAAGAAGAAGCACAAGCACAAACACAGGCATCGACACCCTAAGCATGGAGAGCAGGAGAACCGGTCACATGTACAGGAAGAGCAGGGAGGACAGGATAAACAGGAGGAACAGCAGGAGGAGCAGGAAGAGCAGGAACTGCAGGAAGAAGAGGAAGTGCTGTCAGACGTGAAGGATGATCAGGAAGATGATGCTGATAACGAGACAATAGCAGGATTGTCCACGATCATTGCTTCAGAGGCCAAGGATGATTCCGCTCGCGAGGGTTCTGCGCCCGCTATGACTAAGAGTGGGCGGAAAGGAAAGGCGCTGAAACGACCGTCGACACCAAAATCAACCATTCCAACCATACCAAAGAAGAAGGAGCTCTCAGTCATCTGTAACAAGTTGCTGGATAACTTTATTAGGTAACATTATAGATCATTGCGTTCGCAGATCAATGGGCAATTGATACCGCTATCGACATTGAATACTGACATTAATTACGTTACTGCACTTTTCGCCTTGTCATAGGAAGGATGTTTATGTCTTGTTTACAGAACCTGTAGACCCTATTCTCGTATCCGACTATTCGACTGTGATCAAAAATCCAATGGACTTTTCCACTATGCGAGCTAAAGTTGAGCGGAATTTTTATCCCAACATTGACGAATTTCTCAAGGATTTCCAGCTGGTCTGCGATAATGCTCGGCTCTATAATGCGAAGGACACACTCTACTGGAAACAGGCGGACAAGTTATGGGAGTGGGGCTCCAAAGCTATTGAACGCGAGCGAAAGTCAGTTTTGGACAAGGACGAGGAGATGTTGCGGACTGTCAAGGACGAGGAGACGGTTGATGTTGGCGGCATGGGTGACTACAATAACAGCAGTAGTACCTATGCCCCTGTAACTTCAAGCCGCGGGCCTCTTCTCAGCACCGATACGGCTCTCGATGTAATCAACCTGATTCTGGCATGGTTGAACCTTTGTTTTTCTTTTATGTGATTTTAATACAGACGCTGCTTACTTTTTGGATAATAGTCGCCAATCTCTTTTGCGGATTCTGGACGGTCTCATACACCGCAGCAGTATAGGAAAACCAAGAAGATCAAGTACCGAAGAGACGGAACTATTGCCTTCTCGTACGCCACAGATGGCTCCATCGACCCCGCATCTCATCCGGACCCGTGGTCTCTTGTTCCTGTTGTCCAAGACTTTGGGTCTGCACCGTTGGTCTGCCCGCTCGTCGAGACGAATCCGAATTACAATGGACAGTACCTGGACGACTACCCTTACTGGAAGGCACCGAGGACCGCATTTCGCTCAGCTGTTTATCAGGACTACGGACCGTACGCGATTCTTGGAAAACCTGCGCCAGATATGGGGGGCGCCTCTGGTGTGCAAAACATACCGGCCTACACAGGAATGGTTTTCGGAGACGAGAAGGGCGAGGCCTATGTTCGTAGTCTGGCCATGTTTCTGGATGGCATTGTGAGCGAGTCTGAATTGGCAACGATGAGTCAGGATGACGCCGCAGGATTATTAGAGATCCAGGAGTACGTGCGAAAGAAGGTTGAAACTCTCACCAGAGGAGCGAGCACAATTGTCGACAAGGTCGTAGCAGTGGTCCGCGAGGAAAGAACTGGAAAGGCCTCTACCATTGATACCCGTGTGACAACAAATTTATGGCGTCAGGAGCTGGGCGACAATGATAAGTTCAGCAATGCATCTACGGACGGTAAGGAGTTAAAGGAGAGCGACGAGAAGACTCCCACTGCTCAGCCCAGCAAAGCGCTGCAGATGGATGATTCGCAAGGAGACAAGGATGCTGATATGACAGATTCTGATCAGAGTGTGAGGCAGGAAAATTCAACAGAAGTAAAGATGGAGGACGTCCAGGATTCTTTAAATCAGAAGGGAGCAAAGAGCGTTGATTCCACTAGCCAACAGGATGGCGCTTCGAAAGATCCAGTGGAGGAAGAGGAGCGGATACTTAACAGCTCTCATGGCGAAGTCGATATGGAGATGAAGGAAGAAAAGGAGGAGGCCCCGGTCTCACCATCCACATCAGAATGGATTGATATTCGTCAAGTTGTGCGCGACATTCGTGCCTGGCCAAAGATTCTACGCGAGAAGACTGACTATGAATCCTGGCGACAGCTAAAAATCGAACTGGACAGCCTTCTACTGGCTTCTCAGCGCTCTACTCCGTCGATTGAAGCTGCCTCAGCAGACGAGATGAAGGTGCTGTGGGGTAAGAGCTGGACTGGCGGTAATTCGGAGGAGAGTAAGAAATGGGTGCGAGAATATCTGGAGCAGAACTCGGAGGATATGAAACAGGTCGTTCGACTCCTGGCCACGAAGGTCCCTGAATCCAAGAGTGCTGCTATCTTGGCCGCGACATCTATGGCTCCCTCGCCTGTGCCTGGAAGTGTAACCGGTTCACCAACGACTTCGGTGACCGCTGCTGCATCTACAGCGACGACTCACGCTGCTTCAGCCACATCAGATGAGCAGGAAAAAGCGCTGTTGGAACGACTGATTGCCAGCATCCGTAAGCGTCTTGTCGAAATGGCCCAGTATGTGCCCCTCTCTGAAATTAATCCCCAGCGGCTTCCGCCTCCAACTGCCCCACCCACGTCCTCCGCCGCAGACCAATCTCAGAAGGATTCTAGCTCTACCACGTAATTATACAACAACGATGGCAACAACACAAAAAAAAAAAAAAAAAAAAACCATAAAAAAACCATAAAGAACGATGTACAATACCAACCATGTAGCCCCCTCTTTGTTATTTGCTTGCCAGTATGCCCGTAAGTGCTTCTTGCTCTTGTTAGTCGGAATTGGTTATTTTTTGTCTTCATCGTGGAAAGAAATACGAAGCCACTGTTTGTGCCCCACGATATCTCAGTTCTGTCAAATCCATTGCTATTTATGCCCTGCATCTGGCCATCAACGCATCCATACTGTGCAACAAAATTGTGATTTTGTCAAGACACCCAATGTGGTATGCTTCGGAAAGCCTTCGTAAATAGCCTATTTGGCTTAAAAACGGTGATACTGACGATCTGCGTATATAAAGGCCGCCGTTTTCCGTCATCTCATCAACTGAACCGACCCTCCCAGTCTTTCTTCCTTTCTTCAAGCCCTTGCTCTGCACCTACTCGTCCCTCGAATTGATGTTGCATTTGTACCAAACCCAAACATCCCGATACGAGGTACATTGGCTATGTTTACAAGGCTGATGCCATATACAGATTCATAATAGCGTATTGTCCTTTGACAGAAGCCTAGTCCCTTTTCTGTCGACATTCATTAATTGGCGACGGATGGGTCACTTTAAAAGGTGAAAGAACGCATATATTTGAGATGGCCGGTTTCCAGGGACGCAAGATGTACAAGGAATGGTGCTCCTCAACGCGTATGACTTCCAGCAGCTATTAGAGGCGCGAGGTCAGTGGAGCACGAACAAAACGCACTCCGTTTTTACACGGTTAGATTTTGCTTGCGTTCGTCCCTCAAGTCAACTTTATCGGATGGTCTGATGGTCTACTCTCACTTATCCCCATACAATGGCTCAGGACAGATGGAGGCAATCCATGTTGGTTCGGAAAGAGAAATAAGGCTGCAGCAATATACGCGGCACGAAGAGATTGGTAAGGTATTTTCCCATTTTGTCATGACCTTTTTTTTTTAACTGTTGTAGGAAATAAAGATATGCTAACCCACAGCTGCTACAAAGGAATGTGCAATAGGGTCCAGGAAATCACGATACGCGGCCCTACCGCTCGCGTCGTAAAGTGAAGTGAAGTGAAGTACGGACATTGTTGGAACACCTCAAAACAGCTGTCACAATAAATGTAGCGATGAGTCGCGTTTCCTTATAGTTTCAGGTAGACATCTTAACATGGTCCGCAAAGTTGTGCAATTATAGGATATGTGCTTTTTTTTTTTTTTTTTTATTCAACATGGCCTCCGAGAGAGAACAATCAGTGCTGGTTTCCTAGTGAATAGTCTCTGAGACTTGTGTCTATCTGGCCCTAAATCTTCTAGTGTGGCAGTCGCACCATCTCCAACAACTTCACTGTAACCTCCCTAAGCGTCCCGAGGTCTTTCTCCTGCGATCCGCTCGGCTAGCTGGCAGGCTCCTCACCTGCAGCAATTATAGGATATGTGCATATAGGGAATGCGTGCAATAAAGGGTCTATGCAATTAAGGAAAGTAACTATAGGTGTGATATGTAGATCTATAGGCCACAGCAGCGCGTGCCCAGAAAGGTTTCGTGTTGTAATTGGTTAGCAATCAAGACTCTGAATCTTGCAATCCGAGTTCGAGTCTCGGCGAGACCTCTTTTTTTGCTTTGTGCCGATTCCGGCAGCCCGGTTCCCCGAGGGAGAGAGAGAGAGAGTTTCTTTTTGCATTGTTCTTCTGTAACCACTTTCTCCCACCGCAGTTCTATTCAATCGGCTCGATCTTTTTTTTGGCTTTTTACCGAGCACAAAACGATTCGTGATCTTTGAAGGACCTCACATTTGCATTGAGATTACTTGCCGAATCCAGGACACAGGACAACCATGGTATTTGCTAACAAGACATACGGAGTCGCCACGCCGGCGGACAAGTTCGCACAGTCCATCAAAAAGAGACCCGTTCTGTACTTTGGGCTGCCTTTTGTGCTCACAGTAGTCGCAGGGTCGTTTGCGCTCTCGGAGCTGACCGCCACGAAATATAATGTCCATGATAACCGGACCAAAACTGTATGTCACCCCCGCCTGCAGGGGAATTTGTTCCGCAATAAGTCTTGATAATGGTGCAACTTCCCCACTAACACCTGTCGCGCGTTTTCCTCTCATTTCGCTGATCGGGAATATAGATGACCAAGGAAGAAGGACTCAAGCTGTCCAAGAACAGGAGAAGACTGGATCTGAAGGAAGAGTATTGGAGACTACAGGCACAGGATATTGACGACAATTGGGAGATCAAGCGGGTTGATAGCGAACCTGTGCCTGGGGTCACCACCTCGCCCACAATGGCCTCCTCATCAAAACCATCACCAGTAGCAGCACCATCGTCACCACCATCATCAAAATGAGTATCACAGGCACTCCATCTTTTCAGAAGACCCATCGTTCAGATAAAGAAAAACCAATTATCCATAACACAATGCTTCCTCGCTTGAATTTTGCTTGAATCCAGCTATCGGGATCACATATATATGTCTACGACACATGATGGATAGAAATCTAAGTCTTTCTGGAAGTTGTTAAACGCCATCATTCAAAGGTTTGAGGTCTGGGCAGGTTGGGTCAACAACTTCTCAACCATGGGCCAGACCTGCTTGCGGGTGCATGTGCTGTTGTGCTGTAAATAAGCCCGTCTGCCTCTGCTGACAAGGTCCGCTGTATCAACAAGAGTTGTCCGCTCCAGCTGCAAATCTGAAATCTTCTCCATCTGACCCGGAATATCCATGACTGAACTTGAGATTGGGTTCACAATCACCTGCCGTTGGTATCCACCATGCTCTTCGCCCGGATCATCCGCCAACAGGACGATGCACAAGTCGAGCGTGCGGTTCTTGGCCCATTGATCGATTGCCTGATGAATGCTCTCTTTGCCATCACGGTCAACGTACTTGGCCATCAGTCCAATGACGCTGCTGATGCCGACCTTGACCTCTTGGTTGCCGGGATGCTGGATTACTGTCCACTCCTTATAATCCTTCCTCAGCAGATCGTAGCATGAGAGTCTGGAGGTGTCCTTTCGGGCATCGTCGATCCTGCGATAGAGCTCCTCCATAGATTCCAGATGGGCGTAAGGGAAAATCAAGTTCGCCATGGCGGTGTCCAAGGGCTTGACCTTTTTCATGGCAGGGTTCAAGTTCATAGTGTCAATCAAAATGGGCCCCAGCAGCAATCTGGCTACCTGCTGTACCCAGGAGGGACACTTCTCATTGTCGTTGCTAGTTTCCTTCTCGTCCTCGTCGATCGCGGCAATGGCGTTCTTGAAAAACTCGTCCGCTACCAGACTAGTGCATGATCCAACCATCTCAATCCTTCGTGGATTGGCCGTATCAAAGTACAGATTTTCGTCCGCGTGATGATCGATGACTCCGACGACCTTGGCATCTTTCAATGAGGACATGGTGCCCGCAATCTTGTTGTGGTCGACTAGGAATAACAAGAGCTGGTCCTTGGACAGAAGCTGTTCAAAGATCGGGAGTTGATCTCTGAAAAAGAGCTGGTCGCGGTTGATATGATTGGCGGAGAGGACGTATTCGACATCGGACCGGAGGGCCAGGTCGGCCTGAGGGATGTTGAGAAACGGAACGACGATCGTATTCTTGTTGGCTTGGAGACGCGACAAGAAAAAAGATGTGGTCAAAGCTGAAATGATCGAGTCAAGGTCTAGGTCGGACAACGATATGAATCGAAGGTTCGTCAGCTATGTTTTCATCTTCAATTGCTTCGCCCAAAGTCGGTCCCAGGGGAACACTTCTCTTTTCAAGGATGCGATCGCACCAACATTCCGATTCCTTACCAGCTGATTCGTTCCCTGTGACGAGGATGACATTCGCAGCAGGCTCTGACTCGAGCCGCGAGCGAATCGTTGCAAGAAAGGTGTCCATTGAGATGTGTGCTCTAGCTGCGTAGAGGGCGACGGTGGAGGTTGAGGTCAAGGTGCCAAAGGGAAATTGCTCATTTGTGGGAGCGCATCGATGATGACGACAAAAACTGCCAGCAAAAGCACGCGCCGAGGCGCGACTGTTCATTTCATTATTATGCAGTGGAAGACATCCTATTATGCGCAACGAGACAGAAAGGTGGAGGAAGGAGGTGTGGAATGATAACAAGAATAAATAGATAGCAACGAACTACTGGCCTTTTGGACTTGGACGGTATGACACACAAGAAAAGGATAGCAGCCCGCCCACCAGCAATTTGCCAACAGGAAACGACGAACCTAACCGCCAAATTGCAAGCTCTTGACAGAATGAACAGTCCATAGATACCACGCGAAACGCCTTTCTTAACCAGCACACTATTCATTCCTGCCCAGTTTTATCGCTTGATGTGGCAACATATTAATAACCTAACCGTCGGGCAATTGCCTTTAGGCAGTTGGACTAACGCGTGAAAAAAGCATCAAAGTTTCTCGCGTTCCCTGTTTTGGTCAGTAAGTAGACAAAAACAAAAAAAAAAAAAAACAGAGTCGTGACTCTGCTTTGAATTTGCAATGGGCATGTGTGATTCATTTTTTTTTTTTTTTTGGCTGCCGTACGACATTCATTATGGTCGAGTAACATTCAAGTAAACGGCTGCGTTATAAGCCCAGTTCTCTTCAGCACCTTGACTTGCTCACTAGCGATCTGATTCGCAATCAACTCAATCTCCCTTCTTCCTCATTCCTTTCTTCGCTTCCCTCTTCCTTTTTCTTCTTTCTTCGTCCTTACTATCCGATTTCACGCTTCTGCCTCGCACCTTATATTTTTTACCTCACAATTTTTTTTGTACTTTTCCACGCTCTGTTCGCTTCGCCGTTCTCTCGCTCTTTCAACACATCCTTCATCTACCATTTCCATTCTACCCACAAGTAACAATGACCACTAGCGTTACAGCCCAGAACGGCCGGCCCGTCTTCACTATTGTAGGCAAGTGAGAGTGTACAGCATCCCCAGTTGATCCGCTGCTGCGCTACTGCACATATTAACAACGGCACGCCTAACATTTATCTCCCTTATCTCCTTTCTCCTTCTTCGATCCCCTTATCCAGTCCTTGGAGCCTCAGGAGATCTGGCCAAGAAAAAGACCTTCCCAGCCCTATTTGGCCTCTTTCTCCATGGCCATATCTCACCAACGACCCGGATCATTGGCTATGCGCGCACCAAGATGGACCGGCCCGATTACCTGAAGCGAATCTCGCAGTATATCAAGAACAAGACCACTCCCAAGGTTAAGGCTGCGCTGGAGCAATTCCTGGACCAGTGCACCTATGTCTCAGGCGTTTATGATCAGGACTCTGGGTTCCAAGATCTGGAGAAGGAGTTACAGCGGGTCGAGAAGGAGATCAAGACGTACGACCGTTTGTTCTACATGGCCTTGCCACCCTCGGTCTTTATCCCTGTTGCGAATGGTCTGAAGAAGAATTGTTATACCACCAAGGGTATCAACCGCCTAATTGTCGAGAAGCCCTTTGGAATGGATCTCGAGAGCTCGCGCACGCTGCAGAAGGCCTTAGGCGCCCTTTACAGGGAGGACGAGGTAAGAGCGAATTCGTGCTGGCATCAGTGGGTTTTGAAGGAATGTGTTGTTGGGAAAAGCAATACTGGCTGGCCTTTTTTTTTTTTTTCTTTTGCTTGCTCTATGCACAAAATATTCTGTTTATTGGATCATTGTTTTCTGCTTTTTTGTTGGGAGTACGCGCACTACAGCACGTTCGTTCATGTTAACGGGGGAAAGTGGGCCAAGCAACCATAAAACAACCCTTCCTTTTGGGCTAATTTTCATTGGATGAGTAATGTGGGGTCACGGCTGGGCGCACAAAAAGGGAGGTAAGCATTTTGAGAAGCACATGGGTGCGAGCTACGCGCTCAGCGATCAGATTTCAAATGGGCAGCCCCAAAAAGTGAGGGAGAGAGGATTGAGCAAAGGGCAGAGCGGGGTCCTTTACCGGCTGAGGACATCGCATCGTAGACGCTTTTGATTCGTTCGCGCTTCGAAAGGGACGATGGGTAATTTTTCGCGTCGGTTCCATTGCGCGCAGAGCAAACGATCGCTGCGTGATAAGAAAGAAAATAGGCGAGATCGATCGTTTTGCGAATTTGAATTTGCTGATTAAGCCCATTGCTGGACGCTTTACTGCGCACCATCCCAATGTACTTTCTTTTTTATCGGCCTATCAGCATCGCGACGACCTGTTGAGGTGGGGCTCCCAGAGAGATCCTCCCCCCACGTCTGACGTGATCCGTCGTGATCAATCTCCACCCTTTCATTCAATCTCCTGGGAGATGGTCGACGTAACCATCATGAATGGATGAGTAGTTTCTTTACTTTCTGGATTTCAATTTTTTTTTTTTTTTTTGTACTCTTCATCTTCTTTCAGTGGGCGTTGCTGGGTTTATGCAAGAGATGGTGGAATGCAATGCGTGAGCCGGTTCACCCAAAAAAGATGTCTGTTTGGATAAAGCGTTGGGTGTTGAGGGTCCTTATTACTGTCATGATTTTACCACCAAAAGCTGTCTTTATTTCCTTGAATTTGATCTGATTGTTCGTTCTTTGGGGGACAAGGTTCAGAATAGTGTTCAGTTGGAACTGTACCTTTATCAGGGCCGCTGAAATCTATTGCGAAGCCATGGCACCTTTGATAAGAGAGCCCTTATTTGGCCTATAACTAGACCACAAGGCGGACGGCCCCACTCTATGGGTTGCGAGCGACGACTATTTGCAGTAGCAGCCGAAGATGGCCTGCAACATTCGGCTCTCCACCTGGCTTATATTTTTTGGGTGGGGGGGTTATAGCTGAAATGAAAAAGATACCATAACTGATTAGGGCGGCAAATGTGATTGGCGCGATTGGAATTTTTTCTCCCCTCAGATAAAGATTCTGAAGACGACATTCGTGCATCCAATACTCACGCATCACAGCACAAGGTTGTGCCAAACGAGCGTGTAGGTATATTAAATAGTAAATGTTAACCATGATTCTACCTACGTGTCCACGTGTAGATCTACCGTATCGACCACTACCTGGGTAAGGAGATGGTCAAGAACATCATGATTCTGCGCTTCACCAACCAGATCTTCGGCTCCTGCTGGGACAAGGACCACATCTCAAACGTCCAGATCACATTCAAGGAAAAGATTGGCACGGAGGGTCGTGGCGGCTACTTTGACGAGTTTGGCATCATGCGCGACGTTATGCAGAACCGTAAGTGCCATTTCTCTTTGTATCCCTTGCAACAGACGGATCCATTATGAAGTGCGATAACTAATTCAATGTTCGCTCTACGCTTTAACCACTACAGATCTCTTCCAGATTCTCTCCTTGATCGCTATGGAGACACCTGCATCTTTGGAGGCCGAGGACATTCGCAATGCTAAGGTAGGCGGGCCCCGCAGGGAAATTTTTTTTTAGTATCTTCGATTCGCTTTGTAATTCGAACATCGCAGCTCACAAAACGTGCACATCTTTGTAGGTCGATGTTCTTCGTGCAATTCCCGAGGTGGTCGAATCTGAGGTTTTGTTGGGCCAGTATGGCAAGTCAGAGGATGGCACTATGCCCTCGTACCTTGATGACGAGACTGTACCCAAGGGCAGCAAGACCGCAACATTTGCGGCGGCTGCCTTCCATATCAATAACCCCCGCTGGGAGGGTGTTCCATTCGTGCTCAAGTGCGGTAAGGCTCTGGACCAGCAGAAGGTCGAGATCCGCATCCAGTTCAAGGACATGGGTAAGAACCTCTTCCAGAAGGATGTTGCTGCGCGTAACGAGCTCGTGATCCGTGTCCAGCCCCAGGAGGCCGTCTATCTGAAGATGACCCAGAAACTCCCCGGTCTCGGTATGGAGACGGTCTTGTCAGAGCTCGATCTGTCGTATGCGTCCAGATTCACAAATCTGTCCGTCCCTGACGCGTATGAGAACCTGATCTTGGACGCCATCATGGGCGAGCAGTCCAACTTTGTCAGGAGTGATGAATTGGATGAGGCTTGGAGGATCTTTACGCCTGTGTTGCACAAGATCGACCGTGGACAGGTCCCTGTGGAGATTTACCCCTATGGCTCCAGGGGTCCCAAGCACCTACCTGATTTCGTTGCCCGATTTGGATTTGAGAGGCATGCACAGACCTACTCTTGGCCAGAGACTTCACAGACGGCTGCTTCCAATGGTTCTCCTCAGCTGGGTGCATCAGCGAGCGCCGACAGCAAATTGTAAAGCAATCTCAGGACGTATTTGCCGACGAGGGGCAAAGGAGGCTGAGTTCTCCAAGGGCGGTTTCTTTTAAGCCATAAAGGACAGCACAATAATAGCGGGGATAGGAAGACAAGGGGTTTATTCGTGCATGTATATATTTTAGGAGCATTTTTTTATCATTCTCATTCCCATTAAGAAACAAAAACGAAATAGACTCACAGAATTGAGTTCAATGGTTGTATTGATTCGTATTGGAATGAAAGGATGTCCAGGTTGTTGTCATGGAGAGTACCGCGATTAGCAACTCGCATAGCATTCCTGGACCATGTCTTCGCAACGATATTTTTTCGCATGCTTCTTTCCGCCGACCATCTTGCACAACGCACCTTGTTTCACACAAAACTCGTTGCAGACTGCGAGATCTGTGATATTGTTCTTCGCTACGCGATCGTAAGAATAGAGGGAGAATCATAAATACCGTTCCTGAATGTGCTTAAAAAGTACTACGCTATACCGCTTATTAAAAAAAAAAAAAGAGCACAGAGCATATCTGGGAGAAGAGCGGTCAGTATTGCCGGTCCTGAGGGCCTGTGCTGCATAGATCAATAGGATCGAGATGCCTGTGAAAAATATGATCTGACATAGAGGACGAACGGTTGACAGAGACGATATTCGGCGGAGATGAAGAGAAGGAGAAAAGACTGGTGGAATGAAAAGTGACCGACTGGGGAACTCAAATAGCGATTCTCAAAACCCCCAGTTACGCTTGTATACCCTTGAACAAGAACGCATTCTAGAGAATTGGTCCCGAGCGTAATTGCAGTTGCATTGTGCTTGCGCATTTTTGAGAATGCAGCTTCACAGACCTAGTGGTTGAGAAACAGCGAGAATAGAAACAGTTGTTAGAAGAAGTAAAGGTGTGTTAAAGTCTAAGTAGACCTAATGAAGATATAGAAAGGGTATCTCTGCTTACAGAACCAACGTCCTCGCGTTGACACTCTCCAAGAGATCTGCTAATATCTCCATTTGTATAACAGAGATTGGCCAGTCCACACTTCCTACCAGTTACAAGGTTGGGTTCGGCACCAGAGTATGTGTAGATGATGCTGGGTTGTTCATATCCGCAGGACGCGTCAAATTGTTTGCTGCACATCCAAATCGCAGTAGAGATAATAGTCAATTTTGCTGATAAACTCGCCCATTTCCAAGTTGACCCCTTATACAGAGAGTAGTAGGCGGTCTTCCATCTCTATAGGGCGATCGTTGAGGATACTGCAACAATAAACTTTGTCATCTGAGTATCTGCACTCCAACTGCGTACGAATAAGTTGGTGTTGAAAAAGCAATAATAGAGTCAATTTGGCATGTTAACTTGCTGGACACATCGTTGCACGGGTGGCGTATTTTCCGTAATTTGTTTCCAACCACAATCGAATAACAGGGGCATAGGTCCACTCTGCATTGCGCAGGCACCTTCGGCATACCATCCTCACATGCGATAGAGCAGTTTGTTGGAATGGTAGCTTTGGATTGATAGAGTATCTGTATGACTCGGGGAGCACGAAGTGCAAGCTTGTCTTGTCCCGGAGAATCAAGAAAATGCTGGTGAGTATGGGATCTGTCACTGACATCTTTCATCTCTTTCAAATAATGTGGCACGCTCCGTACTGCCTTTAAGCCCTCTTTGAAGAGGCGTCTATCAATCCTGCAGTTGACGGTATTATTCTCAAGGATACGAGCTCCGAGATTACAATCGACGAAAGTAAGATTGAACATGCTATCGCACAGATATACGGAATGTTCATTGAACCTGCAGTTATCTGGAAACCGTTGGCAGAAATCTACGGAGACATATGAGAATAGGCACATTGGCACCAGTTGGCTTCGTCAGGTGATTTGTTTGAGGATATGGTCGATGTTCTTCTTGCTGGGCTTTGGACAAAGTGGGTCCATGGAGACGATGTCCAAGAATGCAAGGCTCCGGCTGGATGTATTATTGGTCGGCGGCTTGGGCTTGCTGGGCTTGGGGTTGTTGTTGTTGTTGAGAGCGCAAAGCTGCAGGAAGAAGTCCAGCTGACCGCCAGAGCGAGCCATGGTACCGTTAGAACGGTACACAGCGCCAATGGTCTTATTGTCCCATCAGGATGCTAAACGAGGCTGCAAGGAATGAACGAAACTATAATTTAGAGTTTGGAACGCCCACACACAAGCGCAGGGGCACAGCGTATTTAGCCAAATTTACTTACCAGATCTGGGCTTGGTGCCGTCGTTGGGGTCATTCCTGTACGGATAGTTGTGCTGGTAATCATCACCATCACTACGGCGACGATGTTCGTTGCCGTAATTACCAGAGCGGTAATCACGGTGTTTGGGATTGTGGCCATGCTTGCAGTGCTTTCCATGATTGTTATGGTTGCCATGTTTGCGGTAGTGGACGTGGTGATAATAACCATGATGACCGTGGCGATCGCGGCGATGCGAGGTCAACGCCCCGAGATGGCTTAATCCTTTTTCTTTCTTTGAAGTAATATGGTTGTGGTGTTCGAAGTCTTGACTTTGGACCTGCCCTTGTAAGCGGTACTAGTGAGCGTCCGGAAGAATGCGTTGATCAATCTCTCGTCGCTCAAGAACAGGAGCGTCCACTTTGACCGCAGCTTGGTCGGCGGTCACTAAGGGATCTAGATGCGCAGCGAAAGTAAAGAGCATGAGAGGTGTGATACAGACCAGCCGAAGCGATAAGTGGCCTCGAGGCAACATCAATCCAATGCTCGTTTTTTTTCTTGATCGTAAGGCAGACGAAAATTAACTAGATGAGTTGGAGATTTCTTCACACACGCCTGACTGGAAAGTCCCCACAGTTGATGGGATGTGAAAAAGAAATCGTTGTGCAAATCGACGTGAGTGAGGGAAGAAAAGAGGGGAAAGGATAGGGGCTGGATGCGAGTTAGCTAAAGATTAGAATAAAAGGACATAGTCAGGGGTAGGGAAGATGGTCGTCAGGTAAGTGGAAATATGGTTGTTGCGCGACTTGTCACTGGCACAGGAGTGGAATTGGGGTCTAGTTCAAATAGATAGAAGGAGTAGCTGTGGGCTGCTCTACGAGGGCGTGCGCTTCCTTCTCTTCCTCCCGCCCAGCCATCTTCACCTCAATTCGCGTTGAGCTAGTTTCCGTCTCTGTTTGCTCCTTTCTAAGCTTCTTCGTTCGTTCGAATGAATATAGGGAGCAGCAAGTGCTTTATTTAATATTTTATATTTTATTTTTTCTTCACTCCATATAGCAGCACATAACCCCCAGGAAGGTTTTTCTAGAAATATGGCCACGGGAAACACTAATTGCCGTCATCATCCATCTGTGGTCTCACGATAACCGTTTTATAGCTGAGTGTACTGCTCTCAGTGGTCTGTGAGTCCTGATGCACCGATATAATCTATTGCGACTATGAAAGGCGGGGACACTTAGTCGAACAAGAAGATGATGACACGCGTTGTGATAATGTGCACAGACAGATAAGACAGAACGCATAGCCTCAAGCGCGTCCAACTGGAGTATGCGGAATGGACCATAGCATGAGTCGCAGTGTACCATATTCAGCGCTGCGCCCTTGTATTTGTAATTTCATTTCGAAAGACATCATTGGCTGCCCTATACCCCGACTCAATTTATTGCCTTCCGCCGTGATCCTCTTTCTTTCATGAACCTTGCTCTCTTATCTTATCCTCCTTGTCGTTTTCTTTGCAGCTACCATGTGTGCGCACGAAAGGTGGATCGATTGCCTCGTTTGTCCTGTCTACGATGCATCCTCTCACTTAAACAGGCTGATCCCCAGAGCAAACACCCTTTTCGCTTACTCTGAAACATACGACCATTCTTTATTGTTTGGCTCAGGGCCGATCGTCGGTGGCCTATTGCGGTGATTTCATTGTTATGGTGATTAAAAAAGATGGTTCGTGTGCGAATTAACCTACTGTGGTGCCTAGAATTGCAATTTCAGCATCATTTTGGCGGCAATCTTCCAGAAAATTTAGACCAATCTTCGGACGCGACACCGACTGTTAGGATAATTATGGAGGGGAGGGGAATGTGAAACGTATCCATTCCTGTCAGTACAGTCGAAACTCGTTTATCGGCCGGGTTTTGTTAACAAAACCCGACCGATAAACTTAATTTCAGATTGAATTGACCTCTCTGGGTGGACTATTTTAAAGAGAAAAAATATAGTCACATATTCAGTCACATGCTCTACTGATAACGCGGAATCCTTTATTATTCTCATATCAGTCCTGCAAAGCACGCACCAGTTGCTTCACTGTCCGTCGAATATCCAGCGTATTCTTTGACCTCTGCTTCGGTCTCTGTCTCATTTGCTTGAGGCCTTCGATACTCACAAGGTCTCCGGCCAGATCCTCCAGCGTCTGAGCGGCTATGTCCCATTCCTCGTCTGCGATCGGTGAGCTTGTGTCAGACTGGTCACTTTTTTCTTCATCTGCATTCACCTGCTGTTGCACTTCCTCGGCCAGCTCCTGCATATCCTTCTTTCCTACTACTTGGAAATTCCAATTGTTCTCTATAGTAGCCTCGGCGATCAGACGCTCGAAATGTATCCTCTCCTGCTCTTCGTATTGGTCGTGTCAGGAGTATTGAAGTGTTTGATATTATTCAGCCTGGGTTGGCCGCCATCGCCTGAGCTGCTCACGCATTTCCGTCGGAAGGACTGGCGTTTTGGCGAAGCAGTTTCGCAGCGTTAGAGGCTTCACTCGACTTCATGCATAGGGGATCAATGTCCAAGCGAGTTCGTTGGAGACACATTATTTCTTTTGATAGTTGCGAGCGAGATAGGCTTCATAGCTGAGCATCTCCAGGAAAGCCCGTTTGAAAAGACTAATTACGCCCTCGTCGAGAGGCTGCACTACTGATGTGGTGTTTTTCGGGAGCCGCCGTATGTGAAGATGCTTCCAAGGCGTGTTGGTCCGTAGATCACGCATGTCGATGTTGTTGTGCGCACCTGCGGGGTCAAGAAGGAGAAAGGTTGGCTGCGAGAGATCGCCATCAAACATTCGTAGCCATCCTACGAATACGTCGTTCTTCATCCATCCCTTTCGCCGAATCTTCTTCAAGATTTGGAATACTTGTGCCTAATGTAAAGAGCATCACAGAGTCGTAAAGGTCAAGATGAAATATAAAACACCGATAAATAGGTAACGATTGCAACATAAATCATACGTTCAACGCATTATCGATGACCAACGGCCTCAATGAATCCTTGGTGTCTACCATGGTGAGAGAGGAACCAGAAGCATTAATTCAGAACAGGATGGAGACCCTGCAGCTCCTGTTGGCCTTGGTGCCCGACTTTGACTCTCGAATTGTGTAAGACTTGTTGTCCAGCTCCTGCAAGTAAAAACCAGTCTCGTCGCAGTTGAATATGTTGTCCGGAGTGTATCGGGCGCAATGCTGACGGATGTCGGTAAGCTCTGCTTCAATCGCCTCCAGGTCGACCGATCCTGCCTCTCCATGAAGCTGGCAGTAGGTTATCCCATAGTGTTTCTTGAAGGCGTTAAACTATGAGACTGAAAATGACGACGGTGCCTCAGGCACGGTATGGCCTGAATCGTCCTGCAGATCGACGAGAATCATACCTGCATTCTTGATCATCTTGCCGTTGACAAGGATGTTCTGCTTCCGCTGAACTTGTAGCCACTGATATAGGACCTCCTCGATCAGTATGTTCTTGCGGTTGACGATGTAGTAAGCACCCACAGGGGACACCTTGGCTGCAGCACGTATTTCGTCTTCTCGCTTGAGCATGCGCCTAAAGGTACGTTCCGGAAGACTGGTGCCTATCATAGGCCCGAAGGAGTTGTACGAAAGCTTGATATTGAGGTTTTCCTTCCGATCATGGAGATAATGATGTATTCGACTTGCTTCTTCAGGGTATGAGGGACCCTGGCCATTGGGATCTCGAACTGGTTGGGGTTAGGGAATGCAATGAATGTGGTCATATCTTTGTGCCTGGCACAATCCAAAATCAATCTGTATCTCAGTCGACGAGTGCGCTCGGTATCCTCAAGTTCGCGCTTGGTGTATTTTTGTGATTCTTGGCAGGAGGGTGTACAAGAGTTGGTTTTTGTTTTTTGCTTGACGTCGTTGCCTGGGTCGAGAGCGACCCATATTGTCTTTTTTGGGAGGTTCTTGTAGTCATGGTGTTGAGATGTATAGAATGCAATATGAGAGACGTGTCCATGGAGAGCAAGAAGTACGCTTGCAGCGCAACATGTGACTGAACACGCGACTGTATTTTCGTCTTTAGAATAACCCACTCAGAGAGGTCAATTCAATTTCAAATTTAGTTTGTTGGCCGCGTTTTGTTAAGAAACCCCGACCTAAAAAAACGACTACACTGTATAGGTGGCCAAAAATGGAAACAGGATGGCCTAGAGAGGGCTGGGTCAAGCCTAGGCCATAATTATTTCAATCAGCTACACGATAATTGGCAAGCGAAGAATGAGCTGGCTCCGCGGTCATGTTTAGAGTTCCATGGCAATTTCAGCGGGGATTTTATAGTGGTGCACGCACAATGGCAATTAAAGAGTGCAGGGGGGTGTGGGTATGTGGTGTTTCGTCTTCTTTGTTGGCCGTTAGGCTTACGCCCAAGAGTCTCTACATATAAGCACGCAGCGAGAACAGCTTCCTTCACCCAACGCTCAGTACTCCTTTGCTTCTCCATCCACCTCGCGCCCCGCGCCTCGCGAACCTCATCCATCTCCTCCACCACTACCCCACCCCACACCTCCTCCTAAGCGCTTATACATCCACCATAACATGCACCCTGCTGCCATCCTGATACACGCTGCACTAGTAGCCATCATCCTATTCTGCTCTCTGACCCTCGCCCAAATCCCCACGCGTATAAATATCATTATCAACGCAACACCAAGCGCCACACCTCCGGACAAACCCCTTCATTGGGAGGTCGACTCCTTCCCCTCATCCATCGCACAGCTGAAAGAACCTCTTGATCTCCCCACGCATACAAATGTCACTATCAACGCAACATCAAGCGCCTCACCTCCGGTCGAAATCTTTCATTGGGAGGTCGACTCTTTCCCTTCATCCATCGCACAGCTGAGAAAACCTCTTCATCTGACCAGCTCACTTATACCTGGCAAGAACCCTTTCGACATTGTCGCCGATCCCATCCTAAAGAAATCAAAAGGTCGGGTCCTCCGATCGCTCTACCCAGCACACTCCTATGCCTACTCAGGTGATGAACATGCTGCTTTCACGGCGGAGCCCCTTCCCAAGGAGGCCTTCTCAGGGCCCAAGAGCCGCTACATCCGACTCGAGTACCAAATGCTCTTCAAGCCCGGCTTTAACTGGGTCCTCGGTGGTAAGCTGCCCGGAATCCTTCTCGGAAGCGAGCGAGGATGCAATGCCGGCTGCTCCGGAGGTGGCTCTGCCGATAACTGCTTCTCGACCCGTATGATGTGGCGTCCTGAGGGTGAGGGCGAGCTCTATCTCTATGCTGCCAAATCCGTTTACTTCCCGAAAGAAAAAGCAGAGACTTGTAAGCGAAGTCTGGACAAGAGGTCTCCCAAGGCCCTATTCCTATTGGAGCAGAGAGCCATCAATCCTTACCGAATTCCCGAGGACGAGGACGAGTTCTCAATCGAGAGCAGCTCTTCTGGAATCGTTAAGCGTGCTATGAGCGACGATTGCTTGCAAGGCATGGGCGTCAAGATCAGCCCCGGAGCGCGTAACTTGTGTAACCCAGCCTTTGGAGTCTCGATCGGTCGCGGTGGTTCCTTCAAGTTTAAGGCGGGCACCTGGCACAACATCACTCAAATCGTGCGGCTTAATTCGAAGGGCAAGGCTATCCGCGATGGTTATTTGGCTGTCTATCTAGACAACAAGCCGGTGATCCAGGCGGAAGGTCTGGTACTGCTCAAGAATGGTTACGAACCCAAAAGCAAGACGCAGGATAATATAGTCAAGTTCAAGTTCTCGTCCTTCTTTGGTGGTCACACCGCCAAGTACGCGACTCCAAACGCGCAGTGGATCGCCTGGAAAGGCTTCAAGATGGCTACCAGCGTGAACAACATCTGGAAGTAGATATCCTTCCTCTTATGATCCACCTTATGACCGAGCACCACATAGACGTTCACCTGTATTTATATATTTTGTAATATAGTACCACCATTCATCACCAATAGGCATTTGTACATCATTTTATTTGTATCTGATTTTTTTACCGTCATTCAACTGTGAATGTTTGATAAAGACATGCTTGTTGCCAAAGGACCTCGTCAACGTTCTCTATGCCTAAGTCCTGACTTGGTCACCACCACAAAATTAGGACCCATGGTGGTTGATAAGGAAGTCACTTCCGACTCCTAAAGATACAACCTTGCCAGGCATAGCCTGCTCCAACGCCGCCTTTGCCCTCCAGCCCGAGCAATGCCCTGGGGCCATGAACGACGGATTGAGATCCAACATGTCGCTCACGGTTTCTGTGGCGGTAGAAAATTACGCCACGAGAGCTTGTTAGTCTTGATTGTATCTACCTGAAGGGAACACCATTAAAATATCCATACATACCTTTAATCCTAGTCTCCATAGACAAGCCTGCAAGATGGAACCCACCCACTACAAAATGCAAATCGTTGTTGCCAGCGCCCTTCCCATGTTGAAAAGCGCGTTTCACATCCTGACACACGTTAATCACGCCTGCATGGCTGCAGCCCGTCAAAACGACGATTCCCTTAGACTTCACCCGCGCAACCAAATAGCGCTCGTCCATGATCTCCTGCTCCTGCTTCCACAATTTCGTCTCAACCGACCATCGAGCGTGGTTTGGGAGCCCGGTCTCGTAGGCTGTCATACGCGGGATCACTCCAGAGACTCCAAAGAATCCATCGCAGACTGTATGCGCCTGACTGCTTTGGGAAACCTACGGGACATAGAGCGTTCATGAGACTACTGGAAGACGTGTTTCTGGATAGAGTATGATGCGAATTTGTTGTTTGCGCGCTCTGTACCTTTGCACCAGCATCCTCCAGTTCTTTAAAGGAAGGATCCTTGCCCCAGGCAACATAGTCGAACACGTCCGGTTGCTCATGGGACCCGGATGGCCTTGTGAGGCGAATACCGCGTTCATCTGGCCTGTCAGGATGCAGATCCACCACAACTGTCGTCGCAGATAACATTAGCATAGTTGTGTACCACATTAAAAAAAAAAAAAAAAAAAAAAAAAAAAAAGGTGCTTTGATTACCTGGCGCGAGACCTTGACCCTTACTACGCGCTTCCTGAATCTTATCAACAGCAGTCAGCATGCCCCCAGAATGATCGATATGCCAATGTGAGAGCACAATAACCTCGATCTTCTCAAATTCGACCTCAAGGCGTTTGGCGTTCTCGAGGAAGATAGCCGAGTGTGGACCTGTGTCAAAAAGGACCCTGTGCTCCACATTGTCTTTAGTTCCTGTCTGTTTCCCAGCGAACGAGATAATGGGGGGCGCAGAGTACGACGTCAGCATGAAGTACTGGACATAGTAACAGTATACCAAGAGCTCATTCGGATCTATCGTTGGTATACTTACCAAAAGGATGGAGAGTCCATGCGCTCCACAGCAAACGTCTTGAAAGTGGAAATTAACGGTCCTGAAAGCGCTGTCACTACCATGCGTATGAGAAGGATGCCCATGATGGTCATGCGCGTGAGAAGAGTGCCCGTGATGACCACCCGCATTTGTATCCGATTCGACGGTCGACCTTTCCTTATCAATGTTTCGTTTGTCCTTGAACAGCGTTTGAGCCTGGGTGGTGTGGTTCAACTCCCTAGGACACGAGCTCATAAAGTCGACCTCGTTGTCGACAATAACTGTGAGCCGCAAAGCATCGAGCTCGACGAGGTCTGGGAACGAATTTGCATCTGGCGACGACTGGGTCATGACGAAGAATGAGAGATGAGAGATGAGGATGAGTACTAGCGAGTTGGAGGTTGTGAGAGAATAAAGAAAGCGTGGGAGGATGTTCGTACAGCAAACCAATATGACGTATTTAGCCGCCGTGCGCCTAACTGATGCGCAGTTTGGCGCGTCTCTCTCGCGTGAGCCACTAAACTAGGTAGGGCACTCATCCTAGAACAGGACATCGGCACTACAACACATTCAAATGAAATGACTGTATCTGACGCTCCTATCCAATAGGCATCCTTCTTTCGTTCGTCCATCTGAAATATCCACCGTCCGCCCACGCTATCCAAGCAAAGATTCCTTTTGCACTGGTGCTCAAAGTGAAAGTCCATCTTGCTTCAATATGACGTACTGTTTGACTCCAGAAACCAAAAATTTAGGTACCAACGACCTTAGAATGGTAATCCTTCATTTGTGAGGAGGACGTGAAGACAGAAAGACGAGCACTCCTACCAACAATAGGGAAGAATATAACCTCACCCCCCGTGAGATTTTATTCTTACACCCCCCGTGAGATTATCCAAAGCACATTGTGAAATATTCTTCTCGCACCCTGTTATTATAGCGAAACAAAGATAATCTCACGGGCATCCTTCCTTCATATAAAGGACGCTTTATGATTAGTACCTGGGTTTCTAAGTACTTAAGCACCTGGACACACCTAGTATGACACCCCGTTATCACCGCACTCTGGTAATCAGCAATTTAGTGCATCGCCCAGGTGTGTCAAGAGTGCAAACCTTAGTACATCTCTCTCTCTACCAGTGCGCACTTTTGTACACCTCTCTCTCTATGCCAGCCCGCACTTTTTTTTCCTTTTGCCCCGACCACGCGCCACCGTACCCAATACGTAATTTTTAATAAATTGCTCTTGCTCCTATCACACATCTATTCCCATCACCTCAATTCGTTTAAGGATCCGGATCTTTTTGGCCATCGCTTCCTTGATATAGGCTGTAGTTCAGCTCCGTTCTCTGATACCAGGTGTGTTACACTCTTGACACACCTGGGCGACGCACTAAATTGCTGATTACCAGTAGTGCGGTGATCTCGTCGCTGGAGAATCTACCCCTTTGTCCAATCCAATAAGAGGCAGGATTGAACCAGATTCCACTCCGAAGTTGAATGACAAGGTGCTATGGAAAAGAGAAAACAGACAGTCGTTTGTGATCATATTGGAGTAGTACTTTACGACTCAAAATCACTATCGTGGATCTTTGCAAAGGTTTAACGCTAGATCTAGTATGCTTTGGTGTCGTCAGTGCTTCGCCCAGTTTCTACAATATTCCAGTGCACTGTTGACACCGATGCAACTAGTATATAAACCCTATCTACACATAGAACCACATAGCAGCATTCGCCCAATAAAATACCCTATTCACTCTAGATCCTTCGACACCCCAGATACTCCAATCATTTGCAAGCATGCCGACGCGTAGGGAGTTACCTAGCCTTCACTGTCGTGGAAAATGATAAGCAAGACGAGACCATGCGCTTTCTCGTCTATACATCTGCCCAATTTTTATACCGATCTACACTCGCTCCACCAAACCGCCATTTTTATTTTACTTATTTTCAGTTGGAGACATACGACTAGGGGGCCTGAATGTTCCAAAGTGAGGGGCGTCAGAGCACGTTCTCTTTCTACTTGTAGAAACCGGACTGGAAGGTCCGGTGTCAGAAACAAAAGTAGAAGCAGCTTGCACCTGCCCTCGACCTGCTGCAGTCTGGGCAATAGAGCTCAGGATCCATTGCTCCATGGCTGTGAACAGCGTGCGTTGTTCCTCTTAAAACGCCATGATTTGCATGCGCTGTGCATGTTGCTGTTGAGTATTTGCAATGCCCAAGCCCTGTATGAACTCTCGGATAGTTATACCAACCACTCTTCTTAAATTAAATGTCATTGAAGTAGCCGAAGTGTCGTTAGTGTTGAATATGAGTGCATTGCTGCCGCTAAACGCTTCATCGCCTTTGTCGTTCTCCCCATCAACCTCGTCATCGGATATACCTGAGGCATTGACGACCTCCAAATCATCAGGGAGAACTTGAGCGCTGTCAATAAGTTGAAGCCTTGGAACGTTGGTCGGAATGTTGGAATGGGCGCAGACCCGCTTGTAATGCTTGCTCAGGCTATCCCTTGTCAGGAATGGCTTTCTGCAGACGCAGACGAAAACCATGCTTCTATTCTCGCGCCTTTCAAATTGGACGAACACATTTAAAAGGACGTTTTTCACTTGAACTGGCACTGTTGAGTGCGACCGAATCAAATGATTTTTTCCTGACTTGGTCAATGGCACAGGTCTGTCCTCGTCCCTGACCGGGAGACCCTGTTCAATGCGGTGTTCCTGTGTCTGGATTGCCGCTTTCTTGTCCAGCAGTCCCTGGAACAGTTGCAGAATGTACATTCGTTTCTCTGTGCCTTGATCATTGTAGTTAGCGTAGCGTGTAGTGGAATGCTGGCGAGGAAGGTAATTTGCAACAGTGATGCTGGTTGTAGAGTGTTAGAGTGTGCACAGAGAAAAGGTTGCGAGAAAGAGCGCATTTCACCGTGTCCTTCATCTTGCATAGAGTATATAACTCGCCTCATAGTCTACAAATTCTCTTCTTGACCATATCCCCATAGCCAGGCAATCCCCTGCAACGGCCATGTTGTGTCATTCTCTCTGCTCGTCCTTTTGCTCGTCCTTGTGTCTATGCCGCACTCCTGTACGCCCATCTGCAGCTCGTCCTCTTTTCTTTTTCGAAATGTGCAAGGCTGTTTGTATGCAATGCTAGACTTTAAGTCAGGATGATTAGGGGTTGTCTTATGTAGAAAGAAAAGAAGAGAGATATTGCTAAATCACGATGGGTAATCAACGGTCATAAGCATCAGCAGCATCAGCAACACCACATATTCATCAGAGTCCGTTATACAAGGCTATAGTCTATGGTCTATCCAGACTGGGTATCCGGAGAATGCCCTGAGGTACGCCTTACTCATAGACTAGATACTCATAAACAATTGCTATCAGTAAGCTCTTGATGCTCACCTTGTGCATTGTCCAAAGCGCCATTGCAATTGAGGAACATTTGGAGGTACCACCACGCGTTCGCTTTTTCAACCTTCTTCCATGATGAACTGAGAAGTGCATCTGGACTTAACTCACATATTTGACGCTCCAGAACTAGGAACTAGGGAGATTCATTCAATTGGACTGTAAACGTTGGATTATTTTTCGATGCACAGGACAAGAGCGACGCGTATGGCACTGCACGAAAGGTCGTTTGTAGCAACTGGCTTCTGAATAATATCTCTGATTGACTAGCAGCCTCACTGCCTACCGTGGCAAGAGGCAACAGGATAACACCTATATTTGAAGCAACAACCTCTCAATCTCGCTGAAACGGAGACAGGGGCTCATGGAGCTACAGGACGCGTCTGGCAACGAAGCAGGTCTTGGTTCGCGACCATCCAAAGGATTCCATCCTGCTGAAACAGACCTTGAACAATAAACGAGTGTTTTTTTTTTAAAAAAAAAGAGGCCTCACAGACTATCCCCGTGAGAATATAGCGCTCACCTCCCCGTGAACAAAAAAATGCTGCTCACACCCTGTGAGATGACAAAACGAGGGATAATCTCACGGAGGGTGTGAGAATAAGATCTCACAGGGGAGTGAGATTATATTCTTCCAAACGATGAGGGTGCGGGACAGCACTCTGAGGGGGACGCAGGAGGCAGGGACGGGGTGCAAAAGTGCTGAAACCAGGGTTCGAACCTGGGACCTTGCCTTAGTGAGAGGCATGTGATAACCAACTACACCATTCCAGCGATAGAGGTCGTATTTGACGAACAATGCGGAAAGCCAATTATACTCGGTTATCATACTTCGACCTTCGACCCCATTTTGGCTCCATTTTGGCCCCCGCGCGTTGGTTTCGCGGTCGAATTGGTATCCAAGGCCTCCCTTGGTGTCCTCTCGAGGCTCTGAGTGGATAAGAGAGCCAGACAATTTGCTCCGCACTGGAACGTGGCGTAAAAACCGTGATAAATGGGTCAATCACCCACGACTGCTGTCTATCTGAACAAATTCGTATAGAAGAAATCCACAGGTTAGTACCTCACAAATTATATAGGGTAGAGCACGCGTTTTTGTTTAAAGGCAGATCTAATCTTTTTTTTTTTTTTTTTTTTTTTAAGAAACTGCAAGTTAATGCGTTACTCATCATAGTAGTGATCTAGAGTACATATACTCTTGGAAAGGAGCGAAAGCATGAGTGCTGCAGCCAGTTCATGGTAAGATGGTTTTCCAAAAAGTGCTACAGTAATACATCGCCCGTCGCAAAACAATCAAACAAAAAAAAAAAACAAAAAGATTAGATCTGCCTTTAAACAAAAACGCGTGCTCTACCCTATATAATTTGTGAGGTACTAACCTGTGGATTTCTTCTATACGAATTTGTTCAGATAGACAGCAGTCGTGGGTGATTGACCCATTTATCACGGTTTTTACGCCACGTTCCAGTGCGGAGCAAATTGTCTGGCTCTCTTATCCACTCAGAGCCTCGAGAGGACACCAAGGGAGGCCTTGGATACCAATTCGACCGCGAAACCAACGCGCGGGGGCCAAAATGGAGCCAAAATGGGGTCGAAGGTCGAAGTATGATAACCGAGTATAATTGGCTTTCCGCATTGTTCGTCAAATACGACCTCTATCGCTGGAATGGTGTAGTTGGTTATCACATGCCTCTCACTAAGGCAAGGTCCCAGGTTCGAACCCTGGTTTCAGCACTTTTGCACCCCGTCCCTGCCTCCTGCGTCCCCCTCAGAGTGCTGTCCCGCACCTTCTACCGTTGTTGGGAGTGCTCGTCTTTCTATCTTCATGTCCTCACAAATGAAGGATTACCATCCCAGCTGCTTGGGAAGATTTCAGCCTTGAAAACTTTTTCGGTACCTGGAAATTTTCCCTTCATTAGACAACTGATCGTATTCGAAATTGGTATTATGTTTTTTTTTTATTAAATGCAAAGGGCTTAGAGCGCCCCGCGCTCTACCCAGAATACCTTCGAAAAGCCCGTGTACCGATGAATGTTGCCCCCCTTGAACAGATCCATCTCGACTCTGGCACGCAAATAGACCCTCTTCTTGGGGCTAGCGCTCATCATGATCGCTGTCGGACGCAGATACATGAACCGGATATCACTCGGCAAGTTACCCACCGCAATGTCGTATCTCTTTGCAGTGAATGCATCCTCGACATAAACATTGACTACGCCCGTCAATCCTTTAGCGTCCTGTGGGAACTCCCAGCCAAAGACATAGGGTGCTCCTACAAAGAAGCGTTCTTTGTTATCGATCCAATGTGTGATCGCGATCATGCCTGCATCGATCACCTTGATCGGCGGGTTATAGCCTGGATCATCCGCGTGATCCTGCCAAAGCTGGACATCCTCGTCGTTTTCGAAATGGTCTGGGTCCATGATGTGATCTCCGTGATGGTGCATCTCCTCGTCCTCGTCCCCCTCGCCCTCCTCGTCCTCGTCCTCGGATTCTAAATCTTGGTAATCATGACCCATGTGCCCTATATCCGTAGAGTTACTCTCCATAAACACGCTCTCATCCTCTCCGCTTTCCATTTGTTCTGGTGCAGGGGTATCAGTGACATCGTCATCGTCACCATTGAGTTCCGAAAACAGGTCATCCTCATCATCGGTATCATCAACGTCGTCCTCGTCCTTATCCTCCTCGCTCTCGGTCCCTTGATTTTGGTCGACGCCTTGGGTGTGGTCCCCGAAGTGAGTGATTTTCGTATCCTTCTTCGACAATTCCTCCGTGGTCTCGTCAACACCTGGGATTGGCGAAGACAAATCTGCCGGAGCTAACAGCGTCCGCTGGTCCCGCACGTGGTCCTTTTGAATCTCAATCGGAAAGACGCTCATCTGCGCCAGTATCTTGTTCGTCCTACCCTCATACGCTGTGAAATAGAGTCGAGCCAACGATCGGATATTCTTGGGCGGTTGCGTTGGTGAAGGTGCGTCTGTTGTCGTGTCATCCGGAGCTGCTACTGCCGATGGCCTTGCTATCGATGGAGCGTCTTCGTATATGTCTTGTTCGGGAGTTGTCTGTTCATTTTCCAACACGACCTTGGCGTCGCCCTCCTGTTCATGGATCAATTGGTCCCTCGAGATCAGATCATAAGGTACCACAAAATCCAGGACCCGAGTCATCGCGTCAACGTAACGCAGAATGGGCCGCCGTGTGATTTTCTTTGCCTCTGGGTTTGTTTCTACTTCCACTGGGATCAAGGTGATGTCGAAGGTTGCACCTGGTGGAAGTGATAGGTCAGCCCAGCTGAAGCTCTGAATAGTGCCGGATATCCAGACATCGTGAGGCTCTGGATTGAAGATCTCGAAGCTATATTGCGGCTTTTTCCCTGTGGCATTGGGTTTCTTGGGCGCATTGGGGGTGAGAGGATCGGCCCGGCGATAAAGATCGTCCTGACCCCTTGATTGTAAGACGGGTATTGAGTGTACAGGGGTTGAAACGACCAGAATCAAGGCCAGGATTGCTGCCACCCATGGAAGGATATGGGCGATATGCTTTCGAGATACCCCTGTCGACCACATGCTAAGCCGTGGGGTTGTCATAAATAATTAGGATGAAATAAATTGACGTGAAGAACAAGCTAAACGTGGGGAGGAGGTAGGATGGCAGCGGGGGAGGTATGATAGTGGCGGAACAAAGAAGCGTTCTAATATCGGAAATGATGATGGTAATAGAAATATGAATAAAAATAGGCGGAAAACAAGTTTTTTTCTTTTTTGTTCTTGGACAGTGGGCGTCAGGAGGGGTGTGGGTGTGGGTGTGGATGAAGACGAAGATGAGGGAAAAGGGGATGGAGGATGGGAGATGATGAAGGATGACCGAGATGAAGAAGAGGGTGGCAGGGATGAAAGTGGATGGAGGAAGGAGAATAAGAGCAATAGAGCAAAACGTGCAATCCATTTGGGATGGGTCCACTGCAGCTGTCCATGTTATTTTTACTCTATGCTCATGCTATTTCTCGGGCTCATAGCAACAATAAACGTCCACTCGACAACCCCAAAGGAAAAACTCCTTTTCACCCGGCATCTGTATACTAATATACTAATTATCTGGCGCTGCTATGACAACTAAGGCGGAGATTTCATCCCTGAGCTTGGATTCCTCGATCCTCGCTTACCCTGCCCTCAATTTGGCTCAGCCCTGTTTTACCAGCCATGTCCATTTTTCTGAGGAGAATATTAAATTTATTATGAATGCGTGCATACATGTGGATATGCGATTCCCAATAGCTTTGTATGTGGAGGCGATGTCCAAGTACACGCATGCCTGCTATAAAAAGGAAACGCTGCATGAATCCTTCTGCCAAAACATGGTCCTATAGACGAATATGGACAACGTTACTTATCGAGGTGCTTGAATCGGATTCGATACAAAAAGAAACCCAGAGTTTACAACGGTCATCATGCGCAGCATTTTCAGCCAACTCTTAGTTGGATTCATTGGGAGACGCTGGTCCATGTTCTGATCCTTTGCCTCGAGTTTTGATGAGACAGTTCACGTACGTGAGCAAGTTCTCCTACTTATCTCACGGTATGAAAGACTCTGGAGAACGAAGTCATCAAAGTAATTGAGCGAGTCAAAGAAGCTGCTGGTGCTGTTGTATAAAAAAAAAAAACGCATTATGGTGTTCTACAGAAGAAAATTCTTGAATACGGTTGGTTGAGTAGTAAAAGACGTAATACCAGGCGCATACAATCTTTTGATATTTCGAATGCACTCGCGGTGTCCTTGACGTGTCTTTTTATCGCCATTATTCGCGTGGCAATTGATGGCTTGGAGTGTGAATGTGCGCGTATGCTTGGTCCTTGGCTTAATTGATCCCCCCCTCCCCATTAGGTATATAGGACACCCTACGCTCCTGCGCTTGAAGAATAAAAGCAAAGGATGAGTCCTGCTTGATGTGATTCGTTCGAGGAGGGATAGTCCAGCAACCTTTTACCCGTTTGAGAGGTTTCAGAGATGGACAAGCCTTTCTTTTTTTGAAAGCGTGAGAAAACTACCGAATAAGGAAATAGGACGGCGTGCAGCAACATTCACCCACCCCCTTTTCATTCTCCCACAAGGACAAATACACCAGGATGTAGTCTGAACGTAGTCTAGATGAAACCAAGGCGAATTTATTGAAATGTAATATATATATTTGTGTATGTATCCTATGCCTCGACATTCATGGTCTTGTCCTCAAACGCCTCGATTGCCCGCTTCAAGATCGCCACTCCCTGGTCAATCTCTGCCTTCGAAATATTCAATGCTGGCACAAACCGAACCGTGTTGTTTGCAGCCGTGATGATCAACAGACCACGTTCCCGCGCAAGGTTGACCAAGGGTGCAGGGTCGACCTTGAACTCGAGACCCAAGATCATGCCCTTCGCACGAACCTCCTTGACCAAGGGCGAAGAAATCGATTCCAGCTGTTCCCGGAAATGGTCGCCGTTCTTGCGCACATTGTCCAGGAATTCCGGGGTGCTGATGCGGCGGAAAACGCTTGAGGCGACAGCGCAGCCCAGAGGGTTACCACCAAAGGTCGTTCCATGATCACCTGTTTGGGAGAAAACGGTAAAAAAAAGTCGTGATAATGGAAAGGTAGATGAGTGAGTCAGTTAGTCCGGGCTCAGCCTGGGAATTTACTCGGGCGAGTGTTTGCAGAAGGGTACAAAAGAGGGCGTGGGGGTAGACAATCAAGACCACCTACCAATAACAATCTTTTCGGCAACCTTGTCCGTGATCATGATGGCTCCGATAGGAAAGCCGTTGGCCAAGGGTTTGGCCATCGTCAGCATGTCTGGGGCACAATCGGCTGAGAAGTTCTGATGGGCCCACAGCTTTCCAGTACGTCCCAAACCACACTAGAGGAGATTCAGAAGAAATAAGGTCGTTAGATGCGGTTTTTTTTTTTTTTTTTTTTTTGTTCCTGGGGAACGAAGAATGAGAAAGAAAAAAAAAAAAGCAAGATACATCTCGTCGTCCATCCTTTTACCTGAATCTCATCAAAGATCAACATGGCTCCAACTTCGTCACAACGAGTCCTCAGCTTCTTCAGGAATGCCTCGGACGCGACGTTGATACCGCCCTCTCCCTGGACTGGCTCCACAATCACCGCACAGGTCTCATCGGTCACATACTGATCGACAGCCTCGACATCGTCGTAGGGTGCATGCGTGAATCCAGGTACCAGAGGCAAGAACGGCTTTTGGTACTTGGGATTGGGCGTCGCCGACAATGCTCCCATGGAGCGACCATGGAATCCGTTCTTGAACGAAACCACTCCGAACTTGTTGTTCTCCTGACCAGGCTTGGCCGTCATTTTTGCAACCTTGCGCGCAAACTTCAATGCACCCTCATTGGCCTCCGTGCCCGAGTTCGAAAAGAAGATCTTACTGGCCTGGAAGCCACCCGAGGCACGGGTAGCCTCGATCAATTGCTCAGCCAGCTCTCCTGCGGGGACGTTATAATACAGGTTGCTGAGATGGACGACCTGTTTGGCCTGATCAAACAGGACCCGAGCGACCTCAGGGTCGGAGTGACCCAAGGCATTGACGGCAATTCCGGCGGTGAAATCGAGGTATTCACGATGGCCGACGTCGTAGAGGTAAGAGCCCTTGCCGTGGGTGAAGACTACGGGAGGGCGGCCGTAGGTCGTGAGGGTGTATTTGGCGTGCTTGTCGATAATGTCAAGGGTCTTTGGATCCGCATCCACATCGGCGTGGCTCAACTGGAGGGAGACAAGCAGTGATCGGTACCATGACAGTGAGCGATTTTCCATTCAATTGATGGACAAGGATTAATAAAAGCCAGATAGAGACCACTTACAGCATGATTCTGGATGGGAGTAGCGGCAGCCTTGGCACTCATGGCGCGGCACTAATGTTCACAATGTTCAATAGAGGATAATTGAGTATGTTTTGCATGGGTGCTCAGTTTAATAGGTGATGGGTGATGGGTGATGGGTGATAAGGAGACGGTGAATAGTGGCGAGGTGCTCAGGTACGGCCTGATCAGGTGTCTTACAGCCATGGCAGTAGCCCTAGATTGGTGCTGGACGAGCAGGGACCTGGATGTCCTGAGAAGAGAATGGCGCAACATCGAATGGACGAGAGTGAGGGATGAGAAGCGATGTGGAGAGTGAGAGACGAGGAGGAGGAGGTTGAGGAAAGTAAGCAATTTTATTTGTGGACAGGCGAGAAAGTGCGGGGCAGCCTTGGATGAAGATTGTCCGTCTGATTGTGTGTGCACGAAGCGTGACTCAAGTGGCATCGCCAGGCATGAAAGGTGACTGTGAAGAGGACTTTGAACCTTACGGCCCTGCGTTGGCCATGCCATGCAATTACACTGATATGTTACAAGAA